ATTGACGTAAACAGACCGAAGTGGCATGAATGGGACCCCTCCTTTCTTGCATAAGTTCATATGACTGCACACTTCTGGAGACACGATACAGCATGTGAACAGAGCGAGTCAACACAAGATATGGAGGCATTCAACTGAGCACAAATTAAGCAAGGTAATTTTCACATTGAACACAACATTCTGTTCAAGTCGAGCTCAACTGCGAAGAACAGACTGCATAAATTTGTGTTTTGTAATCGGGATTTCGTTTTTAAGTATTTCATAATCCACCTCATGTAGCGTAACATCTTTGGGCAGCATTAAGAAATGATCAGGAAGAACACGCTCTCTTCTCTCTTTCCATCGTTTCAAAAACTGGCTGTAAACAGATGGGATGATCCCACAGGAAATCTGTTTTGCACAGAGGAAACAGTCACTCTGTCAGACTCTCCTTGGGGAAATCTGACCCACAGACCTCGTGCAGAGCTGAAACGCTGTGGGCGTTCACACAGGGATGAAACCCCCCAGAAGGACTCACTTACAGAGAAGAATCAGAGCAGCTTTGAAGTGGACAGCTTTCTTGGAAGTATTTTGTAACTTTTACTGAAAATGCACCGGAGACTTTTACAGCATTTCAGCACAAATAATTCATATGACAGAAGAAGAGAAAACAAACACACCAGAGAAATAATAAAGCCTTAACCTGCTCTCTAATAAACTGACCTGTGACTTCTGCCAGTGAAATCCTGTGGTCCTTTTACTCTCACCACAATATTAAAGTGAAATAAAAGCGTGTTAATAATGCTTCCAGTAGTTGCTCAGTCTGTTTCCTCAGTGGATAAATCATAATGTGGTTTTCCTTCATGTCTCACTAACTCTGTTCGAGGGCAGGGCAGAGCTGTGCGGGAACTAAGACGATATAATGAATTTAAGAGGCAGTAAGTCTCCCTTTATTTGATCTAGGATTGATTTTAAGATTTGACTTCTCACTTTCAAAGCTTGTGTGAGTTTAGTTTTAAGCTACATATCCAAAATGACCCTGTATAAGCCAGCCCACTCGCAGCCTTTTACCCTTAAATGGTTCCTCCTGGTCGAGGTTTTCAACATCTTCCCCCAGGTATGACCACAAATTGAGGACACTCTCCTGGTTTGTTTAGGTAAGACATGTCCCAATGAGGAAAAAAAATGTTTCTGCAGAGTCCTCGAAGCCGCTTGGATTCCCTGAGAGCTCTGGCAAACAGACTTTCTCACCAAATCTGACATTACCTTAATTAATGGTTGATGTCTCCGGTGGGACTCCAGGTTATTTCAATACTGCACAAACAATCAAGTTTTTCAGTGAGATCAGAGGCAAGGCCTCCAGCAGGAACACATCTGAACTCCCAGCAGAATAACTGAGGAAGATTAGCATGTTTCCACCACAGAGCGGAGGATATGAGGCATGTTTATATACAAACAGACAATCTGTGTGTGTGTATAAGTGTGCAAGTGTGTGTGTGTGTAGGAACCCTGTGTTCCCCTCACAAAAGTTCCCATGGTGAGAAGTTCCTGTCATCCCACAGTGTGACACAGGCGCACGCACACATACACACACACACACACACACACACAGACATATTAAATGACAGACTGTTGTACAGCCTCATTGGCCTGTAGTCATTTCAGATGTCACTCAGACATGTTCATTTGTTGTCGTCTTGTCATAGTTCACTTTATTTTGTCAGAGGATGTTTAAGTGGTGTAGTTTTCTGCACGCGCTCATGCTGGGAAGCAGAAACCACATGTGACTTTGTCCCTATCTGGGTCTCTGAGGATGCAAACACCCTCTGCTGATTAAAAATAGAACAACAGAACACAACAAGTAAGTCACCAATACATTGCAGTTATTTTCGAGCTATAAATCAATCAAAAATACCCCAATGTGCTTCACTTTATTATCATCAATGCATCTGAAATGTTTTTGTTGCATCAATCTATTGAATTCATATTTAACAAATCAGGTACTATGGCAACAATCAATCATTTTGTATGATTTTTGTCACAACAGGATTCTTAATAAGTGTTGTAGATTTTACTGGAGCCCTGTATGGGTGCTCTAGTAAATTATGGCTGGAATTATGGTACAAAATTCATTTGTTTCATCTCCATATTGCTCCCTTTGGTGCCATCAAAGCTGCATCTGAAATATTTGGTACAAAACTGTCACACTTTGGGGTGCGCAGGTGGCCAAGCGGGTTAGCACGCCCCACGTATGTTGACCATGGTCCCCGCAGCAGTTATGGGTTCAAGTCTAGCCCCAACCATGTGCTGCATGTCCTTCCATCTCTCTCTCTCTCTCTCTCTCTCTCTCTTTATCTCCCAATATTTCCACAGTGTCCTATCCATAAAGGCAAAAATCATCCCAAAAATACTTAAACAAAAAAAAATGTCACACTCTGAATAAGTAAATCAGAGCAGCAAATGTAACCTCCTCTGTGACCTAAGAGATGCTTTGTAGAGTCAGAAAAATAGAAAATAAAAAACACCTGATGGTGTTACAGTGATACCTTTTTATCAGCCATTCTTTGTTGATCATTAAAATGTCATCTTAATGAATAATATTAACAATAATATAATAATGCAACAATGTTGTTTTCTCTTATTTGGTTGTTTGAAGAGACTTTAAAGAAATAGATAAAGAGACAGTATTTGCATTGAAATGGTAAAGTGATACCCTGTGATACAGTGAGTCTCCGCCCGGCAGTAACTACTCACATCCTTATTACGTTCACATTATAGAGACACATAGTCATTTGTTCCTGCAAACACACATGTGATTGCTGTTAAATTAAAGTGTTGGCCTGGCATGAGTGTATGCTTTGAGCTACACATCTGGGACAGTAACGTTAAAGCTTGTGGTTGGTAAACACGGCAGCAGCCACTTAACTGAATTATACAGAAAAGGCTAAATGTTGCTCTGCCAGCAACAGAAGGGAAGGATTCTTTCCTTTTTAGAAACTGGAGCAGCTAACACTGACCTCCCAGCATGCATTAAGATTCCTTTAATAGGCTGTTTTTCTCCATTATTTGGTGTGTGTTTTATTAACTCTGTATTTATCATGTTAGATGCCACTTGCTCCGGGTCACTATCGTGGTTACTGTGCTATATTGTATTCAGACCTGGACCTGGAGTTCTTTGATTCATTATTATTTTGAATTGAGAAACTTGCAGGTTCCAGTTTAAAATGACATGCTGCCATCAGGTAAAAGCAGAGCGCTACAATTATTGGACTCACAAAGAATGGAGCTCTAAACTACAAGAAGCAGCTCAACAAGAGCCAAAGAGCTGCCACCAAACTGTCCTGGTTCCTGTTGGTGGTCCTTTTGACACCTGCACCTGGTTTGCCAACAATGACCTGGTTCTTTTCTTTCCTGATTAAGTCCAGTCCAGTTAACAGAGATGGGGAATTGTGGAGTCACCAAGTCATCTCCATGCCATTCTGCTCTGTCACTGAACCTGCTGCTTCCAATGAGCAGCCAGGAAGATGAGCTCATTAGTGAAGGCACCTGATTCAGTAATGAGCAGAACAAATACATGGCATGGAGATGACTTGGTGACTCCACAATTCCCATCTCTGCCAGTTAACACTAGCTCCTGGTTTCTTGATGGAGATCCCGTCAACCCCTTCTCCTGCAAAGTCCTGTTAGCTGAACTCATCAATACACAGCCTGAATTCTATGTCTAGGTTGCTTTGTTGATAATTCTGCAATACATGTAACACATACAGAAGATTAAAATCATGTTACTCAAGGTCCAACAGTGCCAAATAAGGTTATGAAGCTCCTCAGTGGCAGATGGATGAGATCTGCCCACAGTTCCTCAAGGCCCTGGATATTGTGGGGCTGTTGTGGCTGACATGACTCCATGTGTCCATGTGACAAAATCACATGGACATCGGTAGCAGTGCATCTGGATTGGAAGACTGGGGTGGTGGTTCCCCTTTTTAAGAAGGGGGATAGGAGGGTGTGTTCGAACTTCTCAGCCTCCATGGTAAGGTCTTTGCAGGGGTCCTGGATGGTCTGTTGGATAGTTGAACCTCGGATCAAGTGGTTTTTGACCTGGTTGCTCTACACCCTCGGCAGGATCCTTGACAATGTATGGGAGTTTTCTCAACCAGGTCCAAATGTGCTTTTTGGACTTAGAGAAGGCATTCAAACTTGTCCCTCAGGGGTGCTCCGAGAGTATGGGGTACCAACACCCTGATAAGGGGTGTTTGTTCCCTGGTCGACCGTGCCAGAGCTTGGTCTGCATAGCCAGTAGTCAGCCGGACTTGTTTCTGTTGAGGGTTTGATGGTGTTAAGATTGGGTCGCTGCTTTTTGCAGATGACATGGTCCTGTCGGCACATCCCCTCGCTAGGAAACTGCAAGGACTACCCAAGACATGCTGGGGAGTCTATGTCTCCTAGCTGGCCTGGGAATGCCTCAGGATGCCCCGGTAAGGGCTGGATGAAGTGGCCGGGGAGAGGGAAGTCTGGGCCTCCCTGCTTAGGCTACTGCCCCCACAACCCAACTCTGGATAAGCGTAAGAAGATGGATAGATGGATGGAAGTCAAAAGTCATTCTTGTAGCAGTGCTACCAGCTGACCTACTGTCAAAATCTTATGAACCCAAGTAGGTCCCCTTGCTTGATTCCAGCTTTAAACCCTGTTAGCAGGCTCTCAGTGGCTGCCAGCCACTCTCACTGAGCAGCAGAAATCTTCCATTCCCTCAGAGCTGCAGCAGAAGTTTTCTGCTTCTACCCCTAATAGCATAAAATCCCCTTTTAATAATCCTAATTCAAAGCAGCAGACTTTAGTGTCTGATGTTGATCTGTAGCAGAGTCATTTGTACTTAAGAGGTTGCAGATAAAAGGTCATGTTTTTGCTACTAAAATGCAGAAAAAGAGTCATGTCCTTTGGGTTTTGGAAAGGAACCTGTTCAGCTGCGGGGAGAAGGTCCTGTTCCTGCCGCTAAGCTTCTGTAAAAGAAACTCATTCCTGCCTTAGAGTTGCTACAAGCGGCTCCTGTTGGTGGCCATCTGGTTTTGTCACCCAGCCTCTTGCCTATAGTCATCTCTTGTTTTGCCAATCCTTCATCCGGCTTTACTCTCTGCTAGATCATAATTTTCAATTAATCCTCAAGAGCAATCATGCCTCTGTCACCAGTCCTGGGATCTCTTATTTGTGTGTCCTTGTCCTCATGATGTGCAAGGACACAAGCAAGTAGACCCCCAGGTGGCAAGGCCTCAACTTGTCCTCCTTTTTTTTGTCAAACCATTTTGGTTTCTTTAAAAAAGACCCTTAACTTGATATAAGAGATGCTGTTGTATTCTAGGATTAAAATCTCAAACCAACATTTAAAATTGAGGTTCAAGTGGTCAGGCAAAGAAAAGGAGAACCTCTGGACTTAAGAGAAAAAGCCTCTGGCTGTTTCCTGTAGGAGCGCATACCAGTGCAGACCTTGTGCAAATTGAAGTGGAATTGTTTGTTTCTACTTTGTTCAGCACTAAACCAAAACCAAACTTTTATTACATATTTCCACAAGATGTTTGTCAAGAGATGAATCGCCTGAATTAAAATTCAGAACGGTGACACGACATTCCCTGATGATCCAGGAAAGAGAAGAAGAGAAACAAACAAATATCAGGCACAGTTCCTTCTCAGTGCGAATGATAAATGATCAGTTTTGCTGTCATCGTTGCATGTTTTAAAATAATTTAATTAAAACAGAAAGTATTCGTATCTTATTCTCATCTGTTTGACACGGCACTTCATTACGAATGTAGATTGATCACAAATGAGTGTCAGTTTCAGATCCTGGATCTGGATGAACTCTTTGAAGCCACAACTGTTCCTGATCTGGTCATGATTTCATGTTTCTCAGTGCTGCTGGTTTGTGTTTCCATAAAGCAGTCATAAGTTTATGTGTGAACAAATATAACTTAGTGGTGTATCTTCATAAAATGCTTTTAGACATTCTCAAGCAAAAGAAACATAACAATAAAATGAAAAAGACACACACAGCAGAAGAAAAAACTGCATTCATACTTTCGACAAATGAGGTGTCTTGTGTGGTTTATGAGGCTCAAAGACATCAATTATTATGTGCATGACTGTTGTATTAAGTAACCAAAGATCTTATCTTGTTTTTATGGAAAATAAAAATGAAAAGCCAAAAAGAAAAAAAAAAAAGATGGAGTATCAGTGGTGTAGTGCTTCTGCAGTGTTACGACGATACCAATTCGTTTGGGTGTAGACTTTGGTGATGCTTTGGCTTTTTATCTTAACTTCTACCAGATGTTTGTCACGTTGAAGCTTGAATTTACTAGAGAATCAATCAGGTTTTTATCTCTCTAGAACATTCAGCACATTGCCTGCTTTTAGGACTTTAACTTGGACTTGGCTGCATTTAGAGCTGGAGTGGAGGATATTTTCTTAATTCTAATTTCTCTTTATAAAATATTTGTTTTTTTGAGAAAAGACCAACATGTTTGTTTATCTGCATTCAAGCTTCTTAAACACTCTCTGCAATTATTAGGGTTAGGGTTAGGGCCAACGAAGATTAATAACAGGTGGCTTCACCAACTCAGGAACTCCCACTACTCTCAGGTTGGCACGGAAGTTTTCACCACTCACAAGAATACAAAAGTTTACAAAATTGTGAATTAGCACATAAGCGAAAGGGGCTTTAATCAATCTTTTACGCATGGTTCACCATGACCACAAAATGCAGCCAGCAGAACACAGTTAGCCTTTTGGACTTGTCATGATATCAGTTGTAATTGAAAGGGCCCCACAGGTGTAATACTGCATCTGTCACTGCTGGCTTAGCTCTTCAAGTAGTATACATAAATACATGTGAAATATATTACTCAGTTGATTATTATTAATTACCCACTGAGCATTTTATGGTCTAAAAGAGGTCTAATAGGCGTCTAAATGTAGTCTAGACCACGGTCTAAAATCAGCCTACCACAGGTCTAAAAATGAAAGTTTTCAGACGTGTAAATTTAGACCGAGTTTAGACTAGCCAGCTAACAGAGGTCTACCAGTATATTGCTCAACGGCTATCATAATTATTTTGGTTTAGTACCTGGAGAAAAATAACTTGACGTCAAATAGCTGTCTATTGCTCAGTGGGTTACTATTAATATTGCATTTCTTATTGCGTGTTACCCTATAGTTTGACTTTGATGTTTTATGCTTGTGTTTGGACTACATTTACATGTGCTTGGCTATTTTCATAAACAAACATTTAACCCTCTCGTATAAAAAAAAAACAAACTGCGTGTAGCAAGAAGCTCAAGCCCACATTAGCCAATCAGAATCCCACATAGAAGCAACAACAACAATATCCCTTCCTTCTTCTCCGCGCACAATCTGCTGTCAGCTACCCAAATCTCAGTTTTCCAAAATCTCCACTCTGGCTGGAGTTTTTAAAATGCATCAGTTTCAGGGGCGAATGATGGTTGATGTCTTTGTTTTTATAAATAACTGGGTAGGTCTAAACATGGCCTAAATCAACCACAAAATGTTTGTCAGGTTTCACTGTTGATTGTGTTTTCCCTGCAGACAAAGAGAGACCATGTCTTTTAAGCAATCACTGCCCACTTGACTCACATCACAACAATTACAGTCATTTAAGAACATCCCCAAATAATCTAGGTGTGAAAATGCCCTTTAATACTGACAGCTCAAGACTCCACTGATCTTGAGATTTTGGTGAATTCTACGTCACGATCAGCAATCGTTATCTGCATAACGCATTAATTTTCGTCTTTCATTTTACCCTTCATCAAACCACAAATACAACATGAAGATCTAAATTTGTCATTCAGCTGGAATAAGGAAAACAAAATAAGCAGAGCAGAGAGAAATATGAAACATATTCAAAGTAGACCCAGCTGATGGGATGTGAGGATGAGGACGGGCTGAGTCAGTCGTCTCGTGCAGAGCCTGATGACTGTTTGTGCTCAGTGTCAGGATCAAAACATCACAGAGAAACAACACCCCTCTTCTTCCTCTGCCTCGCCTTTGAAACCATGCTACACCCTGATATTTTCCAGCTCCAACAAAGTGTGGGACACTTTAATGTCAACACCAGCCGTTAGTCATCATTAAGTGATGTTTGTGCGGTGACAGTTTTCCTCCTTGTAGTTTGTTCTGATCCTTGTTAACACCCGACTCATCCACACAAACATTTACATATGTGGCTGTTGGGAACACGAGCCCAGAAACAAACAGAGCAGCCCGACCTCACAGATCTCCGATGGAGCATGTCTATGTTTGCATGCTAACAATTTTCTTGTGTCTTATAGTCATCATGGTGGTCACACAGTTTAAAGATCTACAAGGTTGATACTGTGTGAACCAGAGGTCAGTGTGTCATTTCTCGGTGTGAGCAATAGAAGAAATGGAGCAAACAAATCTCAGTTATTCAATCAGGAGTTCTCATTTTGTTGTCCCACTTTTGGGGACCCTGTTCCTGTTTCAGAAATAGTGCAGGGAGATTTTTGGGTGTATCATGGGTTGCGGTTCTGCTTCTCAGCTGCTGCAAAACAATCCATCCCATGTTGCTCCATTGCTGCAAAAGAAACCTGAAGCTGCGACTCAGCTGCTGCAAAGACACTCATTTTCCTGCTGCTTAAGACACATGTCTTGTCTGCTTATCAGCTGTGAGCTAATTCTGCTACTGCTAAACTGCAGCCTTATGGGTTTTGTGATCATAAACCCTGTGCAGCTGTACTGAAGCACACCAACGACTTGCAGCCCTAAAGGGATATTCCGGCATCAAATGAATTCAGGGTCAAACACACCATAACACCAAGTTAGACACCCCCTCCAGAGATGAATGTTGCCGACCGCTTGCTTCTCTAGTTATACCAACTTTAGTAACAACCGCAGGATAGCAATACACAGCGGTTTATGGAACCACACAAACCTCAACCAAAACACCACTCTAAAGCCACAAATAATGCTCAGAACTTCATCAACAGTACATATAGGGCTAGCCATAGCTAGCCATAGTACTAGCCACCAAACATCTTTTAAACTTTGCGTACTTTCTTTAGCAAAGAGACTAAACACAACTCACCCACTTCCTCCAGCAGCCGCTTGTTTGTAGCGAGACCTCAGGCCAGTCCATCATTGACTGCAGAGGGGTGTCTTGGTCTGATTGCATTTCCATGAAGAAATTATCATAAATGTTCTTCCTTGAGCTGCGTCACGCTGCACCAGTCTGTAATGGACTGGCCCGAGGTCTTGCTACAAACAAGCGGCTGCTAGACGAGAGTAGGTGAGTTGTGTTTAGTCTCTTTGCTAAAGAAATTAGGAAATTTGGAGTAAAACAAAAAGGAAAGGGCCCAAATGCAGAACAAAAATGATTTATTTAAAAATAACTAAATAAGAAACAACAAAAACTTACTTATAATGTCAAATTAAAAAAATCCAAAATCCAACAAAAGGCACTGGGGGAACAAATCACCAGGAGACACTGGGGACACTGGCATAAACACACACCGACAAAGATACATACAGCATACACATCTAATGAACCAACAAAGAAACAGGGGAAGACAATGACTATATATATACAACAACAGGGAAATGAGCAACGAGAGGCAGGTGAGACACAGAGACACAGGTGCAGACAATTACAGAGGGGGGAAACTGAGAAAGTAAAACAAGACTAGAAACACAGGGAATAAACTACTACAAAATAAAACAGGAAAAACGGGAAAAAAACAAAAGGAAAAGTAATTTTGCATTTAGTTTTCTCATGATTTGCCCTGCAGAATCAGAAAAATGCCATATGAACAAGAAAAACAAGAAAAACATGATTTTCATCAGAGTGGGTCTATAAATTATTTCAAAACCATCAAACCGGGGTTCAGGCTGTTCCATCAACATCAAAAAATCTTGGCTGGGCTGAAGTCCTGCTGTTTTTTCAGGATTGCCCATGAAAGCAGTCAAATTTAGTCCAAAACCACCAATGGCTTCAGGTTGTTTCTAAGTTTGTTTTTTAAAGCTGTGCATATGAAGATGGTGTGACCAAATAACTGCTGGTTTTGGCCTGTAAATGAGATTGCTTTACCAGTAAAATAATGGCATTCATCCTTATATATCTGCTTATATTTCTGACAGTTGATTCCCATCTCTGAGTGAGACCTTCTGATGGCCTTTGTGATTCAGTGAGTGGGTTTAAAGCTCCAGTATGTATAACAGATCTGAAGTTAGGGGTGATCTGGCTGCAGGAGTTCTTAGTCCTGATCTGTGAGTGGATCTGTATTCAGGACCACAGAGATCCAGCAGGAAGGAGCTGCTGCAGCGTCGCTCTGATTCTCTCTGACAGACGGGGGATGTTTATTGAATTAGATGTGAAAGGGAAATAAAAGCGTTTTGAGCGCACAGAAACAGTGCAGTGCTGTTTTAAGGGTCCGGACAGCTGACCCCCTCTCTGCTGTTGGTTCTCCGTTAAAGCAGCAGAATCTGGCAGCGGTTCAGATCCTCTCTTTTCATGCCAGCTTCTCTCTCTCTCTCTCCCTCGCTCTCTCTGTGTCTCTCTGCCAGCGCTGACGCCAGCCTGCCCGCCTGTCAGGGCCAATGTTTCAGGCTGCCATTAACAGGCCGAGCACAGCTTCCCTCACACAATGCCTCAATGTTCAGAGTCACTAATGATTCTCTGCTGGCACCCTCTCTGTTATCACACACCAATAACAGGTGTGTCATTGTGTCTGATGGAGCTCTTTAAATGCTCACGTTGTATATGAAGTGGTAGTTTGGTCATATGATGGTGGTTCCGTCTCGACTCAGCTGTAACCCGGGATCCCGAGAGCCCTCAGAAAACAGCTTGAATCTGGAGGCAACCTGAGGACACGCATGAGCAGAGGAGAGAAATCTGGGACAGGAAACGCCAAGATTCACACCACGTCTTGCACCAAACAGAAGGTCCTCTTAAAGGCAAGACGTTCAGAAAATTAACCATTTACTGTAAGAGTAGTGGGTTTATAGTTTACAATAATCGAGCGAAGATACAGGTGATTTATATAGAAGACAAGTAGATAAGATATGCCCCTTTCAGACATGCACAAAGTTTCTGAAAATTTCCAGATATTACCCCGTAGGCGAGCTTCATGTGTGAACACAAACAGTTCAGTTTTTCACCCTGACCTCAACCTGGAATATCTCCTGCTTGCACCCTTAAAGTCCAGGTAAGTTTATGTGGGGTGTGGATGTTTCTCAAGCGGCTGGTGTTCAGCCCACCCACTGAGCATTTTTTGGTCTCAAAGAGGTTTAACAGACGTCTAAATGTAGCTTAGACGACTGGTTTAGAATCAGGCTACCGCAGGTCTAAAAATTAAAGCTTTTTAGAAATCTAAATTTAGAACAAGTTTGGACTAAATCTAAATCTGGGCTATATCTATACTGCACTGTATATTGCTCAACAACTATCATAATTGTTTTGGTTCGAGGACTATTCTGGTGTAAAATTTAGGGTCAAACACACCGTAACACAGAGTTAGACACCCCCTTGAGAGATGAATGTTGCCGACCGCTTGCTTCTCTAGTTTTACCAACTTTACACAGCTCAGGGAAACAATTATGATCATTTCTTCATGGAAATACAATCAGGCCGAGACGCTAAAGTATAAGAACTACCGCAGTGCAAAATGATTAATATGGTGATAATTACTTCAAGAAAATGATAAAGAAATGATCATAAATGTTCTTCCTTGAGCTGCGTCACCCCGCTGTTGTCCATCATGGACTGGCCTGAGGTCTCCTACAAACAACTGGCTGCTGGAAGAGAGTGGGTGAGTTGTGTTTAGTCTCTTTGCAAAAGAAACACAACTCACCCACTCTCTTCCAGCAGCCACTTGTATGTAGGAGACCTCAGGTGCTATTCTGATCATTATTTGTGGCTATAAAGTGGCTTTTTAGTTGAGGTTTGTTGATGGCTCCTGAGACCACTGTGTATTGCTATTGTGAGGTCGTTACTAAAGATGGTAAAACTAGAGAAGCAAGCGGTCGACAACATTCATCTCTTGAGGGGGTGTCTAACTCGGTGTTACGATGTGTTTGACCATAACTCAATTTTGCACTGAAATATCCCTTTAACTGCTTGGAGTAATCGGATAAGAAATGTTTTGCTCTCACTGTAATACTTTGCATTGAATCACGTTTGCCTCATTAAAAACCATCAGTAACACACAAAACTGAAATAGGCCAGGTCTTTCAAATGAATATTTTTACTGCATAAATCAGGAACCAAAAGTTTTACATTTTACCATGTAGTTCACATGAAACTACTGAAGGCAAGGTCTGCAGATGGTCTTTTAATTGCTATGGTAATGATCTTTGCAGTTTTCACTAAACCAGTCACAACTATTTCCAGGCTTTGGATCTAATTTTACTTGTTTAATTAATAGGCTGAAATAATATAATTCTTGGATACTAACATAATTTGACAAGCAAATGTACATTTATTCAATATATAAAAGTGTTACATTTTTATTTACATGTTGTTGTGTGTTGGTCATTTTGCAGCCCTCTGCTGCTCATCACACGCCTAGCAGGTGGTGTATAGCATTATCACCATGGATACACGGATGTTTGTGTGATTTTTTTCATCCACTGCCGCCCGGTTTGTGTCGTGTAGATGTTGATTATGAAAACACTTCGCAATAATTTGGAAACGTGAAGGGGGAGCTGCTGCTGCCCGGTGTTTACGGTAAATAGACGCAAACACCGACCAAGTGGACGCTTCGGTCTCCGAAAACGCCGAGACAAATTTACAAACAGCCACTATTTCAAACAACTGGGCTCATAATCGTGATGTAAACACTTACTTTCTCGCTAGAAAAAATATTATTATTGAATGAATTTATATAATTTGTCCGGTATGCAGTCGTTCTATGTAGCTTGTGGTAGGACTATTTAAATTTTCCCGGCGCTGCGTCCGGCCGGCACGAAATGCATTCTGGGGTATTTAGTATGTATGTGTGTAAACGCTCGGGCAGCCGCGGCATACTCAAATCATCTTTGAGTAGTCAGTAGGCAGTAGCTACTGCTTGAGTAGGTAAGTAGATAGCAGGCAGTATGCCATTTCGGACACAGCTTCTGTCTGTCCTCGTTTCCCTCCATGATTGAACCAAACGCGCGGCAGCGGAAGGAGCGGAAAGAGCACGCTTCTGCGCAACAGAAATAACCGTCCGTGTCAAACACCGTGCGCTGCACATGGTTCCGGATTTAAACGATTCCTCGAGGAATTTTATTAATCGAGTTACTCGAGTTACTCGAGTAATCGTTTCAGCCCTAGATGTGTTTGACCCTAACTCAATTTTACACTGAAATATCCCTTGGAGATCAGTTATACAACTTACAGTTGCTTTTTTAAATAAATAGTTATCAAATAATGGGTTAAAGTGCAACATCTAAATTCCTCCATCAAATAATATTCCCACAGGTGACAAGCTCATCCCATGCCCCAGCTGCTTTGTGGCGCATCTCGCTGGGAAACACTATTCAGTAATAAAACACAGTCATGTAACATGACAGCACTAACTGGGATCATTCAGGCTTCATTGTTCTGTAAACTTACGTCACGTTGAGTGAATAAACTTTCTGAATAAACTAGTCGAATTATACACAATGTACAAATGCTGTCTTATGTAAGAAGTTTGGCTTTTGATTTCGTGTTGGAGCTCTGCGGTACAGCCTTGCAAATGACCTCCATCTCTTTCATGGTGTGAATGCACTCACTGAGGCTGACAGAGAAACCTTCAGACAGGTCTGAGGGAACAGAGTCTCTGCAGGAACAGAAGAGGTTCGAGGACATTTAATTTTCAATTTTAACACAAAGGCATCACCCCCCTTTTATACCCACAGCCACCTACAGCCAGGTTCACACTCAAATCTACAAAACACACACACACACACACACACACATATAAGCATGCACAAAGAAAACAGAGAGAAGAGGGTTAACATCACAACATCACAGCACCCTCTAAAAAAATGTAGTTCCTTCATCTGTTTCTGTGAACCATGTGACAGTAATGACCCCACCAGCCCTGACACACACACACACACACACACACACACACACACACACACACACACACACACACACACACACACACACACACACACACACACACACACACACACACACACACACAAACAATCTCCCACACAGCACATGGAGAGAAGCCATGTGGGCCTGTCACAAGAAAACAGCCAATCAAATTAACTGTGGAGGACTGTTTTTTGGTGGCAGGTTGTTTCCTATTTCCTCTCTAATTGAAGTGCTGCGGCTTTGAATTACAGCGGGCAGAGAAGAGAAGTAGTTTGGAGGTATTTTTTGTTCCTCTCTCTTCTCTGCGTTTACTCTGATAAAGATTCAAAGTCACTGAGTCACTGAATCGGTCCTGCTCTCATCTGTCTGCGTTTGTGTCCTCTCTCTTTCAGCTGAACACACCAGCACTGATAGTATGACTGCGCTAAAAAAGACCGAGCATGTGGATCATTTTTTCTATGAGTGAACCTGCTGAGGTAACTAAGCCCAGCGATTTCCTGTTCTAGTTCTATAGCCTGCTTAATTCATGAGACATGTTTTGAATCATTTCAGGAAATTCAGGTCCTGATGGTTTCCAGAAAAGCCTCTTTCACACGTGCACTTCACAGCAGGAGACTGTTAGTGTCAGATGCTCTCAAACTAAAAACACTCCTTTTGGTGTATGTGAAAAGAGAGATACCATCCTACGAATCAGTGAATCAGCCCTGCATGGTTAATTTATTAGTGGTGACAAGCTCTTAAGACACAACCATGATATATCTCTCAACCACAACCAAGATAACTGTTGAAATTAAAAATCTGGTTAATTATTAATCCACGGTTAGACTACACAGTACCCAAACCAGAACGGATGAATCATTAGTTCGGGCAGGCCACAAAGTCAGGCTCAGCCTTTGATACAACAGCTGTTCATAACTATGGCCAAAAGTCAAAATGCCGCCACCCCGCCTACTCTTGCTGCTTTTTCTGCAAACAGCTTTGCAACCTGCTTCTACCCCAGCCATCCTTTTATGTTGTGTCTAGTTTTCAACAATTTCAGTGCTCCATGGTCTTTGCTGCTGTCCCCCAAATATCACTTTTTGTATGCAAATAATCATTTCTCTTGGCTTGAAGTTAGGTTGAGTTAGGGTGACCATATTCTGACTTCCAAAAAACAGGACATGACCACAAGGGTACGGAGTCACGGAGTTGCACGAAGTTAATTGTGAGTTTTTCGAGTCGCATCGAGTGTCCTTTATGCGCTTCTAACTCAGTAAGTCCATGTGACAGAAAACTGAAACTTATGTACAAAACTGCGGACATTTGAAGGATTTTATAAACTTCCCTGGACAAAGCCGGACAAGCCCAGACAGCCCTGACAGCCCCCCAAAAAGGGGACATGTCTGGGTAAAAGAGGAGGTATGGTCACCCTAGCTGAGCTAGGGTTTCCTGTATGGGGACCACTATCTTTGTACATGTAACACCTCTTCAGAGAGGAATGAATAATGCTGATTTCATATAGTGTGTTGGGGACTGGTCCTTGGGAAGAATGGGTGTTTGGCCTTTAAGGTTGCTTTTCTGTAAAAGAGTTCACTCTACCATCCAGCTATCCATCCATCCATCGATAATGGACAACTTGGTTCTGTCTTCAGTGTTGGCGTTGACGCAGTGATGACGTTTGGCTCAAACAGCATATCCCCCGGGTGAGCTATGCAATCCTCGTACACCCATAGGCTGTATCAGGTGTCAATCATAGAAAACATGAACCCCCTAATAACTTTCAAAATCAGAGCTGTACAAGAAAAAAAGAGGACTTGAGCACAAACCAGTCTTACAGTAACTACATGTCAACATCACAACCAGGGGTGAGAAAAATTTATATTCTGTGTTATAAATTTCTGAAGTTTGTCGACAGCTCCATAGGGATGGCTGGAGGAGGCGGGATTTATGACCTATACTGCAGCCCGTCACCAGAGTGTGCCGTTCTCAGGGTGGCTTCACCCAGCGAGGAGGCAGACTCTGTCCATTCTATACACAGTCTATGGATCTGATCCAATCTAGTCCATCATAATCCACCATGGCCAAAATACTAGGTTGCAATTTAGGTAACAATTTACAGCGTCAAGTATCCAGAAGTTCAGAGATTACCATTAACTTTGTAACTCTGATAAAAAAATGGCGTCTTGATGCTTGTAGTCGAAGCAGCTGGAAAGCAGGTCAGTTTATCCTCGACTTCAAACCCGTGAACAGTAAACTGCTGACAGGTGCACACGGCTAACATGACACAGAGAGGTTCAGTCAGAAGTGAATACAGGCAGTGATAGTGCTAACTAAAAGTAAAAGCTGGTTCTTTTAAGTGGTGGGAAATGACCCCATTCCTCTGTCCCAGACCATGACCTACCACTTTGGATTAAGAACTACCCCCCCTCCTCACTAACCCTCACCCTTGGTGCACCAGTAGCCTATATGACATTCCTTTACTTTCCCACAAAAAGGAAAGCCAGCCGCTGGTTTGCTGCCAAATGTTTAAAGTGCATAAAATTGCATGCAGACATAAAGTTTTACTAACATGAACCAGTGTCAGCTCTGAATGTTTAACTGGTGACGTCATTTATCAGACACAGGTGAGGAGGAGGAGGAGGAGGCGTGTGCAAACATCTGTTTACTGTTAACAACTTCACATCTGTGTGTGATTTTGGCTCGGACAAAAATCATAAAAAGGGATCGATTTTTGTCTGAATTCATCAGTGTGCTCCTCCTTTGAAATTTTAATAATCAACAGACAACTATCTCAGCATCACGAGCAAAAACTTCCATCAAACACTTTGATCAGTCAGCAGAGGATCGATCACATGGCCTGACAATCTCTTCCTCTGGTTTATGTTTCTCATTAAAACAGCCATAAACACACAACAGTCACTTTCTATTCTTCCTCTCTGGATTTATGAGCAGAGGATGCTCCTCAGTTTTATAGGGGAACTCCATATTAACTTTTATAGTATGATCTTCAACACTACACTTCTAATGCACGCATGTGTCTGATGTAGTTAAAAGGTCAAGCTGCAGCTGCCTAAACAAACAAACAACTGAAAAACACTACTTTATAATGATGCTGTGTTTTCCCAACCTCTCGCTCACACATCCATCACACCAGGGAGGAAAAAAAACGTGTGACCTTAGAGATGCGAAACAGTATCCTGCGGGAGCAATGTGACACACATTATCTGCTGCAGGATGTGGGTCAGAACTGCAAGGAAAACCTTCTGGCTCGAAAACCTCAAAATGTGACCGGATATTAGAGACATTCTGGTATTTTTGGAAAACTGTACTTGATACAACCTTTGCTCCATAAAATTTGGGATGCGGTGTAAAATGTTAACAACAAAATTTATGATGGTTTTCCAGTCATTGCTGACATCCATGTGATGACCTTTGACTGCATTCACATGGGCACAAATAATCGGAATAAATGCCCGATCGGAATAAAAAATGCATTATGTAAGCACATCAATTGGAAGATTCTGATCCAATTCGGCTCAATCATAAAAATATTGTATTCCAATCGAGAGGGGTTGTTTATGCCGATCAATATTCCGAAACGCGTCCATTCTGAACACTTAAGGTCCTTACACACCGGGGCCAACGTGAATTTTGAAGCGCCTGACTATCCACATCAAGCCCAATGCAATTTTGCAACTTTCCAGGGGGAAAAAGACGCATCCTGGGAAGACTTTTTCTGGGGAAAGTCCCGCCTCCTTCGCCTCTGATTAACTACAAAAGCTGGAAACGTCATCACACGCTCAAGCCAAACGGTCAGCACTTATAGACAATCAGAGGTGATAAGATAAGCACATGAAACTATGGTAACAACGGTTAGCTTACGTTAGCACAGATGAAAGTTAAAACAAAGATGTTTAGCAAACTGTTAAAGCACACAAACCATCTTCATATGAGAGATCCGACGCTATGACTCTCCACAAGTTGTCCTTCAGGTCATTATCTTTGTAATGTTTGTCTTTTATCAAAAAGCACTCTCTTCTCGGATAAATAAATAATAAATAAAATAAATAAAACTTGGTGCATGTATACACACATCATGATAGGATTTTGATTTTGCATATAAACAGTGGATTCAGATTATCTGATCCTTCAAACCTTTAATCGGATCAAGAAATTTTGCCCATGTGAACATGGCTGATGCCAAAACCCATTCTACAGGGATTACAACAACATGGCTCTGTAGTAGAAGAGGCCTGCTGCTAAACTAGCCTGCCTCTAGTCCTGGCTTGTCACCCATTGAAATCAGTCATCTCATCATAGAACGAACAGGAGACCCCCTATCTACTGAACAGCTGAATCTCATATCCTCAAACCCTTAACTTTCAAGTCTTAATAAGAGAAGAATTCAACACGATGGTAAACACCTCTATCCCAACCTTTTTGAAGTGTCTTACATTTAAAATGTGCATTTATATTTCATTACAAAAGTCTTCCTGGACCCGGCACTGAATCTGGATGTGTTTAATCTTTCCCTGACACAGCAGATCTATCAATTAAAATTCCTGTTTTTATCAATGGAGTCTGGTGTCTTTGAAGAGAATGATGTAACAGATGTCTCTGGTTAAATCAAATTGTCTTGTTGGGAAAAAGAAGGATCCTTTTAGCAATGTTGTCAGACCATCAGAGCCTGAAACCAAAAAAAAAGAAAACAAGATCTTTAACAGCATGTACTTTGATTGATAAAAGATTATCTTCAGACATAAGTAGGCCTGCTGTGAAGACATACGAATAGACATATGTGCACGCTATAAGAATAGAAAAGCTCTTTGTATTAAATAAAGACAATATTTTCCTGATAATCCAGGCACGTTTGAAAAAGGAATTTTCCATTTAAATTGTGCACTTTATCACACGATAATCGTGTGCAATGCCTTTGTCTTTAACCAATATTCAGTCTTTCTTCACCACAGTCCTTTTGAATCATCTTCTTTCAAATTGTTTCAAAAGACAGGCCCCTGAGCTAGTTTCTCAAATCATATTGTTAAGTTGAACAGAGTTTCTCATTTCATTAAAGTCAATGTTGACTCATTGATCCATCCTTCACACATCTGCTGCCCAGAACGGTCTTTGTTATTCTTTCACCGAATTTCTGGGACCATTTGTCTCTGGCACTGGCGGTGTGAATTGTCCTCCATCTGAGTATGCAGCCATTTTCAAACAGAGTAAGACAAGAGCTGCTCTGCTAGGCTTTCATTGCACATGCCGGTGAACTGCATCATAAAAGTGTTGGTTGTAATAAAATTGATTCAGGGATTAATTACAGAGCGGTGCTCAGATTGGGCTCCGAATACCTGGTACCATTTTATTAGATCATTCATTGCAGCTTTTCTTTTTCATTAAAGACCAAACAGGCCGGTTTTTGCCTTTGTGGACTCATCGGCTCAAAATCAGAAACAGGACACTTCTTTTTCTGTTGGGAAGAAAGGTAAGAAAGACTCGGCTGAAAGCTGAGCTGGTAAACCTTTCAAACATTACAAATACTCTGAGCTGGATAAGCCAAAATAATTGGAGGTTTTAATATCGTTATAAGCATAATCTGTCTTCAGACATGGTGTTTTAATCTGACGCTGAAGAAAACTATCAATACTAAATGTCACAGGCTTCAAACTCAAAAATTTAGCCCAACCCCCAACCACAACCCCAAATACTTCCACCACTGAGGCTTAATCCCGACCTTTCCAAGAAAATGTTCCCCCTTCAAAGACAGAGATACGATCCAAGACCACCAGAGTCGACGGTCTTTTCTCTTTGGTTTTTATAACATTATAGATAAAAGTCAGGTACAGGGAAGCTACAGAAAAACACTGATGGGTCAACCAGTTCAATCACAGGATGTGTCAGAGCAACATCGGTGCAGAAAGGACCTGAATCTGTCCATCTAAACACCAAACACTCAGCTAGAACAACCAGAAGTGAACGCCTGAAAGCCCTTTTGGAGGTTAAGTGTTTTTTGTATCTGTCAGTCTCTGGTTGTGTACAGTTGCTATGATACGGGGTAAATCCAAGGATGCAAAAATGCTGGCACAAGGTTGAGTACTCGCCCTGAATTAAGGGAAGACTAGTCCAGGTAGGGGAAGTGGATTGACCTGCTACAGTGCTGTGAAAAAGTATTTGCCCCTTTAAAGATTTTCTGGTAACACTTTACAATAACCATCATTTATAAATGATAAATACATAGTTTATTAATGTTTAATCATCACTTAAAAACAGCATAAAGACCAATTATAAATGGCAAACAGATAGTTTATTCATGCAAGTTAAAAGTAACTTTACCATTAACAAGCAATGAAATTATGATTAATAATTTTCATTCATTATTAATGGACCATTTATTAAAGGTTTATACAGGGTTTAAATATTGGTTGTAAAACATCTAGATTAAAATGTGTTTAAGTAGCACTTTTTAAATGGTTAATATTTGGTTTTTAAATCATCTATAAACATTACTTAGATGGTTATTATAAAGTTGCAACTGATGTTTGTAATACTTTGTAAATAATTAATAAATGGTTTATAAACACCTATAAACATTACTTAGATTGTTATTGTAAAGTTAGGGTTAGGCTTTTAAAATTGTTGAATTTACAATTTATTAATGGTCTACATGCGATTTGTAAATGATGATTAAACATTAATAAACTATCTGCTTACCATTTATAAATGGTCTATTTACTATTTATAAGTTATGGTTATTGTAAAATGTTACAGATTTTCTTCTTTTTTTGCTTTTTCGTCACGCTCACATGTTTCAGATCACCTAACAAATTTAAATACCAGACAAAGATCACCTGAGTTAATGCAAAATGCACTTTTGAAATGATGATTTCATTTATTAAGGGGGAAATAAGCAATCCAAATCAACATGGACCTATGTGAAAAAGTAATTTCCCCCCCTTGTTAAATTAGCAGCAGACCTTACTAATAGCACACAGCATAAGCCTCTGGGTTTGCATGTAGACCAGGAGGGAGGACATTAAAGACAGATTACAGACATTCTTTGGGTAGAAAGGAACTTTTGACACGACACAAGGTATCTCCTTTTCCTTAAAATCCGACTAACTTTTAGGCATTAACAGATTTATCACCTCCGAGAACAATGAGAGGTCTGAGGCAGATGAATACTCTTCATGTGTGGCAAACGCTGATCCATTATCAATACATCCACCTTTTAATCTGTATTCTTTAAAAAACTTAACCCCTTTAAATCCTCTTTAAAAAATGCAACCTTAGCCCGTCTAATCTGACCCCAGACCAGACAAGAAGTGATCAAGTCCTCAGAGTCTACCCACTTAGTTAACTGGTGTCATGAGTGTCTGGTTTCCAACAGACATCTGTCTACGAATGAGGAATCAGCATTGACCAATTATGAAGGAGTTTGTACTGACTGATACTAACCGTAAGTCGTTATCAATGGATCATAGCACATGCAATTTCACATACAAGCATGTTTCTCCCTCTGTTTTATGTCTTTTAAATTGTGTGTGTGCGTATGCATGTGTGTGTATGTGTGTTGATTAGACGTGTCTTCCTTCACACCATGTGCGGACTGTTGAGCAGACCAGCTGCAGACAGAGTGACTGTTTGATCTTTATTAAAGACATCCGTGTTATCAGTATTACTCATCTGAACTGCAGATGAGGACAAGTGCGTGCGTGTGTGTATGTGTGTACATGTGTGTGTGTGTTTTCTGTACACGGCTGTTCTCAGTAACACATATGGATTTAACACGATGGGCTTGTTTTCTGCCTGCATCATTTCTCTCAGTTGATCATAATTTAATAAAGCTGAGGTTATTTTCAGCTCTGGACAAATTCTCCTCAGAACGGCATGTTTGTTAAATTAAGCATCGAATTGTTGAATCTTCAAGTGGAAATAAAACATCTGAGTTTACAACATGTCCTGTTTGTGGAGAGGATGTCAAAAAGTGAAGCGGTGTACCTGCTGCAGGTTTCAAACACACTCAGTCAACACAAGATTGTTCTCTCACTCTCTCTGCTGACTGCTCACCTAGCCTGCACCTATCACCTGCTCAGGTAACACATGGGCTGGACTGATACAAGAAAACTTCAGACAATGCATAAGACAAACCGAATCATTTTTATAGAGTTTGAGTCTGTGGACATTGAGAGGTGAAGGGGTGAGGTGAGTTTTTCACTGGTCATGGTGAGCTTCCTTTGTTGGCAATTTGTGAATAAACAGTAAGGAGTGTGTTCAATTAAATAAAGAGCTTAGACTTAAAACAATCTGTTGGAGAAACATCAAGTTCCAACAGATCCACCCAACAATGAAAGACAGATATAAACTGTGAAATTTGATATATTCGTCACAAATGAGCTTCACCTGTTTTATCTCAGCTTGTCTGTTTTTTTTTTGTTTTGTTTTGTTTTTTTGCCACCAGCTTAATCCACATTATTCCTTACTTAGCAGGTACCCACTGAGCATTTTTTGGTCTAAAAGAGGTCTAATAGACGTCTAAATGTAGCCTAGAAGACTGGTCTAAAATCAGGCTACCTCAACCTGGAATATTTCCTTCTTGCTCCCTTAAAGTTCAGGTGAATTTTTGTGGAATGTGGAGGTTTCTCAAGCAGCTGGTGTTGAACCTAGTTTTGTTACTTGGTTGAAAATCGCAGCTGTAACGTAAATCAATACTCGGGTTGATCTGCTTGTGCTGTCTACTACTGTTTTCAGGTTATAGACAGATATAGGAATAGGCAGCAAGTTTTGCACACTGGCATGAAACTTCCAAGATTATTTTATTATATATTATATATATTTCAGGGCACCGACACTCACTCAAATAATGCACTCAGTACAGGATCACTTCATATCACACCTCTACTCTCTTTATTTGTGTTTACGGAGATGTAGGATTGTCCGTGATCCTCTCTATTTACCATCAAGATTTAGAGAGGAGTTTACCCACTGAGTACTTTTTGGTCTAAAAGAGGTCTAATAGACATCTAATTGTGGCCTGGACCAGTGGTTCTCAACTAGTGGGTCCTGACCCAAAAGTGAGTCGTGGACATGTTATGGATGGGTGGCGAACAGCTGGTCAAAAAAGTAAATATTTAATGTTTGACATGTCTTTTATTTTGAATAATAGCTTATTTCAAAAGGCACACATTATGTCGTGGTCCTCCTCCTGAATGCAGTAAAAATACATGTTTTTTGGGGGGGTTTTTTGTCTTTCATTTCGGCAGTTGTCGTCCTCAGCCCTTGTGCCCTGAAATGCACTTAACTCAATAAAATGGGTGTATTTATGGTAAAGATTTAAGTCTTTATAGGTTTTTCTAATAAAAAATAAGTTTGCTTGGTTTGTATTCGATAAAAAAATGGGTCGCGAATAAGGACCATGGGAAAATAAGGGTCCCAGAGTGAGACCAGTTGAGAACCACTGGCCTAGACGACTGGTCTAAAATCAGGCTACCACAGATCTAAAAATGAATGTTTTTTAAGCGTCTAAATTTAGACCAAGTTTAGACCAAGTCTAAATCTGGGCTATATCTATACTACACTGTATGTTGCTCAACGGCTATCATAATTATTTTTGAATAGCCGTTGTATAGCATTTAATAGCCGTCTATTGCTCAGTGGGTATTTGTGTCTGATCGACTTGTTCGCTCATTCACTATTGTTGTAAATTGATTTAAATTAAAAAGATGTTAAATGTGTGATTGCATTTTTGTAGCTGAACCTCTCTCACGCTGACAGTGCTGAAAGTAGGTTACTTAAGGCCCTCTGGGGTTTAATGTACCGTCATATGACTGTGTTTCTGTATGGTTGACTGATCTATTGCAGAAATAACCGTTTCACACATAACCTGGACAGCAGAGACCGGCTCTCGTTCTCATGACTCTGAATCTGTGGACTGGTCTGACGTGCTGCAGAAATGTGACGTCCTGTGAATTTCCACCTTTTGTCTGGGAGAATAGGGGTCATGACACTGTCTGTGGTGGGGGGGTGGGGGTGTTGTGATGGTGAGGTTTTCTCAGGGGTTGGACAGGACCTGGTACACACTGGTGCCATACTTTTTCCTGACCCCTCAGACCACCAGGAACCACCCAGTCTGTCACCTTCTCTGTCTGTCTAGGAGCCTTACAGAGTTTTTTTGTGCACATTCCTCTGCAGAACATCACACCGGAGTACATTTTTGTATGATACATTAAATAACACTCACTTTAATGATGTGGCACTTCTGCAGGTTCAAACAAGGTTACAGCTGAGCAGCATTAGATAAAAAATAACTGTCTTTTTTGGTCTAAAATATATTAAACAATTTTGTTTGCTCAAGACACTTAACAAATAGAGTAGGTCTAGACTGTAATCTTTTCTATGAGTTTACAAAGACCCGACATCAAGGTTAGATAAGATTTATTTCCTCTTAATCCACCATGAGCAGAGCACTTTGTGGCACTTGGGCAATAGGGGCAAAGAAAACTGTCTTCAACATTCACAAACCTGACTCCTGCTGAAAAATGATCTGCTGCAACAGTGTTGGAATTGGAAACAGGTGTAGAGGGTGATTAAGACGAAAAGAGATGGATAAAGACGACAACAATAACAACAACAACATCGCATACAGACATAGGGTTAATGTGCCAATGATAATGGTAAAAGTATGTGTATGATTTGTCATGTCTGGGATTTCTGGATCTGTTGATGTATGTCTTCTTTATTGCACAGTAAGATTTCAACCAGTATTTGTGGATGCTGCAACACGCTGTTTCTAGAAGTGATTTTGTGCTCATACAGTGATTCCCACTTCAGTCATGTCTGTTCTTATAGCAGTGCAGCCTGAGCTCTCTAATCTAGGTTTGATAACTTCAAGGGAGTGGGTAAACTTAGTGAAATCCTCAATTTTCATTTGATTATGCTTTCTTTTAATATTAATATGTACATAGTTGAGTTTCCACTTTAAAATGTTTAATTACTTGGTATTTTGTCATGTTTTCATGGGATTTACCTTTCCTGGTTTCCCTCTCGCCCAATTGTTTTCAATTAGGGCGGGGTCAGGGAGGTGCTTCAAAAGAGCAGCCAGCCACTTCCAGGAGAAGTGTGTGGTTGGTAACAAGCCTGCTGTGAGGCTGTTTTATTTTCCTTTGTTAGACCTTTAGTTGAGTTGCTTTTGTTGATTTCCTTAACATTTTTTGAACATTAAACAACCACCTCACTGCTGACCTGACTGTTGTATTTTTAACCTCTGATGCTCCATCCTGTGTTTTAGAAGGACACAGAAATACCTCAGAGGGTGTAATTCTACAGCCATCTAGAGGTAATATTAATAAAGGTAGATACATTAACTTTTTCATTGTTGAATGAAATCAAAACAAAAACCCTCAGAGGAAAACTAGTTAAGTGGACATGAGGAACAAGTTGGTGTCAAGGAATATGAGATACTTTTTTAACCATGGGATCAAATGTCACCTTTCAAAACCAAGTGTGCTACAGGAACAAATCCTCAAATCCTCCGTGATCATTTTCACTGAAGACTTTTCTCCTGCTTTAACTGGAATACTGCACCAATGTCCATATGTCTGACTCCTCTACTGTAGGTGGCCACATGCCCTCTTTCAACTCGGTCATCATCTGGTTTACCCTCTATGTCAGGGACTGAATAAGACCGATGCGTTACCAAGAGCCATGGGATATACATATATCGAACAATGACAATACTGTCACATCTCTGTACCTTTCACAAGTAGGATATGACAATTTCATCATTATAAGTTCTTCGGAAAATCAATCCCCCGATGACAGCATGTTATTCATTTCTTGCCTGGAGTAAGAAACACATCTCTAGTAGACCATAATAGTACAACAGCAGTTTGAACAAACGTCACAGTAGTATTGCATTGTGGGACATTTTAAGCTAAATAATCAATTACCGTCTTTTTCGGACTATAAGGCGCACTTAAAATCCTTTGATTTTCTCAAAAATTGACAGTGCCCCTTATAATCCAGTGCACCTTATGTATGATTACTTGTTGTGCTTACTGACCGATTTTATGTGGTAAAATGCACTAAAAAGTTTGTCGAAATGTGCAAGTCTAAATTTGGTAAGCCACAAAGCCGCTCCAAAGATATTCAGAGCATTACAGCACTCTGTGTCACTACCTGATCACCGTAACAGGACCCCTGAGCCGTCAACAAGACTGCCTGACTGTAATGTCTAAACGAGAAGTACATTCATGTAAGGGAGCCGCAGTACACACTAGCAACAATAAACCAATCAATGCTTAATGCGCCTTACAATCTGGTGTGCCTTTTGTGTGATCTGGCAATCAGACCTGAAACTCCAAAGTCTGGTATCTCTGAATGTATTCAAATCCATGATAAATTCAATCACATCCAGGCTTCAGGAGTGCAAATGTTTGACTAATCTTGTAAATTCTTTTAACTAATTCTGAAAATTCAATTATCATTTGTATTATTTGTATTCTATATGATTAATGTGATTATGTATTGAAACTGTATGTGCTGCCATTCTTGGCCTGGTCTCTCTTGCAAAAGAGATCTTGGATCTTAATGGGACAAACCTGGTTAAATAAAGGGTACAGTAATAATAACAAAGGCACGTTAATTCACAGTGCGCTGTATAATCCGGTGCACTTTATCACACGAAAAATATGGTAAGGGTAATAAATCCCACTATAATGTACATTACAGTGTTTAAAGAGAGTGAAATGTTGCATTGAAGATTTGAATATTTGGTCGGTTAACTTTATCAGAGAGAAAATGTTTTGCCTTCAATATAACAATTAAATTGTCATGATTAGACTAGAAAAATGTTATCTAACTAACAAAACATGACTGTTTGAAATCTTATTTCAGCCAGCTAAAGTGAATTAGAGCCATCACCTTGTTGTTACTTTTTTTAGGCGTCATGTGACTCTGCAGCAGCACACAAACAAACACACAAGGCAAAGGACTGAATCTCTCCTCTTCTCCTGAGTTTAAACCACTGAACATTAATCAGCAGAGTGTCACCATGTGTGACGCTCATTAACTTGTGTGTGCGAATGTGTGTGTTAGGTATGTGTGTGTGTGTGTATGTGTGTGTGTGAGCGTATGCCTGTGCATATAGGTGCCCATGAATACCTCTTTGTCCACAAGATGTAGTACCCTGACGGTGCCAAGAGTCTGCCCACTGTTTCTAAAGCCTGGTCAGAGGGCCTCAGTCTCATTATGAGCCTGACTGCCTTTATGTTCTGGACACACACACATGCACGCACACATGCACATACACATTTGCAAACCCTTACACACATGCAGGGACACATACACCTATATATCCATGGGATCTCACAAGAAGTCAGACCTTAAACCAGTCCTGAACTGTGATTAAAATGTAATAAAATCACAACCTAATCCTGAATCCTGGTTCTGCTGAGAATCTGGACTCAGGTAGACCCCCAGTGATCCATGCAGAACCGAGCCAAGAGAGGCCTGGTCAGGGTGCCAGTGCCCCGAGCATCTCCAGGGAGGTGGCACCCAAATAGCCCCGCACAAACACTGCATTTCTTCTGCAGCGAGAGATCCAGCTTAGCAACAGCTTTGTCTCTGAGCTGCTGGCTAAACTCAAACAGCACAAACACACACATACACAAACACACAGTGCACACACACACACACATTATCCATACTCTCATTGATAGGCTTTTCATGTATAAAAGATGCTGGAACAGTACAGGCAGTTATATAACAGGAGATAAATGAGAGGCCTTTAATGAAGGTGAGTATCTGCAGCAGGAGTCAGAAAAACAGCCTGCAGTGATTGATTTTACAAAGAAAACTTGATCTCACCCTCAAACCTTGCTCGGTTTAACCTTCCTGAACCAGCACTTTACTCATTTTAGTGCTGGCATTCACAAAACAGTGAGAGAGAATTTCTAATCCAGATTGTTTCCAGTGATCATGAATCACCGAAAGAGAGCGAATGGACCCGAGCAACTGCATGCAAGAGGAAAGTTTCAGTAAAGACAGACACTTTCCTGCAGCTCCATCACAACAACAAACAAATAATATAGCCCGAGGAATTAAACGCCACACAGGAGACAATTTCTGTGAGATTCTGGTAGCTGCAGATAAAATACATAATATGTGAGTACGTATGACAGAACTTGTGTTTGAATGGGTGATAACAGTATAACAGATCCCAGATTTGTCAGACTGTGACATTGATGACATTATTAAAATCAGAACACAGTCCACTAACAACTGAATCTCAGCAACTGTTGCCTAAACTTACAACATTCAAACTAAGGCTGAAAATGAGGAACAATTCCAGGTCAGAACTAGTTTCAACTGGTTTGCCCCATCACATTAGTGCTTTTTAGCTTAATGGTTCTCTTACTGAAACCTTTATTTTATTAGCATGCCTTGCGAAACGATAACATGATCACAAGAAGCGGTCCACACGAATAGCAACAGAGGAAGTAATCATGGAGGGAAGAAGATAAAAGAAGTCCATCACACTATCATGTTCAACTTAAAGGGATATTCTGGCGTAGAATAAAGTAAGAGTCAAACACCGTAACACTGAGTTAGACATCCTGGCAAGAGATGAATGTTGTCGACCACTTGCTTCTCTAGTTATACCAACTTGAGTAACGACCGCACAATAGCAATACACAGTGGTCCCAGGAGCCACGGGCTCAACCAAAAAGCCCCTCTATAGGCACAAATAATGCTCAGAACAGCAGCTAACTTCATCAACAGTACATATAGGGTCCTAGCCATATCACTAGCCACCAAACATCTTTTTAACTTTGCCTGAGACTAAACACAACTCACCCACTCCCTTCCAGCAGCCGCTTGTTTGTACGGAGACCTCCGGGCGAGTCTATCGACTGCAGCGGGGTGAAGCAGCTCAAGGAAGCACATTTATGATAATTTCTTCATGGAAATGCAATCAGACCGAGATGCTAGGACAGAAGAACTACCGCGTCTGCAGTGCAAAATGATTAATATGGGGATTATTAAATAAAGGAAATGATAAAGTAAAGATGGCTAGTGCTGTGGCTGGGACCCTATATGTACTGTTGATGAAGTTAGGTGCTGTTCTGAGCATTATTTGTGGCTATAGAGTGGCGTTCTGGTTGAGGTTTGTGCGTGGCTCCTCAGACCGTTGTGTATTGCTATCGTGCGGTCATTACTAAAGTTGGTTTAACTAGGGAAGCAAGCGGTCGTCAACATTCATCTCTTGACAGAATATCCAACTTGGTGTTACGGTGTGTTTGACCCTAACTTGATTTTACGCTGGAATATCCCCTTTAATTCTGTTGAGTTCACAAATTCAGTCCCAAAATTAAAACAGTACCATGTACCAACTTACTGTGCAATTCATTTGCTCTGTAAGACCGGTAGCTTTTTGTGTTTTTCCAGGGTCTCTATATATCGCAGTGACAGAGTATTTTCAGAGACTGTTAGGATCCAATCTCCCCAAAACAAATTTACTCTGTGATGATTTACATCTTGATTTTAGCAAGTAGTGCCATTCCTGTTGTTTGCTGACTATGCTAGACAGGGCCATCTTTGCTCTGGTCTGCCAACCAATCAGAGGCTGTATCTTAACCTGTAAGAGTCCAATCAGAAGCCAGAAGCTAGAATCATATTTTTTCCAGATGTAGTTCCAGTGTCCTCTCTCCAGCTGTTTGAGGCTGACCAGTATGATATCCTGTAATTGTAGATCAGTATGTGGATTCCTAACCCTAACCCTATCCAACTACCAGCACTCTGTTTCAGTTGAAGCACCTCTAGTTTAAGTTCACCCCAGTTTGCTGACCTTAAGCTGGGTCAAGCTCTCCTCAGTGCCAGGGCTTCTCGGATAGAGTGTTCAGTGGATTAGTGTTGAGCCTTTGGTTATTGATATTCTGAGTATTTTATATGAACTGTTCTCAGGTTAAGATGAATGTTTTCTCTGTAATGTTTTTAGTCCTGGCTATTGGTGACATGTGAAACCAGGCCAAACAAACGGTTTATAGTTGTGAGAATTTGAACCATGACGATTAAAAAAGCATCTGTGATTTCAAAGTGACGGTCTCGTTACATGTGAGTGAAAGCAGATTTCCTCCTAGAAAAACAGCTTGTCTTGTTGCCGAAACCATTTCTCCAGACTCATTGGATGATCATTTTTGAGTGATATCCCTCTCGCTCCACCCCCAGCATGAACTCTGTAACAATCAAAAGGAGACATTCACTGCAGATTGTGCACCAATTCAAAAATGTAGCTACATATTGAAACAACTCGGACCGCAAGTCATGTGATTGGTTCGCTTGGTGGCAAATAGATGATGCTGTCCTTCTTCCTGTGCAACTCAAATCTCTTCTCTTTCCTTCTTTGCAAAAACTGCGGCATTAGCAACTGCAACAACATGTATTAGTTCCAACTCAAACATAAAGTATTAAACTGAGATTTGGTGCCCGTGGTTGTCTTTACACAGACAAAGAGAAAATGTTGCTACACCATCATGAGTACAACATATGTATCTAAATACAGTCAACGCTCATATTACCATATCTGTCCCTGAATTTAGAATCCATTTACAGTGGTTTGTATTGTGACAAAACATCAGACATCTATTCATAGTCAATAATAGTTTGGGCTTGGCAAGTCCCTCTGAAGAGGTTGTCATCTTTGAGTCGGCACAGACATGCAAAACTGCACCAAAGTGTGCATTTTTATGCTTTAGACTATGCTTGAAGATAGAATCAGACAAAAAATAACACTTATCCAACATGTTGGGGGCTTAGATACCCCTGTTAAAAAAGCAACACCTTTTAAAGGCTTTGATTCTCAGTAAAAACACTGTCAATGTTGACAAGAGGGGGAGCTAAGTTGACTGGTAACAGTGCTCCTTAGCATCGCAGTTTAAAGTCCAAATAGCCCAACGAATCTGGACCCCATGATAAAAAATATTTGAGAATAAAGCTCCTACTTTCTTTAAGTATGGATCCACATAAATCAACGCACTAAGTATGTAAAAAAGCACACTTATGTTGAGCTATGTTTATTTCTTGACTGAAATGGACTGCTGTCAGGTAAGATTCAAGTTATTGACATACATATGTCAAGGGCGGCATCATGCCTCTTTTCTTCTTAGTGCTGGTTGACCTATTTCATGTCAAAATAGTCATCAAAACACGTTAGCAAGAGCCAAATGGATTAAAGTTGGATGACAAAAACACTCACTTTTACAGTTATGTACCCTTTTTTTAAACAAAGGGGGAAAAATATCTTTTTTAAGGTCCTCTCTAAATCAGTTGAGGTTTTATTTACTACCCACATCCATGCTATTTGACTTTAGATAAGACTGTAATAAAAATATGATAAATATCATTTCACTAGTACAAAACATGTCCTCCTTATCCATCTCATCCAGAGAACTTTTACTTGGAAGTTTTTACCTGAACATCAATAAACAATTATGCTTTATGACTTAGACCTAACACTGGAGCAGACAGCAGGGCCTGATAATGAGCAACTCTTGGTGATATTAGTGGCTGGGATTTATTCTAGGAGAATTTACTTCTCTGCTCTTTCTATACGCACTGGATCTGGAACGTTTCCCAAACAAGACACTTTAAAACTCGAGCAAGAGTTATGGTTTTTAAATCAGCCTGTGTGCAGGTATTTTATTAGTCTACTGTGTGTACACTATGTTCACCACCTGTGTGTTTCTCCTTCATTCCTTCCCCTTTTTCCTGTAATCTTGCTTGTTGTTGCCAAACTCTCCCCTTTGTTTTCATGGCTGAATCACTTCAGCTGTCATAGCAGCTTCTGTCTGTTTGTACAGACTTCAATATTTTATCTCTTATCTGTTTCTTTTTTTATTATTTGTGTCTTATTTTTTATTCTGTACAAGCAATGAATTTTCTGAGCTGTGTGGCTCTTGTTCAATGTCTGTGTTTGTTTCTCTGAGGTCAGTCAGATCTTCGGGGGATTTGTAGGTTTTATTGAAACTGTCTGCTTTAAGAAGAGTTAGGGCAGCAGGAAATGAAAGTATGGTTTTTAAGGTGGTATTTCTCAGAAGAAGACTTGAGTATTCAAAGAATTCAGAATCTCAAATCTGACAGAGGACTGTTCAAGAGAAGAAGTAAAAACACGAGACTCAAACAGTGTTGAAAGAAAAACTCAAGTAACGCCTTCATTATTCATCTTTCAGACTTTCAGAGAGTTTACTGGAGGCTGTGAGCAGATTGATGTGATGAGTTTGTTCAACAACAAATTGTGTTGGAAATGCGCTTGAAGTAACTTAAGTCAGTGCTGGAAAGCAGTGTGATTCCTGGGAAGATTGGAAACATGACAGTTTGATACCTTGTCGCAAAGCATTAAAGAAAAGATAGGTTTCCTTACCTGTTCAGATCTTCACCTTTAGGTTGGACCATCGACTGTATGTAGAATGGACGCTGTCATCCTCCTCGCTGGGTGAAGCCACTCCGAGAACTGCACCCTCTGGTGACGGGCTGCAGTATAGGTCATGAATCCTGCCCTCTGCCAGCCATCCTTATGGAGCTGTGGAAAAACTTTATAAATTTATTACACAGAATATACATCCACTGTATATGATACACATTCTACACGTAAACGCCTAATTACGTGCTGGAGCGTAATCCAGTGTCACCGCCATACTGTATGTGTCTCCCCACTCCAGGCTCGCTCAAGAGCCAAACGGGGTCAATGGAGAATGAGCAACTATGCCTTTTTTTTGCATTCTATGGTTGAAAAACCCGACGCAGTATTGACACCAGATCACGTTGGATTAGATTTCACAAATAGGATTGAAAAATAATTTGTTTTATTTTTAATGTGTGACATTGTCCTGTATTATGGCTACATCCCTGCCGTTGTAACAAACCAAACAATGTGAAAATCGGGCAGAGATTCAGAGAGTTATTATCAATATGGTTGGGCATTCCTACGTACCTTAATGCACTGACTGGAGGCGCACGGGGGACCCATCCAAGATGGCGGCCGCGCAGATATGAGGGCTCCAATCATCACAGCAACTCTCGGCAACTCTCCCGCTGAATGCGCACAATCAGTACCCGAGTTGAGGCATCCCCTCTGAAATGAAAATGGTCAAAATTACCCCCCTTTCTAAAACGGTCATCCCAACTTTCCACCCCTTGAGCCATATTTGCTAATGACTGTGGAAAAACTACCATTTTAACATTACAAATATTACCGCAATTTTAACGTTTGGCGGGTGTGACGGAACGGCGTCCTCACGCGGGCAGCGCGTGAAGCCACACACACACATATACCTTCGTACACGCCAAACATTTCCCTCCCCGCTAGCGTCGCTAATTCAACACTAAACAGCGCTACTTTTCCTTCTCCCTTCTCTGTTGGATAGGGTGACCAAGGCTGCACACTCGGAGCTCTATCGGTTAACTTAAACATACATTCACACAGACACTCATACCGTCACTTACCTACCGGGAGTCCATTCACGCCATCATGCCGGCTCAGGTATCCAAATGAGAAACAGAGCGCGTGATTTCCGGGTGTGAAAAAGGTGTGTATGGAGGGTCAAAGTGGTCACATGATGCAAGAAAAATTAATTCCCTTGTTGTTTGCCATGAATCCCTAAAAAATTAATGCTCTATTGATTTGTGTAAAAACAGAAAAAAGATCTGAAGGTTAAAAATGGTTTTAAAAAAAAAAGGTTTAAATGTGAATATATTAATTTTTTTTTCAAACTTATGTAATTGCTAACGCCCATTGGGAGGGGCTGGGGTGGTTAACAGAGGGCATCCTGAGCCTTTCTTTCTTAGAGACTGAAGTTTGTTGTATGGAGGGTAACTGCTAAACAGACTTTTATGCTGTTTTTCTCTTGAATGAGAATCTTAAGTTAAAGTGGAACTCTTGCTGTGTTGGCATTTTCTCTTTTGCCTTGTACATTTTGTAAATAGTATTTGACCTTTTTTTTTTTTTTCTTTTGCACTTTTGTATATGTTTTTGCACTGCACCTTGGAAGGCCGGCTGTAAATATATCCTATCACATAACAGTGTGATTACATATATTTGAAACTATGTCTGATATTTTTCTGTTTTTGGTTCATTTTTATTATAACAATGGCATGAAAAAAAAACATAAATTCAGATTAGAGCAAGAATTTAAATAACAGCCGAGCAGAAGAGGCCATCATTGAGAGTTTTAAACAAGTTTAAAACAGGCTCCATGTGGAAGGACAGACAAAACGTTCTTTGTGTGTGTGTGTGTGTGTGTGTGTGTGTGTGTGTGTGTGTGTGTGTGTGTGTGTGTGTGTGTGTGTGTGTGTGTGTGACCTCTGAGCTTTTTTAAGTCTGAATGATAGATAAAAGATGATAAAAGAAGGACCTCTGCTGGGCGCTCAAACTCAATGTCAGCGGATTAAACTTTTTTTCTTTGTGTGAATCAGCTCTGGGTGATCATCCTCACAAAGAGCTCATCTTCATCACATCTGAGACAGTTTTCCTCAACTTGACATCACCTTAGACTGCTGTGTGTCCTCCATGCATGAGTCTTTGCAGCTGAATCGGTCCAGAAAAAATAACAACAAGAAGCCATTTTTGGAAGAAGATTCATTCATTCATTCACGAAACTGGACTAAAAGCCAGTACATTTCCATCGTGTGGTCTGGTTTGGTACAGTGTGGTACGGTAAACTCTGATCTTCTGTTTCCACAGCAGATTATACCCTGACTCTTTTGTGAAACAGTCCCAGAACAGCTTGTTTTCATTTTGGCATGCATGTTAACAGAATACTCTTCAGACTGACAATATGAGCAGCACATCTCGCCCAATTATTTTCCACAAGCCAGAAGTGCACAGAAAAACGATCATATGAAGGTTATATCTGCCCTATACAGCAGCTATGTTTGTATGACAAGCATTTAAAATATACTATGCTCATACTAAAGAGCTAGTAATTATAATATAAGAGGTTTTGATCATTTTGAGTATAGTAAGGGAAGAACAAGTGTTAAATCCAGATGTGTTTCTGTTATTGGTGTAAAGTTATGGAATGGACTTGATGAAGAGTATAAATTATGTACATCCTTGTAAACATTTGAAAGATGTTTCAAACAAAAAAGGATCAGTTACTATCAAAACCATATGTGAGAACATAAAACTGAACCTTTGTCTATATTATGTTTGATTGTATATGAAACGGTAATGTGAAGCTGGGAAGTATTATTTGTTGGTGTAAACAGTATAGGCGACATAGAGGCATTGTTTCAGCCTATTCCTTTTTTTGGTTTCACTTAAAATCAAAAATAAAATTCATATCTATCTATCTATCTATCTATCTATCTAAATGCATTTCAAAATAAAAGCCTTAAACCCTTTTCATATCATACTTTTGTGCTGAAGCTGTAGCCAGGACGGGTGTTTATGTGAAAGACATATCTTGCACTGTTCTGTATTTAAGACTAAAGTAAAATTCAGCCACAAAAACATATTTGTTGGGTTGTCTGCAGCTTTGTCAATTACAAAATCTCATCAGGTTACGGGAAACAGTTACCCGGGAAACAGTTCAGTTGGTGTCTGTGTAAATTAAGCACCTGTTTATTAACACCTGTATAACATCTAAAAGCATTACCCATGTGCAAACAGATGGCAGTTCTCATCTCTTTGTCTCCAAACTGAGATATTTTGTTACGCTTGTTCTAGTAACATGATCCAAATCTCTTCACCCATCTGCTTGCTCTTGATAAATTTCCAAGAATCTCACCTGCTGATTTCCAACACGAGCTCAGCCTGACTTCTTTTACTAAAGGGCTGGTGGGAAAGTCCAGGTAAAGTTCACACATGTGGCCCACCACTAAGATTTGGGGAAGTTTCCAGGAGTTTCATGCAGCTGCTGTGTGAATTTAACATTATGCGGTTGTACGATTAGCACAGTGCAGTAAATGTCCTTCATTTGTGATACTGAGGCTGATCTCACTGCAGTCTTTGCTTTATTCTCAGCTAAATTTATAACTCTTTTGCTGAAAAGCTGCCACCTTAACTCAGCCTGTGAATGCTCCACGGATCACCTTTCAGTCCACTCTGAGGGAGGCACAAAGCAAAGGGTTCGCTTTCTAAGATCTGAGTTAAAGTTCCAGGTCTAAACCCAATAAGCAGCGTGAGGTTTCCCCATCCACAGAGCAGAAAATAAGCATCTGAAAAAAGACCTTGTGGATGTGTTAGGATGTGTGAGAGGCTTAATTAACATTCCCTGAGTGTTTACAGTCAATTATTCAGCACAGCGGCTTTCTGTGGAGCTGCTCATTACTCTCAGGCTGTCACTGAGGGGAACACATGCACTCTTTAAGGAGCAGGAATCCCCCAGACAGGAGAAAGTGATTTTAAAGGCTTTAGGTTAAGTACCGGTCTGTATGATATCCACTAATCCTGAAACCATCAGATGCAGACAGTTAGCTCTGTGGTTCAGAGTGTGAGTCCAGCTGGTTTGAAGCGGAGCTGTTTTAAATCTACAGACAGCGTTCACACACTCTGCACTTTCCCACACTGCCCCGGTTTACAGTCTGATAAGTGCTGCATGTTACAGCGTGGTTGTGCATATCCGCTGGTTTGATATAAAACTGCCTCCCTGCCCACACACATGCATGTGCTTCATACAGACCCAGTGTATAGACACACACGTTCACACCCGCCTACCACTAAACAGCCGTGTATCTGAGCCACTGCACGGCTAACGTGTAATCACAGCTCGTTCTCAGACTCACATTCTCCCCTCGTGTCTTCCTGTCGGTCCGTCTGTTCGACCGCAGAGAGTGTCACATGTGGCCGGAGAGACGCCATGAGGGAGGATATACATCCAACATTAACATTCCTCATGCTCACTCTGGTTACTGTGATTGCTACTTAGTTTAGTCTGTATGAAGAGCAACAAGCAGGGAAAAGCTCCAAAAACCAACTTAATAATCCGGACAGAACCATACGATGTACTGAGGGCAGACTTCCACCCACTCAGAGTACACACTGGCTGTGTGGTGGAAGCAGCCTGTCAGAGCATTGATAAATGTCCTCACATTATATCACTGAGTTAGCAAACTCTCAAACCTTCAAACGAGCAGGTGATGATTTTCAAAGATTACCAGATTTAAAGGGATATTCCAGCGTAGAATAAAGTAAGCGTCAAACACCGTAACACCGAGTTAGACACCCCATCGAGAGATGAATGTTGCTGACTGCTTGCTTCTCTAGTTATACCAACTTGAGTAACGACCGCAGGATAGCAAAACACAGTTGTCTAAGGAGCCACGCATAAACCTCAACTTAAACGCCACTCTATAGCCACAAATAATGCTCAGAACAGCATCTAACTTCATCAACAGTACATAAAGGGTCCTAGCCACAGCACTAGCTACCAAACATCTTTTTAACTTTGCCTGATTTCTTGAGCAAAGAGACCAAACAAAATTTACCCACTCTCTTCCAGCAGCCGCTTGTTTGTACGGAGACCTCGGGCCAGTCCATTACGGACTGCAGCGGGGCGACGCAACTCAAGGAAGAACATGCATGATCATTTCTTCATGGAAATGCAATCAGACTGAGACGCTAAGGCAGAAGAACTACCGCGTCTGCAGTGCAAAATGATTAATATGGTGATTATTACTTCAAGGAAATGATAAAGTAATGATCATAAATGTTAAACAGGTGCTGTTCTGAGCATTATTTGTGGCTGTAGAGTGGCGTTTTGGTTAAGGTTTGTGTATGGCTCCTCAGACCGCTGTGTATTGCTATCGTGCAGTTGTTACTGAAGTTGGTATAACTAGAGAGGCAAGCGGTTGGCAACATTTATCTCTTGATGGGATGTCTAACTCGGTGTTACGGTGTATTTGACCCTAACTTAATTTTACGCTGAAATATCCCTTTTAAGTATTACCCAGATTTGGTTGGTATGTACATTTCTGTCAAGCATAAAACATCTCACAGCAGAGCAGGGATCAGGCCTGCTCAATCTAATGTGCTATTTTTGGGCAGCAAACCTACTTAAAGAAGTTTATTGGATACAGGTCCCAAATACTAACTGGCGCCAAAGAGAAGCAAATACTTAAACATCATCTTCAATCCCTGTAAAACTGCCTTTGTCTTTTTATTCAACTCCTCATGCCTTATAACTTCAAGTTATTAAATTTAGTCTCAGTCTGGAGAGCTTTTCAAATCCACAGCTTCTTCAGTACATGGTCCTCAATATGCAAAATCTCAGTCTGGTAAGGTTTGAACATTCAACTAATCACTTTTGTTTAGAAAACAATGTTCATCAGCTGTCATCGGGTGATGATAGTCCTCAGCTCTAACAGAAAGGATGCAAAAGGATTCACATTAGACATCAACACAGCTGAAAACGAACCAGATCAGCACTTCTTTTCAATCACTTTATACTCTTAGTCCTGAGCCCTCAATGTGACATTCTCTGAGGTATTTTCTGCTCTTATTGGATTAACACCTCAACACATATGCTGCCAATTATCAGGAGCTAAATTGAGGCAATTACTTGTTTTCACTTAAAAATAGAAGCATTAACGGTGTGAAACAGAACCCTGAGTCCTTTCACTAGTCCCCATGAAGTTCTTGCTTCATTTATTGATGTAGACTTTGCCACATTACACGAGAACTGCCAGTATTGGATGTGACTGCCAAACCTGTAAATCCCTATTTATTTGCCTCAGTCTTCTAATCATCGTGCACAGAATGGAACATTTGTTTAACCAAATAAATGGAAACGTGTTCTGAGATGCTAAAGTGTTTGCTCACAGCTTGCACATGAAGGAAAGTTCATTTTTATTATCACTGATTGTTTAAATGTGAGGGCGGATCGCCGCAGAAACTCTGAGCTGCAGCAACATAACTATGACAAACTATAACACTCAAAATCATGTTTGCAGGATGACCGGTGAAACTGAAGACAATGTGCAAAGAAAGGACATTTAAGAGGACGGCCACCTTCATATTCAGTCAGTGCCGAAACCAAGAGACACAAAATATTCATTAATGGCAGATTCAGTCTGGAAAATCGCTCATTTTAAACCAGAACTCCTCCACTAACTTGCACTGACTGTTTTATTCTGCAAATCCTATGCATCCTTTTAAATTGTATAGTTAAATCATATTTAGTTACACAAGGTTTTATTCCTTTTGTTTTTGACGAATTGTGTTGTGACCACGCATTTCCAATAACGCCAATTTCAAATAAAGTTGGGACGTTTGTAAATGTGAATAAAAACAGAACATTGCTGGTAAGAAAACCTGTATTAAGTTGGGTAAAAAAGTTTAAAGCAAATATTCTAAATGTATAAAAATAAATAAATATATATGTAAATAAACTAATTAATAAAAAAAATTACTAAAAGTAAATAAATGAATAAATTTTAAAAATGAACGAATACATAAATAAATCATAAATAAATAAATAAATGAATTAAAAAAATTGTAATATATAAAAGTTGAGAAAGAGGTCTGTTTACTCCTTAAATTTATGACCTCTTAAAAAAAAACACTCTTGGAAACTAAAGAGACCTGGAGTGTTTAAAATGAAATTTTGTCCCATTTGTGTTTGATATGGTATTCAGCTGTTTAACACAGAGAAGGTTTCCTTTGTTGTGTTTTTAGTGTCACAAAAAGCCAACTGTTTTCACTGTATTTTTGAAATCACTGTCTTTATTTTAATTGTAAAATATAATATGAGGTTCAGTTGTACTGTAGCTATCACAACTTTGTTCCTGACATATATGCGAAAAAAAAGTCCTTCACAGATCTGGCATTTCAGCAACATGTTTATAGGATCAAAACACTTCATGACTGAAACAAGTTAATATGCACCAACAGTCTAATGAGCTGTTTCCTTCCAATCCACTGTGTATGCTCACAAAGAACCAATTTGGACACACACACACACACGCACACACACACGCACGCATGCACAGACACACACAGTAGTGCACAGACCCTCCCCTAAACATTGTTCTAATGTTAGTCCAGAGACAATCAGAGTATTTATGGCTTCAATAACTCAATCTGCTTCATTAAAAGTCACTGTTGTGCATTGGGGCCCTCCAGGGGCCCCAGAAGAAGGGTTTATTGTTGGTTGTTCAGATCTGAGGCCCCGCAGCAGCTTCCATCATGCTGCAGCCGTGTCAGTCTGCCTGTAAACATCTAACGCAGTGACTGACTCACAGAGGTTATCATCTCCTCAGTGTGTGTGTGTGTGTGTGTGTGTGTGTGTGTGTGTGTGTGTGTGTGTGTGTGTGTGTGTGTGTGTGTGTGTGTGTGTGTGTGTGTGTGTGTGTGTGTGTGTGTGTGTGTGTGTGTGTGTGTGTGTGTGTGTGTGTGTGTGTTAAGGGGAAGTATCCAGAATGTCTAAGTAACTTCTCAATGGGTAGGGAGGGGGGGTTCCCTGTGAAAAGGCCACACCAGGGCTCAGACAAAGATGGAGTCTGAACTCCTCAAGTGCACCCAGGGTAGAGAGGCTGGGGGTGTCTGGGTGTTTTGTGGGGGGTTGATCGCAGTTTAAAGGTACCTCTGTGAACTGAATGTTTACTAGTGTAGACTCTGAATTACATGAGGAGAAATCTTTTGGTTTTGCCATGTATCAAAATTATAAATAAGTAAATAAAAATATAAACTTAAAAGAAACACAAAGTGTGGTACATGTTGGTGGTGGCTTCTGGGACCACTGTGTATTGCTATTGTGCGGTTGTTATTGAAGTTGGTATAACTAGAGAAGCAAGCGGTCGGCAACATTCATCTCTCGAGGGGGTGTCTAACTCGGTGTTATGGTGACCCTGTTTGACCTTGAATTAATTAATAATGTCCCTTTAAATAACAGTGCCAAACACAATCCCTATCCTGTGACGAGGGGAAATTATTTATTGTGTACTCAGACCATCATTGCACTTTTCCAGTTAGCACTTTTGTAAAAGGCCAAAAACTACTTTCCTCAAAAGCCTGCAGTCAACAATGTCACATAACCTGGAGTCTCCAAGCAGCAGCAGTGCTGACTGCCCTCTACAGTAGGTAATTCTGTGACTATTAATAAGTTCCTCATACAACCCTACTTTAAAAATATTCAAAGAATCCCTCTCACTGCGTGGCCTCCAAAGAAACTATTCAGATAACACTGCCAGGAGCTGTTAAGAAGATTGAAGACTGACTGCAGCAAGAGCCTTGCACATAAACTGAGAGAACGATCCGTGGTAGAACAATAGTTTAACCTTCAACACAATCAAACTCCCAAAAAATAAAGGTCCTCTTATGACTAGACAGCTCAAAACATCCACTGCAAACCTTTTAAATACGAAAGTCAATGTGATTAAATGTTGATGTGAATGCTTCAAAACCTGAGAACCTTTGCTTCACACTTGTTTTATTGAATACATATTCATGTTGTTTTCAGGAATGTCCGGTGCAAATTCAACACATGCTGCATGGCTGTGTTTTAATAGCCAGAGGTGTCAGACGGTGTAACAAGTGCATTGTTAGACGCACAGCTCATCCACTGGACGGGATATAGAGGTGTGATGGTAGTAGAGTAAAATCCAAATGAGAGAGTAAATCCACTCCCTTGTCTCCAAACAGAGAGTAAGCTCAGTCAGGTGCTGCAGAGACAGGATATGATTAGTGAGGGCTGAAGTCACAGCTCTGGTATCAGCACTGACTGGAATGGGGTCAGAGCTGCAAGCAGGTGGTGAAAGACACATTTACGATCACAGAGAGGAAAAAAAGACAAATCTGAACAATCTGAACCTCTCCACTCCAACCCTAGGTTACATTTAATGATACTGTTTAAACAAGAACTGGCAATATGAGATGGTAGATTTATTTCAGTACACTGTTTTGCCATCCTTGCCATCTCATCTTGGGATTTCAGATGCTTATCAGTTTCAGACTACTTGTCTTATTTTATGTTTTTATCATGATACATGAAGACTGCAGGTTGGTCAGTTTAGCAGCAGGGCTCGTCTACTACTGTTTGTACTACTACTGTCGTCTACATGCTGTTGTAATACGTGCAGAATGGGGTTTGCATGACTGGTACTTTTGCTTGGTCCCAATACTAAGCCACTCATGTGACAGAATTAAAAAAATAAAATAAAATAAAAATGTTAGGGTTAGGGTAAGGGTTAGGGTTAGAGCTAGGGTTAGAATTAAGCTAAGAGTTAGGGTAAGGGTTTAGGGTTAGGGTAAGAGTTAGGGTTAGAGTAAGGGTTAGGGTTGGGGCTATGATTAGGGTTGAGGCTAGGGTTAAAGTTAGGATTGAGGTTAGGGATAGGGTTGGAGCTAGGGTTAGGGTTGGGCTAGGGTTAGGGTTGAGTCTAGGGCTAGGGTTAAAGTTAGGGTTGAGGTTAGGGTTAGGTTTAGGGTTGGGGCTAGGGTTAGGGTTACAATTAGGGTTATGTTGAGGGTTAGGGCTAGGGGTAGTGTTTAAGTTAGGGTTATGGTTAGGGTTGAGTCTAGGGTTAGGGCTAGGGTTAGGGTTAAGGCTAGGGTTGGGGCTAGGGTTATGGTTAGGGTTAAGGTTGAGGCTAGGGTTAGGGTTGGGGCTAGGGTTAGGGTTAGTGTTGAGGCTAGGGTTAGGGTTGAGTCTAGGGTTAGGTTTAGGGTTAGAGTTATGGTTAGGGTTACATTTAGGGTTAGGGTTAGGGTTAGGGTAATCAGTTTGAGACAACTTGTCTTATTTTATTTTTCATTAGTCATTAGTTTTTCATTAAGTCTTACTTAATAACGTAATAAAGACTAGAATAGACGAGAATAAAGTCAGAATAGTCCAGAATAGACAGATGAAAATGTACTTCAATATTTGTTTCTCAAACAAGGAAACACTTAATCTTTTGGCACATCAGCACCACATTATCATAAGAAGCCTATCAATGATTTTATTACGACTTTATTCTTGTATGTAGGCTTATTACTTTATTTAAACTTTATCCTCATAAGTAATGATTTTAGTATGACTTTATTCTTGTAGGTAATTATTTTGATATGACTTTCTTGTTAGTAATGACTTTATTTTCGTAAATTAAGTACTTTAAACTAGAAGTCGTATTTTTTTTTTTTCTGAAGGTGACCTTAATACTCTGTCATAGTTGAGAAATTAGTAAGTTACGATTTAATTATTAATACACATGCATTGTCTGTAATGGGAACGTTGCCCCGTCAAGATAACTACCATGTAGGCACGCCTCCAAACGAAGTGCTACAGAACACTGGCATATCCTGTCTTCTACATATATATCTGTGTGTAAAAGACCAATGTCACTGAGAGCAATGCGTACAGTAAGTGACGGCAGCAGCAAGTGGTTTCAGGGCAAAGATGAGTGATGAACTATATTTTGATCCTGCAGACTCCAACAGTGCAAATGAATGATGGCAGACGTGTAGAGAGCTGCTTTGACTGGCAGATTAGAATTATAGATACTTTCCCCAAATTAAAAAAAGCTCTTCCTGTGTGTAGTAAATAACGAGAGAAAGAAATAGGTTTATAATTGCTTGAAAATGATCAGACTAAATCTGAGGAGGTGTGTTTTATTGTAATATAATACAAGGCTGAGATCATTTATTATCAGATTTGCGTTGGGGGGGTTGCATGCCTTTTGTGTTACACTTAATCAAAGAGTGTTTGAAGGAGCAGTAAAAGTCCTGCTTTGGCAGTCTGGGAGCTTAATACCCACCCACCTCCATGAAACATATTTATTCATTAGACTGAATTCTGAATGTGCTGAGGTCAGCTGTTACACTGAACCTTTTTTCTCCTCTCGTCTTTTTGTCCTTTTAGACCTCAATATTCATCAGGTAATGAGAGAGAACAACAACTATAAAACCAATGTCCAAGATCTCCATCCAATGGAAAATGTCTGTGCCTTCCAACCACTCTGTGTTCCAGCACACACACACACACACACACACACACACACACACACACACACACACACACACACACACACACACACACACACACACACACACACACAAAGGCCAGGTTTGGGTATTAAACATGAATGCTTTGGTTCTACCTCACAGATTTAAAACATTAGTCAAGTCAGCTGACATGATGTGATCATGATTCATCAGTCCATTTTCTGCTTTATTAGATGAAATAAAAATTCTCATCCATGCACATGAATACTGATCAATAAATGTAGTGATGTCATGTCAAGCTTCATAGATACAGCTTGCATTGATTTAGGTGGCTCATTAAACCCCCTGGTGGCTGAAACCATAAATACATGAAGGTATTAAGATATATTTAATGATTTTTTTACATTTATTGATCAGACTGTGTTTTATTTGTGAGCCAGTTATGATCGGTAATTTAACTTCTACACTGGAAGCTTCATATCTGGTAAAACAGATATTTGGAGGTTAATATTATGGTTAGACATGGTTTTATGACAGAGTTAAGAGGTAATAAACATTATGCACTGAGGTGCAACTAAAGTTCAGCTGGGTTCAGCCTGCTTTTGTTTTCTCTGTTGGCACTCCTCTCTGTCCACAGACTGGTGTTTAAACAAATGAGGGGGCTGATCTGTGTGGGGCTGGACTCAAGGTTCAGCAGCAGGTTAGGAGCAGAGAGGCAGCAGTTCACAGATTGATGGTAGATTCAAACACAGTCAGAGGGAAGTGTTAAATATCATTGAAAAACCATGTCAATGGGTGCAAAGTGGTAACAGCGGCATGTAAGTCAAGCAAAAAAGTCTGAGATCTTCTTCCTGTTGCTAATCTAGTCCCCCTCCATCATACCTTACGGGTACTGGCGATGTATTTTGCATGAAATCTATCATTCCTTTGCGCTTCTGTGCGTGTAATTCCTTTAAGAAAATACACAGCACAAATATTCTGGAGGAATCAAGTGAAAGCACCTGAATAGTCTGAAATAGATGGAACTTATTGTTCTCATGTTTGCAATGAGTTATTTTTAAAAGGGGGCACTGTCCGTTCTTTTGAAGATTTGTCTCATTTGAGACACTCAGACCCAACCATCAAGTCAGCCTAGTGTTTGCTTTGTTTGAAAATGTGTTTTAAGTGTTAATGTGTTTTAAGCGCTATTTTTACATGACACACTGCACAAACTCAAACTTCAATATTTTTGTCTTATTTCTAATGACAAATGTCAAGTTCTTGAATAAAAACGTTACCTTATCTCTTAATTCAAGAGACTTAAAAAGAGGTACATTTTTCCTATTTCATAGTTGTTTTACTTATTACAACCCTAACCCTAACCCTAACTCATTATAAGGTTGTGTTTTGGGGGTGTGATATATTAAAATAGGACCTAAGCCCCAAAAGGCTTTTTTTTTTCAATGAGAAATAAGACCAAAAAAAAAATAAAAAATTTGAGTTTTGCTGTGAACATGCGCCCTGTTCAGCTTTTTAGGTCTACAGGCCGGGACATGCCATTCACAGTGGATGCAAGAAGACACCTATATGATCTGGAGTTGGACAAGAAATAGTCCCGTAAAGAGAAGTGGAGAAACTTTAGAGCTGACTGCAGAGCAGGAGAGATCCCAAGTGACCTGGTGGTGCAGGTGAGTAATCTGTGACTGTGCCAACAAACCCAGAGAGCTCCTGCTGTTATGAGGAGAACCGGGAATTAACAGTATTTCAGGAGCTTTCTGTATAAACCAGGAAATCAGCGGCTCACAACAGCAGTCTGCATCATGCACAAACAGAGTCCCCTGTCGCACTAAATACCACATATTGAAATCCACACTTCAAAGTAAGTGTCTCATCCTCTCAGTTTATGAGATATTGGGCACAAATTGTCTACACAGTTGTTATGAACAGTTGCTTTATGGTTGTAATTCAGAGTAGCTGTGGGGTTTTGTGTCTGACATGTTTTTAATATAATCAGGATGATGTCTCACACTGCACATAAAGAGATGATGAATTAATCTAGATTTAATTGTGATTAGTAAAGATGTCATAACGCAAGAATTAAAATCTCAAAACAAACATCCCTAGCTCCCTTTTCAATGTATAAATTTCCATCCATGTGTGTCACCTGTGTGTGTGTGAGAGAGAGAGTATGAGTGTGTGTGTGAGTAATCTGCTGTAATTCCTGCTCCTCCATAATCTCCCCTGTGTCCCGCTCAAAGAATGTCCTCATTACAGCCATTTATATGAAGCGTGTGACGTCTTTTGATGTAATATTACCCTCCGATCCAATTAGCCCAGCACATGTCAGCCTGGCTCAGTGGGCAGGACTCGGGTCTGAGAGGACAGAGCAGACGTTCACTGCTGCTCTTAACACACAGAAACATTCCTCTGCTGGGACCAACGCTGAAGTCTGAAGTCTCTTCACTGTTTATATTTATGTAAATATGTTTTATTGTTCTTCAGTGTCTTTTATTCTGTTTGACTTCTCCGGCTCTGGTGAACAGATACACACACAGACACTTTATATAAGTCTTTTTGTTTTTGATGATTTTTTTCCACTTTTTTGACAACAGATAGTTTTAATAAAACTTAAAAGTCTGAGAGCTTCAGTGTAAAAACATGAGGATTGATCCACGTCGCTGTGTTTCCTCAAAGACGTTCTGTGTCGCCTAAATTTGATGAATTTAGCACTAAAGATATTTAAGCGTTTTGTGAAACAGCTTTGTGAGACCCTTACTTTAGGTTCTAGTCAGGAGGTAACGTCCAGCTGTGATTGTAGTCATCACTCCAGGAGAGGATGAAGTCTCGTGACCACTATAAAAAGTTTAAAAAGTTGTTTCTAGAGATGGATGGGTCAAACAAACTCAAGCTTTGAGACCTGAGTTTGACTCCCATGAGGACATGCGTTTTAACATGTTGGGATCATTAATGAAATATGTAAAATATATAAAAGCCTAACAGAAGGAACATGTGTACAGTTCCAAATGAGGAAGAAACATGTTTTTTTTTTGGCCATAGAGCCTGAAGTGATCAAACTGAAAAAAAAAAATCCACACATTGAAGAACTTATTGATACAGAGCGCCTTGGGCACACAAACACACACCCACACCCACAAACACATACTCACTTTTAAGACAAAAGGGCATTTCGGATGTGATGTCAATCCAACACGCATCCCCATTATCAACAATCTGATCCATTAAAGATACATCTGCAGAAATGCTGCAACAATACCTGTTACACCTCTTTCACAGTGTAGTGGGATTTGATGCAATATGATGTGATTGGATGATGTAATGCAGTACAGTGAGTTTGGTTTTGTATGTTTGCATGGATTTATTTATTTACTTATAAGCTAATTTTAGGCTTGTTCTTTTATTTCAAAGGGACAGCAGAAGGAGCTACAAAAGAGGAAAGAAGCAGGAAGAGACAAGCTGGAAAGGTGCTGCGGGTAAACCTGGACTGACCACTTTAGGGCATAACCCCGTGTACATGGAGAAAAAGCTATTTCTAAATTACTGAACCATCAAATACCTGTGTAGGTGTGACAATGATGGGTTGTTTTTGATCATCAGCTGAATTAATAAACTCTCCTGAGTAAACAAACAATTTTTATGACAATCAGTTTGAGAGCAAAAAATTGATAATACAATGATAATAATTCATGCCGTAACCAAGTGACAACCTCTGGTCTTTGGAAATGAGGCTGAAGGAGTGTTAAAAACTGCAGTTCTTCAAGTGTCCACCAGGAGCTAGCTGCAAAAGCCCAAAAGGCCACATACACACCCATTCTGAGAAGCCCTTTTTTCCAAGACAAATGACATATCTAAGATAGTTTTGGTTAAAATGGCTTATTTTTGTAGCTGCCTATTTTGTACACTGGAGATATTAGAGTTAAGGTCCTTACACACCAGGGCCGATTACGCGAAATCATATTCGCGTAATTTCGTACATCTCCATCATGCTCCATCCTCTTCCACAGCAGCTGTATTGTCGATCTCCTCTGAAATCTCCTTTCTTTTCTTCTATGCTTTTATGATGGCATGATCAACTGCTGCACAACATTTATCAGCGTTAACCCAAACACAGAAGGATTTAGTTGCCATGGTTTCCTGTACACAAACAAGGAGGGAACATAGTGGGGAATCATACTGCTGACTAGTATTTCAGTGGAGTGTTACACAGAGACATGGACACTGCTGAATAGTGTTTGCACATTGATGTTCAGCATTTGAAGATTAGAATTATGTCAGACTTCAGTACAGCATGGACTTTCCTGGAAATTTTGTAAATGAAGGGTGTACTTACAATGAAATGAGTGATTGTGTCAGAGTTTCTTGAAATGTACCAAATTAAGTGGTCAAGAGTTGTCAGCAGATGATAGCTTAGCTCCTGTTTTGGTTTACCAACCGGTTTCCAAACAAAGAGGCAGAGGTGACCAGCAGCATCCCCTGTGGGTAACATTACTTCAACCCCACTTTGAAAAAAGGACTATTCCTTTAGGGCTTAAAGCTCATTAACAGGGAGACGTCAAAAGAGCAACTCCCCAGCGTGGATTAGGAACACCTGCCGGGAAAGAGAATACTGGGTAATTATGGCCTCAATGTGAAACAGAATAACTGGCTGATAATGACTCATTGCAGGAGATTATTTAAAAACTGAAAGCCCTCCCTGTAACTGTGACTCTAATATGGTCTGATTTCATACAACACACTCTGACAGATTAAGATCTCTTTGAATACATCATATACAGCACTTTAGGGTGTTCAGTGTTTTGTGTTTTTATCAGAAAATCACAAGTTTAACTTGGAAAAATAAGTTTTTTCAGCTGCTGAAATTATCATTTATGGACAGATTTTAAATATGTGAAATAATAAACTTATTTTGAAGTTAGGATTATCCCTCATGTCAACTCATGGTCAACTCCCAGTTTAATGTTAATGATTTAGGACAAAAGTCTCATACTAAAAAGTACTGCAGGTCTCAGAGTAGAGTTGACAGATTTATTCTTGAGTCAAGGAGTCTACCTGCTGGTTGAGAGATGAACTACAATTCGCCTGGAGAAATAAAGATTCTTTTATCATTCTCAATAATCGAGCTCTGGGTATTGATGATCTTTTTGTCTTTTTTTTTTAAACAATTTTAGACCTCAAAATATATGCTTTTCCACAGTATTATACTATTTATTCTTAAATGTTTTTAAATTAGTGTGTCAATGAAAAAAAGTTTGGTGTTGTGTACAAAACAGTTTGTTCTGATAAACTGTTTGGTGCTAAAAACTTGACCAAAAAGGATCATACTAACCATGGCTCAAAAGAGCTTTGGTCGTCTCACCACTTGAAATTGTGACCAAACTTGCATAGGGGGCAGCAGGGTAATGTGCAATCAACATACACTTTATGTTACAGTGCAATAACTTGGCAATATGCTATATAAAGAGGACCTGCACTCCCAGTCACCTAGCACTCTGCACTTTCGCATTTGGCACTTTAATTAGCACTCCAGCACTTTATAATACACTGTGTATAATTACTGTGGTCAGTTCTATTTTGGACTGTATGTCGTTTAGGTTGTCTACGGTTTATGTATGCTGCAGCTATTTTTGAATGTGCCCTGGTTATAGATTTAATTGCCTTGTCTTTTTGTCTTTTCTGCATTTTAATTCATTTGGTTTATTTATTTAATGTGATTTTAAGCTAGTAATAACAATTAATGTTTCATATGGTGGCAGAGAACTGCCACTGCTGCAAAATTTAAAAAAAGAAACGGTGCAGTAAAAAAAAAAAAAAAAGCTACAATGGTGGAAAAAAAATGTTACCTACTGCGAAAATAAAAAGATGCTATTAAAAAAAGTCATAATGGAAGTAAGCTCCCGGGCACCAATAATGTTGACACAGACGACAAAGAAGAGAAGATGAGCAAAAAACCAAGTGGAAATATTATATGAAGTTGAAGTGGAGGATGCCACTGTAATGTTAGCTTCGGTTTAACTTCACATTGACTCAGGCGCTACATGGCCAAACCAAATGACACACTGAAAAGTACATGTGGCGAAATTAAACAATGACCTTTTAACTTACTTCTTTGCTTGTCTTTTCGGTGTCATCTTCTGTACCTAGATCAAAAAAACACTGGTGCATCATCATTATTGGTCACCGGCCGCTCACTTGCTTTGTGGCTTTATTTATTTGCATCCTTTTATTTTCGCAGAAAGTTCATTTTTTTTCTTTTAATTATTTTTTTCATCGCTTTTTTTGCATAGTTTACTTCCTTTTTTCAGAGTTTTATTTTATTTATTTATTTTTCATCCCAATGTTTTTTCTTTTTTTTTGCGTTGTTAACTTTCATTGTGGCTTTTTAAAAGTTTTGTTTTATTATATTTATGTTTGATTATATTTCTATTTTTTCTATCACTATTTTTTTCTTAGTTTTTTCGTTTCGTTTTTTTTTTTGTTTTATTTTATTATATTTACGTTTTATTTTTTTTCATCCCATTTTTTTGTGTTGCTAACGTCCGTTGTGGCTTTTTTAAATTTAATTGTGTTATATTTTTATTTTATTTTATTTATTCATTTATGTTTTATTTTATTTATTATTTATTTTATTTATTTATTCGTTTATTTACTTTGTGTTGTTAACTTCCGTTGTTCCTTTTTTTTTTTTTTTTTTTTAATCTTTTTATTTGCAGCAGTGGCGGTTCTCGGCCACCAAAGCATGAACACGCGCTCTCTGTTGCTGTTTGCATGGGGCTTCACGTGAGGGATGTTACGTAAAACCTTTTTCGAACCAATCAGCTGCCGTCTGCCACCACCGGAAGGCGTAATCTACACTTCCTCAAAAGCGACAGAGTTGACGATCTTCTCATACAGGCTATAAACACTGCGTATATCTTCAAACAGAGGGTGTAAACCGTGCGAGTTTACAGAGATGAAGCAGAGCTCGAGCGTGCCGGCCTTCCTCACCAAGCTGTGGACTCTGGTGGAGGATGAGAACACCAACGAGTTCATCTGCTGGAGCCAGGTAACCCTGCTAATGTTAGCACGCTAGCTGTCGGAGCTAAAGCAGATAGCTGTGGGGTTATATTTAAACGTAGCGGCGTAGCATGTGGCGCAAAACAACAAACAGTGTCAAAGAAACTAAAGTGGGATTAAAGAAATATGACCTGTTATCTCATAGCGTTATTAAGAGTTCGTCAATAATACTGACGAACTCATCTGAACACAGTGTGCTTTCCAAAACAGAGACAGTTTGTTATCCAACTTCATTGTGTGTCTCCTCTGTTAGCATATCTGAGTTTACACACACACACACACACGAACAGCTGCTCAGCCTGGGCTGGGCTATGTATGGTAAAAAAGTGATCATCGCTATTGACCAGTTGTCATTCTGCTTGTGTGTTAAAATATCAGCTCATCGAATCCGTCAGCAAAAATGGAGAAAAAAGATGTTTAAAATGGTTCCTCTTAACCTTGAAAAAGTGATGTAATGTTACAGAAGAAGGAAGCAGATACATCCAGACTAACATCTCTGGATCTCTAGCTACTGTGCTGGGTTTAAAAGAGGCCGAATGAATCATCAACAGTCAGATATAGTGTTAAATATTCAGAGAAGCTGGAGAAATCCCTGTACAGAATGATTCAGAAACGCAGGGAGACTTATTTAGTCACAGGCCCGTTTAAAGGGATAATCCGGTGTGAAATTAATTTAGGGTCAAACACACTGGTACACTGAATTAGACACCCTTTAGGGAGATGAATGTTGCTGACCGCCTGCTTCTCTCATTATACCAATTTTAGTAACGACTGCATCGCAGCAATACACAGCGGTCTGAGGAGCCATAAACCAACCTCAACCAAAAAGCCACTCTATAGCCACAAATAATGCTCAGAACAGCACCTAACTTCATCAACAGTACATATACGGTCCCAGCCATAGTACTAGCCACCAAACATCTTTTTAACTTTACCTGATTTCTTTAGCAAAGAGACAAAACACAACTCACCTACTCTTTTCATGCAGCCGCTTGTTTGTAGCGAGACCTCAGGCCAGTCCAGCGGGGCGACACAGCTCAAGGAAGAAAATTTATGATCATTTCTTTATGATTTCCTTGAAGTAATAATCACTATATTAATCTTTTTGGTTTATCGTTTTAGTTTTGCCTTAGCGTCTTGGTCTGATTGTATTTCTATGAGGAAATGATCATAAAAGTTCTTCCTTGAGCTGCGTCACCCCGCAGCAGTCCGTAATAGACTTATCCAAGGTCTCGCTACAAACAAGCGGCTGCATGAAAAGAGTAGGTGAGTTGTGTTTAGCCCCTTGTTTGTTGCAAGACCTCTCTGACCTGTCCTTTACAGACTGCAGTGGGGTGATGCAGCTCAAGGAAGAACATTTATGATCATTTCTTCATGGAAATACAATCAGACTGAGACACTAAGGCAGAAGAACTACCACGTCTGCAGTGCAAAATGATTAATACAGTGATTTTTATTTAAGGAAATTATAAAGAAATGATCATAAATGTTCTTCCTTGAGCTGCGTCACCCCGCAGAATTTTTTTTTAGAAATCTTGAATGCCATATCCTCCACTCTAGAGAAGAGAGGGGTGGTTTGTTTTCAGCTCTCAGTTCAAAGCCAGCATCCCTGTTGGTATTGGATCATAAGTAGTCATTGCATGGGTAGCAAACACATCAGTGAAGGCTCCATAAATGCTGATCAATAAATTCATGTTTTAGAGCAACAGATGCTGCCATCCAGATAACAACATTTTCAGGGAAACCTTCATATTTTAGCAGTTAACAGTGATAAACTGTCCTGTCGGCAGTTTAACTGTTCGCCCTTTGAAAACATTTGGTGCATCTTGTCATAAGATATTGGATATATAATTGGACTAATTAAATGTGATTTCATGGTAATTTCAGCCGTTGTGCTTTGCTGCATCTCCCACAGATGTCTGACTTGATCCTCGGCAACAATGAGATGAGTCAACACTCTTCTCTTAGCCTTTGCATCACCTCAAGTTGGGTTGGGATGTTGTATAAAATGTTCATAAATACAGATTTGAATAGTTGCAAATCATTAAACCCTTGTTATTTTATTTTCACCCAATAAAATAAATGTATATACTTGTTTTAAATTAGATTTGAGAAATGTATTTAAAAAAGCTGGGAAAGTTGCTCCTCTTTTAAACAATAGTAAACATGTGGGAGCTGAGAAGACCAGTGTGTTGAGGTTTGAAGTGATGAAAGATTTCAGCTCCTCCAAATCTCAGGGTCTCTTGTGTCATATTTTTCTGTCATGATGCACCAAATGTTTCTAATGGGGGACAACTAAGGCCTCAAAGTTCAGAACCTGGATGCAAATAAATCAAAAAACCTGGATATGGCAAACACCAAAAATAACCCAGTTTCTTATGAAGTGATGACTCTTCCTATCTTTCCTTCTGAGATACTCCGCCTCTCTGGAATTACCTCTTATATAACTCGTCATCTTATTAACCTTTTCCAAATGAACCTCCATGCTGTCTTCATCTCTTTTTGCACCCTTTCAAATGTTACAGTCTTATCCATTTATGTACGGTTGTATCAGAAGCACCAAAGCTTTTACAAAACTGACACTTCAGATTTTCAGTCATGTTTTAATTTCAATCCATAACTGCCAAAAGTAAAAGAGGGATAGCAGGGCTGATAACACAAGCACCACTTTATGAAATCGGGGCGGCAGTAGCTCAGGAGATAGAGCATTTGTCCAGTAAATGGAAGGTTGGTGGTTCGATTCCCCTCTATCCCTAGTCCAGTGGTTCTCAAGTCCAGTCCTTGAGCCCCCCTGTCCTGCATGTTTTGGATGTTTCCCTGCTCCAACACACCTGATTCAAATCATCAGCTCGTTATCAAGCTCTGTAATGGCGTCATAACGAGCTGATCATTTGAATCAGGTGTGTTGGAGTAGGGAAACATCCTAAACATGCAGGACGGGGGGACTCGAGGACTGGACTTGAGAACCACTGGACTAGTATGTCAGTTGTGTCCTTGGGCAAGACACTTAACCCACTTTGCTCCCAGTGTGTGTGTAAATGTGAATGATGTTTGGAGGTGGTGCAAGAGGCCGTAGGCGCAAAAATGGCAGCCATGTTCCCGTCGGTTTGCCCAGGGCAGCTGTGTTTACCACCACCAGGTTGTGACTGTGTGAGCGAATGAATGATGTGTCCATTGTAAAGTGCTTTGAGGGTCTCTGTTAAAGCATCACCTTGTAGTGGCTCGTCCACACATTTAAAAGGTCATGTTGATTTACTGGCTCCTCTGACTGTGGCGTCTTGTCTTCGTTTCTTTCAGGAGGGGAACAGCTTCCTGGTGTTGGACGAGCAGCACTTTGCAAAGGAGATCCTCCCGAAGTTCTTCAAGCATAACAACATGGCCAGCTTCATCAGGCAGCTCAATATGTGTACGACTTAGAGCTTTTATCAGACAGAAGTAACACAAAGAACCAGCAGTGTTTAATTCTTTTTCATGCTTTGGTTTTCAGGGTTATTTTCTTCTGTGCTCCTTATGTGTCTCTGGATTTACAGCTCTTATAAAAAACACAGTTTATAGTCAGACTTTAACATTCAGGAAACAATAGAGGACTCAAACTGATGTAATTAAATAAGAGCTGGAATAGAAGGATAAAAAGTGGGGACTTTGGCAGAGAAGAGACGTTTAACAATGTGATACAGTACAATTTACTGTCCCACAGGGAACTGTGTCTGTAGACTCTAGTGCTGTTTACATGAATTTATCAGCTTCAGTTGCCTCTGCTGTAAAGTCTTGAATACCTTTTATTACCACTTGCCTTAAACAATACAGTCATTCTTATTTTTAATAGAAGGATTAAAAAGCGCTGCAGCTCAAAAATAAAAACAGATTTACAGTCATATTTTCGACCTGAAACTGCTGCTAGCAAAAGAAAACCAACCAATGAGAACACAGAGACTCAGAGCTCACACTCTGCACAATACTACACACCTCCTCTGGATTGTTACTGATTCCTCTTAGGAAATGTTTTGTTATCAGCAGGATAAGACACTAAATGAACCTGTAGACACAAACTGACAGGACCTGAAAGTTCCCTAGGGCTGCTTTAATCCTCCTGATCTAAAAACATGTAGGACAAACTTTTTGGAGGTATGCATCAATTAGTTTAGCTGTAACACTGACACACGAGCGGGAATGAAAAATTGTTCAATCGTCAACTTTGATCTCACATTTTTCAATTCTTTGTGTGTGATTTTCTCTAGATGGTTTCCGTAAAGTGATGCACATTGACACAGGAATAGTGAAACAGGAGAGGGACGGTCCAGTGGAGTTTCAGCATCCATACTTCAAACACGGACAGGACGACCTGCTGGAGAACATCAAGAGGAAGGTAGACACATCTGTCCTTTTTTGATCCCTCTACTTTTCGAAAAGATAGTGGAGCATTTAGACCAGAATACTTTTTTTAATAGTTTTAATATGGCCAAATGATGCCGAGTGCAGTTGACAAAATTAAATGTATAAGTCTCAGACATTTTGTCTTTATTACAGATTTACAGTGATGAGGTAAACTGTATGAAACTGTACATTTCAGCGATAAATACCCAGTTCTTAAGGCATAAATTTCCCTTTTTAGATTTAATGTGTTTTCAAAAAAGTAAGAAGAAGAAGGTATAACTCAACCTAAAACAAGATTAAGACAACATTAACTCAAACTTCTACATAACCAGGCAGTAAAGTATCTGTGTCAGCTAAATCAGGGTTAAATCCTCTCTCTAAAAGTATTGTTTGTTTCCTCCATGATTGATGCGTGACTGAAGTAAGCACTGTCACATTTTTACTAAATTTAAAGTCATTCTATTCTTGAAGTAGTTACAAATGACAAACAAGAGTTAGTGAGCATTTCAGAGTGTGAATATTGGGAGACTGTGTCTTTACATTTACCATCTTTGCAGTTCAATGGGTGTTTGTAATCTGGCAGCAAAAGACACAGGCGCCAGTCACAAGTAGTTGATACACAAAACAGAGAACTCACAAGAGCACAAATCAAAAGATCTTTTCTCTGTGTTTGCAAGGCCCCAAAACATTTGACCCGTCATCTGTTCTTCCTTTTAATACATGATTCATGTTTGTCTTGATGAAGATGCCCTCCCAAAGACGGACTGTCCTTCATGAAAACACTGTGTTAAAATATTTCCTCTGCTTGTCAGGTTTCGACCTCTCGGCCAGAGGAGACAAAGATCCGTCAGGAGGACCTAACGAAGATCTTGGCGAACGTACAAAATGTTCACAACAAACAGGAGAGCATGGATGCCAGACTCATCACACTGAAGAGGTGAGTGTGCAGATGTGGACGGGGTCAGCCTGGAGGATGTGGGGAATCCAGCTTGCTGCTCTGTCTATGTAAGTTACGGTGTAAGCAGGATGGCTTCCCTCCCACTAACAAACTACTTAACATTTTTATTGTTCAGGGAGAATGAAGGTCTGTGGAGGGAGATCTCAGACCTGAGACAGAAACACGTTCAGCAGCAGCAGCTCATCAAGAAGGTGAGGGAAAACACATAAAAAGCAACTACACCTGTATTATCTGCATTAATGAGTTCCTCTGAGAGACTTTCCAACAGCGGCAGGTTCGAGAGTAAGCTGTGTTTGTGGGATTTTCAGTGTCACGAAGCTGACTCTCCATTAACCTGGCCAGCTCAGCACACAGTAGCATGAGGCATTTGCAGGGGCAAACATCCACAGCCCACTGAATACGGCTTTATAAGAACCAAAGCTCTGTGGATTTTACAGCTTTAAACAGAAACATGTATCTGTGTGTAGACTTGCAGATGTCCTGTTCGTCTCAAGCTCCTGTGCTAAATTCCTTTTCTAAAATTCGATTGAAATAATTTTTCTCTGTTTCTTTCAGATGATCCACTTCATTGTCACTTTGGTGCAAAACAACCGCATCCTGAACTTGAAACGCAAAAGGTGAGTTCACTACCCTCAGAGACATCTGAGTACTGTATTATTAAACAGACAGATGCACCTGACAGATAAACATATTTTAAACACGAGGGCTGGGACGATAAGCTTTTCTACCGATTTAATTCTTTGACGATTTTTTTAATGCCAATTTTATTTAAATTGCGATTCTACGATATTGTGGATTTTCTCAATTTTCAGTCTGCTTTTTTAACACCAGTGAAACAGTTGAATGGTTATGATTTTCTACTGACTATTCCAGGAACCAGATTTCCCCCAAAAAATACACAACAAATAAAAGTCATTTTTTAAAGAGTTTTCCTTAAATTTGAAAAAAGAAACAAAAAGATTTTTGTACATAAAAATCGATTCAAAAATTGTAAAACAAAAAATCGTGATACTTATGTGAATCGATTTTCTCTCCCACCCCTATTAAACACACATTATCACATCCTTATATGGAAAAAAACTGAAAAAGACCTCAATAATTTAAAATGTTTTTTAATGATTTATTTACGCATAAAACATGGTTTTACAAGCTTTTACTGATCAACTTTGGTTGTTCTTGTGATATTTTATGTTTCTAGTATATAAATATACTAAATTCTCCATGTTTATGTAGTGCTATAAATGTGACATGTTGTGTCTAGAGAAAGCGCAAATAAACATGCAGTAGTTCATTAACCATTTAGTCCACACACTGCTGGTAGAGATTAACCCTCAGTATGAAGTAATCCCGTTCAGCGGGGCCACTTTGGGGTCAAGTGTTTTGTTTAGGGACACTTTGGTATGTAGACAGCCGGACAGTCAAATCCCTGACCTTCTGATTGTTAATACGTGTGTGTTTGTGGGATGAAATGAAGTTTCTGTTGCAACAAAACATGAGCCAAAGTGACAGCTACAAATTCATTTCTCACACTTTGGTTTAACTTGGTAAGATTTCTGATCAGAAACTGTTTATTTCAGGATTTACAGCCTGTTTCAAAAATATACTTCAGTGCTACATAAACACATTATTCCTACACATTATTTTATTAGATTGATCTTGTAAGTCTAGCATCATTGAGTGAGTTTAAATAGAGTTGAGTATTTCCATTTCAATCAGGTATTTAACAAGCCTGTTTTCAGACACCAGGATAAGCCCTTATTCCTCATTTTGCTACCTGGAGTATCTTAAAGGAAACTGGATACTATGGCATGCATACACCAGACCCTAGTTACTGACAGCTGCAGTTTACATGCTCAAGTGCAGCCAAGTGATCTATCAGCAAAACTGGCAGGGGGGGTCGGCAATAAGAGCGTCTTACTTCTGGAGTGATGAATGATTTGAATTAGCTTCTGGTATAAGGTTTATAACTAAGATACTTAAGTAAATGTAAACACACTGATTGTTATTTTAAAAGTTATGTTACTGGAAGTTTCCTTCAAGCTCAAATCTGTAACTTCCTCTTTTTATAACAGACCAATTCTGATGAACAGCAGTGGAAAGAAGCCCAAATACATCCATGAGATCTATGATGATAAAGTGTGTGTAGAGCAGGTGAGTAAACACAGGAAGTACATCCTGCAGTGATTATAAGATTATCTGTAGTGTGCCGTACGTGAATGGTTCTGACTTTGGGGTTCTATGCAGTCCTCTGTTGGCAGTCTGAACGGGGTGAAGGGCGCCGAGCTATCTGATGACGTCATCATCTGTGATGTGACTGAGAGTGACGCCGAAGTGACGGGCGACATTTCAGAGGAGTCACCCAGAGCCTTCGAACAGAGGTGAGGCTGTCTTTTAATCACATGATCACTGCTCTATAACGCTGCTGTCGCACCGCAGGATGGTGGACATGGAGGTAAACTGTTTCTGCTGAACATTCAAGATGTCTGTTGTATCAGGACGTCCAAATCAAGTAACACAACCTGACAAAGATTTTATTTGACTGATAAAATGTTTCAGCTCATGAGAGGTTCGCCTTTGTAGGAATGTTGAATAAGCGTGCTTTAAAGGACCAGTCAGTATATTCGGTCTGTCTGACTCTCTCCCTCAGTGACATGGAGATCGTAGAGGTGGAGCTGTATAACGGAGCAGAGCTGCCTACAGAGACAGAGGTGAACGCCTTCAGCACAGAGGACATCAGACCAGATGAGGACGTAGCGTCAGCGGACAGCAGACAGAGGACACCCGTCGACAACAATACCCCTACCACCAGCACAACCACCATCACAGCAGCACCACCAACGAGCAACACTTTGACCAGCTCCGCCCTGCAGCTGAACAAACCCGGAGCTCTGAGTCTGGAGGACCCCATGAAGATGATGGACTCCATCCTGAATGAGAACGGAGCCATTTCACAGAACATCAACCTGCTGGGAAAGTAAGAGGCGACTTCCAGGTCCCTTTATTTGAAACCCGAGTGACACTGATGGCTCAGTTGTAAGAGCTAGACGCACATAATTACTCTCTTCACTTCGTCTTACACTCTCTGTATATAATGCAATCTTATTCATTTAAACACACTTCTGGAGTATTCAACAGTATTGTCAATTTCACAATATCATAAGAACCAGAGTGTCTTCTTACCATTGTGAACTTAGCAAGTGATGGTATGGTTCTGTCCTACATCATGAGTTCTTCTGCAGCACACAAACTTCCAACATGTCACTAGGACTACATCTGACACATACACAAAATGTTTTTTTTTTGTTTTTTTTTTGCCGTTTTATCAGCTCTTCATGTGTTGATGTCCTTTTTATTTTCCAAACACAATATTTTAATTTGATGATTCTGTCTCCTTGTCTGTCAGGATGGAGCTGATGGATTATCTGGACAGTATTGACTGCACTCTGGAGGATTTTCAGGCCATGCTGCAGGGGAAACAGTTTGGAATTGATATCGATTTACTAGAGGTAAAGTTATATCTAACAAACACACAAACAAAATGAATCCAATATTTTTAATTATATGATCTTGCTCAACTTGAAACTGATTGAATGAGTACCAAAAATCCAGATTCCCAGAGGTCTTGTATTGGAACTACATTCTTATAACCACTATCTGTATTGGCTAGGATAACCCGGGACCTTTTGATCATGTGTGATTTACTCGAATTTACTTGCAAGACGTCCACTTTGTCTCTTGAGGAAGTGTCATTGCAGTGTAAAATCACGGGGTAATCCATGAAAAGGAAGACTTCTCATAATTAAACCTCTTTTTTTTAAATTCTATACAAACTGCACTTAAAAGACAACAAACCCATTTGAGTTATTAGAAATATTCCTTACTGCGGGCAGCATTGATGTAATGGACTTCAGTTTGTCATTTATATTGATGGGTCTCTTTACTATACAGTGAAATGATCCTGAGTTTACATTGTCCAATATATCCCACATCCATTTGATCATGAAAGAAGCAGAAAAAGCAGCAGAGGACAGACACCTTCTGCCATTATTACAAATGATTGTAGCTCCCTTGTTAGTACTCGTCCTGTGCAATCAGGGCTGCAGATTTCTACTTCTGTCCAGCTTGTCACCTCCTTTAACTAAGCATTGATTCATTGACAAAATATCCTGTTAAATATATAACCTTTTTTTTTTCTCAAAGATCCCAGCTCTCTTCACCTCCTTGTGTGATTTTCTTCAGGAGAGTGTGTCCCCCAAAGACGGTGCCATGCCACTAAACAGAGGGAGAACAGACGAAGACAACACAGGTGAGACACACGCTCCTAAAGAAATCGACACTTTAAGCAGGGATGTGATGAAGTTAGCTGCTGTTCTGAGCATTATTTGTGGCTATAGAGTGGCGTTTTGGTTGAGGTCTGTGTTTGGCTCCTCAGACCCCTGTGTATTGCTATCGTGCGGTCGTTACGTAAGTTGGTAAAACTACAGAAGCAAGCGGTCGGCAACATTTATCTCTTGATGTCTAACGCCTGGTTCACACTGGAAGCGCCGCGCGCGGAACGGAAGCGCCGCGCACAGAGTTTCAGATCGGCGCCCATGTTAACCTATGAGACTGTTCACACACGGAACGGCTCGCGCTCTGGAGCGCGGCTGCTCCGCTTCTCTCTATTTTTGGCGCGAGCCGCGCGCGCCGATGTAAAGCTCAACAGAGCAGATCGGACCAGACAGGAAGTCAGGAAGGAGATGCGAGAGAATCCGGTCAATTTTCAAAATAAAGTAAATTTCAATAAATTAGAAAAGATTTACGGTGTTGCTTGTCGGTCTATTTTTTTACCGATGAACACCACACACACACACACACACAGACACACACGGAGGGAGAGCTGCAGAGAGTCAGTGATGTTATTGAGACAAAGGAGGGGGACTTTATTACGATACAGTCAATAGCCTCGAGCTAACAAGGCTATACATACAACGGAGTCAACAGACTCCCCAATTTATTCGTTGTTTACCCCTATATAATAATTTAAAACAATACTTGAAGATGCTGCCAATATTTAATTTATGTATGACGAAATAAAAACGTAAATAAATAGTGATTTACCCATTTTTAAAGCGCTCGTAAGTGTGGAAAACTGAGGGCAGACGGAAACGGCCGAGCACTGCCGGGCTCAGACGATGTCTGACCAGCGTGTCAGAGCGCAGCAGAAAGCGCTTTCTGTGTGAACAGCCAAGCGCGAGCCGTCGCTGCGCGCGCGCGGCGCTTCCGTTCCGCGCACGGCGCTTCCTGTGTGAACCAGGCGTCACTCGGTGTTACAGTGTGTTTGACCATAAATTAATTTTACGCCGGAATATCCCTTTAAGTGCTGATCATGGTAGTCATCCTCTGTGTGCGATCAGACTTGGATGAGGCTGATTTTTCTCCTGTATCGTTTCTTCAGATAAACAGCTGATCCAGTACACATCCTGCCCTCTGATAGCCTTCCTGGATGGCTGCAGCCCCTCGTCAGACCTGGACCTGGGCTCTAGCAGCAGCAGTCCCTCCACCTCCCACCTGCCGCCTTCCGCTGCCTCACTAGAGGCTGGCCCACCAACAGACCTGCTCGAGTCTGCCCTGGAAACCAAACAGCCAACCCGTAGCTCCCTGATCCGGCTGGAGCCACTGACGGAGGCGGAGGCCAGCGCAGAGACTCTGTTCTACATGTGCGAACTGAGTCCTGCTGCCGCTGAGCCGGACTCCGTCCAGCTGGACCGGGTTTGAGACCCACCTAGACTGATGTAGGAGTGACCCCTTCTGTCTGAAGCTGCTGCAGCTGAGTTTGAATATTGCAGAAGTGTGTGTGTTGATGTTCCTGCAGGTCTGTGAGAAGGAACAGACTGAAGAGCAGCAGGATGGAAGACCACACACACATTTTATAAACTTTGAAGAAAACACTCAAGTTCCTCATAATAACAGCTAGCTTAAAGCTTACCTCTAAACCCGGTTAGTGCACTACTTCTAAAGTTGAACCCGCACATCCTACAAACTCTAAACAGTATTCCTATCATAAAGGAAGGCCAGTCTGGGATATTATCAAATGTTTAACAGCAAATTTTATCTTTTTATGTTTAATATTTATGTGTTTCTCCGTCTGAGGGAAAGTGTGCCACTGACAATCACTCTTAGCTCGATTCATTATCTATCTCTTCTTTCCGCTTTTTAGAGGTGAGCATGTTCAAAATCGTACAAAAACACAACACTCTCATTCTGTGAAGGTACTCGTTTTGGTGCAGCCTCTCTTATATCAAAAAAGTCTGTCAGTGTCCCCTTTTTACTTAGAAAATAGGTTGTTTCTTAAAAAAATGTCTTTTCTTTTATCTGAAAAAATGTAATATCTTACACTTAGCTGACTCTATTTACTGTTTTATAAAAACATGCTTTTATTTTGAAATGACGATACACTATTTTCAGTATCTAACCATCTTTTGAGGGACTGTAGCTAGCTGGCTAGCTGATTGCTCAGTCTTCATTGTCGCTGCTTCATCCCTAAGTTTTAGGCGCTACCAACCGGCATAAATAACCACCACCGCCCCCGACTCTGAACTCTGTTGTTATACAATGTCACGGCATGTTAGAGCTGTTATTTCTCTGTAAAAGGAGGTTTTTGGCCCGGATACCAAGAGAAAAAAGTTGATGCAAAGTTTTGATGTAAAGCTGATTTTTAAATTAAAAATTTAATTACAAATGTCACAAAGAGTCCCAGAGATTCCATAATTTGCAGGTTAACATTAAACTTCACATTGACATTCACAAGTTAAAACATGAGCCTGTTTTTTGGTTATAAATCACCATAAACTATTATTTCCACTGATATCTTATTTCCTCACTGTTTCTGCACTTTTTCTCCCCTGATAATGATTTGTAAGCTACTAACAAAACTAAAGACTGTTCTCTTCAAAGGACCAGTGTTGTTTTTGTTGACGATGATTTTGACGAAAATATTTCGTCAACGTCATCGTCAATGAAAACAACACTGCAGAATATATGTTTAGCATTTGACTGACGAAATGCTCGTGAATTTTGCAACTCTGTTCGGCGTCCACCACTAACGTTTTCGTCTAGTCTCGTCTCTGCACATTGTAGTCATCTAAGCCTTGTGTTTAGCTCGTCAACGTCAGGGGCTGTGACGAAAACAACACTGCAAAGGACCAAAAGTAGAGTTATAATTGTAATCTGTGTTGTTGACCAAGTAGGAATGCCAACTTGAACGCTAAAGTGTTAACAGGTGGAGAGGAAATATTTATGTGTATCGAGTCTGATCGAGTCAGCTGATGTGATTTGATGTTTTTTGGATCAAGTTGTTCCATGTAACACCTTGCGATCAATAACCAACATGCCACTGTTATGACCAATCAGAATTGAGTGTTTCTTGTAGTTAGGTAGTAATTTACCTATTATTTTAAGTGTGATCATTTCAGTCATGGTTTTTACTCAGTTAAAATCCCTGAATGCTGGTTCAGCTCAGTTGTTAAAGCGACGCCACATGAAGTGTAACATTTCGTGAAGCACAATGACACAATAAGTGACTGTGTTCAGGTTTAAGGTGAGTTAGCTGATGGTTCAGAGGGTAAAGAGCTGCAACACTAACCTGTTATAACCCGTTTCCACTCATGGATTAAAATCTTGAGTGTTTTCTTCAAAGTTCCAGTCTGAAATATTAAACTCACATCATGAGATACAGAAACGTGGACCAGCGTGCACCCACACGGTTCTCCTCCATCAGTGTGCGCACCTTCAAGGGGCTCAGCTTCAGCGAGGAGGGGTCACTCCTCTCTGTATCTACAGACTCAAACACTTGTATTTACTCCTTGACGTTTATTTATTCTCTTTATGTTCTTTTGCTACTTTTTTTTTCTGCAAACATCATTCCCTCAAATATATACAGGCTACCCTCTCTAAAGTCAACCGTATCAAAACGAGTTTAGTCACAGTGTTTTAAAGGACGCTAGGACAGAAGGTGTTCCCTGAGAGAACCTGTTGCCATGGCATCAAGCGTCATCAACATCAGGTCTCTTCACCTACAAGCGCCATTCACCCATGAAAAATGTAAAAACACAAAAAATAAATGTCTTTTTCTAAGCTTTTGTATATTTTTTTTATTTTGTCCTGTGAATAATCTTTTTCTTTAAAGACTGATTTAAAAATCAGATGAGGTGTATTTGTTTGTTTCAGATGAGCCTAGCATATTTGGAAAAAAAGAGGGCGGAGTAAAAGAAGCCAGAAGAGTGTTGCTTCTCCAAAGCTCCACCCTCTTTTTTTTCCAAATTTGGTCACGTCTTGCTCCTCTCAATCAAAAAAATGTCTCTCCTGGCTTCTGGACAGCTGCGCTTCACTAATATACAGTTTATAAAACCGCAGAGATGTGTAACTCATCAATTTATCTTGTGTGCAGAGTGACAATCGGATTAATGTTTTGAAATTTTTACATGTACAAGGACACCACTGAGGATTTGTTCGTGCTCAATACCTGCTGTCCCAGCTGTCCGACTGCAAATTAAAACTGGCAGAAAAACTCTGTGTTTCAGATTGTTGTAATGGAGGAAATCTGTTCATGTAGAAGTGCCTGTGCCCCTCTTTCACCCTCTCTTCATGTGTTCATTTGTAGAGACTGTCCATAGAAGCTGTTCATAACCTGTTGTGTTCAGAGATCAGCTGATCTGAGATCTGCTGCCTGCCTGTTCCAGCTTTCACTGTTACAATAAAACAAATTCTTTAGAGCCCATCGACTGATTCAGTGTTTTATTATTCTTATTAGGAGAGAACAAGGTGATGTGGGACAGATGTGAGTTGAGGCAAAAGTGTGTTTTAACTACAGTTGATACTTAGATTTTAGGATGTGATGCATCTCTTAGAGCATTTAATTTAATTCTAAAAATCAATTTAAAGCTCCTTGGTTTGTTTCAGCTCTTTACATCACAGGGTGATTAAAATTAGAGGTGTCCCAATACAACTTTTTTACTTCCAATACAATACCGATATTTTAGCCGTCAGTGCTGGTCGATACCGATATTGTGCCGATATTTGCACAAACTTGTGAACGGCAAGTTTTGCCTTGCTACTTTGTTAGTACCTTAGTCCACACTATTTTAATCACATGGGCTCTGCATGCTGGATCCGAGCTCTGCTAGCTAGAGGTGCTGAAGCGGAGTCTGGAATAGACTGCTTGTATTGAAGTTTTTTATACTGGAGATTTCAGACGCAGGCTGATATATCCGATATTTGGTTTTTTTGTTTGTTTGTTTGTTTGTTTTTTGCTGACATTGGACCGATATCAGATATCAATATTGTATTGGGACATCTTTAATCAAAATAGATGAATGACCACACGACCAGCTTCCTGTCCCATTGATAGAAGAGGTTAGGGCTGGGCAATATGGGAAAAAGTTTATCACGATATATTTTCTTTATATCAGTCGATATCAATAAATATCACGATATAAAAAATAAAATCTAACAGTGCTTATTGGTAGCATGTCTTTTGCAATACAATAAGCTACTGCATCTGTGAGGTCTTTGTGGCTCTTTGACAATTTGTCGTAGGCGTTGTGTTAGAGAAAGTGGACTGAATGGTCAGCTGTTTCGGCTACACAGGCTCCGTAACCTTTTGCATTGTGCATGCTCTGCCGCGTTGCACTGCTTCAGGTGGTGAAAAAGATTTGAGGTATTCCCCAACTTTGCAAGAACACGTACTCGACATAATTTGCAGTGCACATTACTCTGCTTCATGTCCGACCTCAAAAAACCAAAATACCTCCACACCACCGATGTTTTGGTGCCAGTGTTGTCGACGACGTCATCATCTGTTGAGCCTTCATCTGCATGTCTGCCGTGGGTAGCTCATTTTCTTTTTTTTCTCACTGACAGTGCTGTTGGCTTCACGTGTTAAAGTGTTATGGTTGTGTGTAGCTGCAGTCTGCTACTATACAGTTGTTTGCTACTTAGTTCTAATTCAACATGATTGGTTCAGTGCGAAGTGGACCCGGAGCAACTCCCCTGTTCATTGGCTATTTGTGTAGTCTACCAAAACATGGCAGAATTACGGTTATCAAAAATGATATTGACCATGTTTTATATTAATATTGAGTGAAATTAATTGTTGATATATATCATTATCGTTTTATCGCCTAGCCCTAGAAGAGGTTAGTTGAACTTTCCCTCAGGCATAAGTCACCTGCTTCACCCACTATGATGAGGCATCAAGCACAGATACCGTCTTCATTACATATTCGCAACACAGAATTCCCTAATATAAACTGAGGTAGTATGAAAACACAGACACATTTCATTTTTTATTTTAATCCGCTTTTATTAAACCAGGTAGATTTTACCTTTACATGTCAAAGAGGATATAAGCACATGATCGATAACCAAACTCATGTCTGTGATCAGCCACATGCTAACACTAATGATAACAACACCAAATAAGTTAACTATTTAAAAATTCTTTTAAACAACACTGAAAGTTTTTACATGAAGAGTCAAAGCAGAAAACAGGAATGCTGCATGTGTGTGTGTGTGAGTGCCAAAGACACAAAAACACACACACACTCAAGAGAGCAAAAAATGTGTGTTAATAACATCACGCATACGCACACTCACACAGCTACACAGCACCGCTAAAGCTGATCAGTCTCTCCCTTTTATTTTACATGTTACAGTGTTTTATGTAATACTGATGCTGACCACAGGGGGCGCTGCGCTCCACAAACAGCTACTGTTCGAGTCACAGAAAGATAAAGAAAGCATGCAGGAGGAAATGACACACGCTGCACATATTTACAATGAGGACTGTGTGTTACCATGGAAACAGCTGATGGAAGAGGAAGGGTCAGAGCATGAGTGGGGGGAGATCAGTATAGGATGAGGGTGCAGGGGTAGTAGCTCAGGAGGAAGGACGGGGTTTAAGGAGAGGGATATGAGCAAGAGGAGGCGGAGTCAGAGCTTTGAGGGCGGGGTCACAGCACAACAGGGAGTCTCGTGTAACACGCTTAGTCGAAGTCTCTGTTGACGAGGACCAGCGGTGCCACCAGAGTCCACACGTAGAGGGCGATACAGATCCAGCTGGAAGAGATCTTCACCCACACAGACGGCCAACGGCTGGTCATCACCTCATAGTTTGAGTCAGGGCTAGAGAGAGAGAGACAATACACACATCAGCTATTACATACACACACTGCCAGGATGAATGACAGCTCGACTTATGCTGTTGATTTTGCCAAAGGTGCCTAAGCCCTCATGAGCACTCTATATTTCTGTGACACTCTGCATTTCTGCATTTTCATTACATGCACAGTTTAATTGAACTAAGCTCATAATTCAAATTTTCGCAGAATCCGACTTCTCTCCTTGTCCGCGTATACATGCAGCTGAGAAAATTGAATTATTGACGTGAACATGTCCTCCTCCCCAAAACTCGTCTTATCAGCGGCGCTGTTTCCGACCCCGTACAACAGTCAACAACAACAGCAGGTCTGTGCCAGACATCAGAAGTGGCTACAACTGCTGCTGGGTATTTTCGATGGAGCATTAGTACAGAGTTGCTTTTGTCGTACATGATGTACGCGCTACTTTTTCTGCAGATGAGGTGCACGCTACTCCTCTTCTCTGGTGTTTTTGTTCCGGGGCTACAGGGGCGTGGTGCACGGGCACATGCATTGTCCAATCACACTCCGATTATGCTGGTTCCATGGTAGAGAAAATTGAATTCCAATTGCATTATCTGGGTGTCTTAATCCGGGTTCTCGGACTCCGATTATAGTCCGACAAAGGTGTTTACATGCACTCCAGTTGTCCGGTCTTAATCGGAAAAAGGTCCTTTCACATCGGGACCATTTTTTCGTGCAATTATTTTGGACGTCAATATTTATTCAAACAGGACACGTCTTTTTTTCTCTCCATGGAAAGTCGCACAATTGCATCGGGCTTGATGTGTATAGTCAGGCGCCTCAAAATTTGCCTCTGAATATTTCGTAATTTCACGTCGTATATTTGCGTTGTTCCTGGTGTGTAAGGACCTTTAGGCAATAATTTGGTTTTCTCGAGTGTCATGAAAACGTACTGACTGACTTGACAGCAACCCCCATGGCTTTCCTCTACTAACACTGAGGGAACCCTGTTGTTTTACTACTGTGTTCGTGTCTCCTACCTGTACCAGTTGGTGAGCGTCATCATGATGTAAAGCGAGGCCAGAAACAGCATGAAGTGGAAGAAGGAGTATGAGTACGTCACTCCGTCCTTCTCGTTGTCCACAGCGCGGCTCACGCCCCCCTCCTCCTCAAAACCGTCTGATTGAGGCCCGTCCTCGATCAGAGCGGACTCATCGCTGGTCAGCGTCAGCTTGTTCACCTGGGCGTTGGAGGAGTTACGAATACTGAAAGAGAGAGAAAGCAGAGAGATCATGAGGAACACGAAGAAGACAGTACCATCAGACAGAGATGAACCAGCCTCCTGATCTCTGCTCACCTGGAGTAGAGGACACACATGAGGAAGAGGATCAACCCCACAATCCCCTGAGCATCCCACCACTGGACCACATGGTCCTGACCTGCGGGAGAGGTGCTGTTCAGCCCGATGATCCCCAGCAGGCTCGGGTTACACTTCCTGTCTGGAAGAGAGAAAGAAAGAGCGAAAAAGTTTAGATTATTGATTAAGAGAAACTGCATGACTGGATAATTTTTAGTTTTTATCATTTCATTTGTACTCATTTAGATTCCGGTTTAATCCAGTTTTCTGCCTCTTATGATGATCATGTGCTTTTAGCAGCTGTAAGCATGGGAATAGCTACTTGTAAATCTATGATACTGATAGTTTATGATCTTGGAAACAGGGACTAGAGGAACCCCCTTGGAGAACATAAAAACACTGGATGTGCAAAATCTTTTTTTTCACACACTTGCATGTGATAGACAGAGACTGCAGAGAAAATACAGACAAGAAATACAAGAAATGCCTTAAAATCCACACAGAGAGATCTTTAAGGTCTGCTCGAGAGTGTTTGACCACATTTGGTAGATAAGCGATGCACGTTCAGGACACTACGTAAACTGCAGGGTGCACTGAGGTTGTACTAAGCGGCTTAATAATTGATTTTTGTTTTCAGGGTAACATAAATCAAACCAATTAAAGTCAGATTGCATTTCTGGTCAGGTGACCCTGCAGACCGATGCATTCATGTTTACTATGAGAATATAAAATAAAAAATAAAAAAACTCCAGTAAGAGGAAACAACAACTGGAAAACAGAGATTCTTTATGTGATGTTATAAACTTATGAACTATTTATTTTTTATGTTGAAATGAAGACTTAAAAAAAAACCTAATCTCACCTGGTTCATTGGTCATGGCAGACCAGGTGAGGTACATGGTGTACAGAGTGACCAGGGAGGACTGCAGCAGACCAGAGCGAGGCTGAGACTCCTGCAGAATGGAGACAGAAGACGAGGTTTGATCACATATATGGAAGACAAAAACTAGCAGGTAGAAGAACTAATGACCAGCTAAGAGCTCTTTACTCATAATATTATTGACATAAGGGATGAACGTGTTCGCAAATGTGTGTGTGGGCAGAAGTGTTGTGTACCTGGATCTGGGGCATTATGGACATGACAGAGGCACCGATACAGAGCAGCATGTTGATGCTGATGAAGACTTTGTTCTCGGTGCAGCTGTCGGAGTGTGTGTAGTAAACATAGAAGAGCACCAGAGAGACCAGAGACAGCACGTAGTTCAGAGCAGTGACGGACAGCAGGGCTGAGGACACACAAAACACACACTTGTAATTATGATAATACAAAAGGACACTTTAAGCATGCCCTATGATATTTTCACTGAGCATTTATCTTTTTGGATATTTTTGAGTTAATTTTTAAATCATATCTTGACATCACCACAAATAAGAGACACCTCAATGATATTCAAGGCTAAAGTAGAAGTTAATATATATTCCTCCATGTGTTTCTACTCTAGGCCTCTGTTGGCTCCATGGCAACTGTCAGTCAAACACATTGAGGTTTTAAAAGTTTTTGAAAGACAAAAATCCACCAGCATACCTGCATACCAGCAGCGAGAGTTTCCCTCCTCCATCTTCTCCACCCAGGACTCATTCCAGGAGTGGGCAAAGTCAACGAGAAGGACCAGCTGGATGAGGATGAAACAGAACGCCCCGGCCATGCCCACATAGAACCACACTGAGGAGCAGAAAAAGGGGGGTTAATGCATCCCTGAATCTTCACACAGATAATACAAGGTCCAGTTTAGATACAGTGAGAAAGACTTACCTGTGGTGAACGCTCCATCTGCGATGAAAAAGGATCCGATGGTGATGGCAGCAGCCGCAGCAAACTTAAAGAACCAGAACCTGAACACAAACAGAAATCATAGATATTTGTTTATAGATGAGCTGCTGTACAGACAGGTGTATGTCAAAAGGATGTGACAGGTGTGCGTGATCTGACCCGTTATGCAGAGCAGCGCGGGGGTCCTGGCTGCTCTTCACTTTGATCATAAGCAGAGAGAAGAGGAGGAAGAACATGGCCATGCCGAAGCAGACACGGTACACAGCTTTGTACCCGACCAGCACATCACAGTTCACGTGACCCTCCACACCTGGTAACGAGGTCCCCGCGCCCCCCTCACAGAAACCGGGGATCTACAAGCAAACACACAGACAGAGATTAAACAGACCAGATCAGAGAGCAGACAGGCTGCGGTTTGAAGTTAGTCCAATCCCTCTCAAATGTCAACCTGGTCGAATCTAATCTTTTTCATCTGCCTGTTTCAAGATTTAATTTGATCTCATATCTGTAATCTGGTCAACTCATTTTTAATAGCTGGGGTTTTCTCTGATCTTGTACTTAACCCTCATCTCAGAGTTTAAGATGAGATATTCCTTTAATTCTTTTATTAGTCCCACAAGGGGAAATTCCAATTTTTAAACTGCCTTTAATGCCACAGAAGTCCTCAACAGACATTTAGAGTGCACATTTATCTCAGTCTGAACACAAAATGTTTATATTTACATGTATTAAAAGGTGTTTTTGTCTGTAAACACACAGTGTAAATAAAGTCAAGTAGTCATGGAGAGACTTAAGGCTCTCACTTGTGATCAGATTACCCAGGATGCATGTTGACACCAAGAGTAAAAAGAGCCTGAGACATTACACAATCTAAACATGAGAGACCAGAATAACTCTCACACAGGTGCTCAGAGCTCAGCTGACGGTTGCTTTGAGAGTTTGTTTGTTTTCTAATGAAGTGGGGTTATCTGAGGTACTTAGAAACAGGAGGATCCTGGTCAGCTTGACCCCAATGTTAAGAAACTGACTGGAATCTGCACAGAAGCTGGGCAATCGACCGTTACAGTAAGGTCAGTTATGCTCAGCAATTAAGCTCATTTAAAGACAGCCTGAGGCAAAGCGGGAGTCTGTACACTCCACTCACATTACTGTTTGAGATGGACTTTCTGAAATGAGCGAAATTATGTGGTAAAATTGACCCTGTTGGTAGTCTGCCACCCCTGTTTGTTCTAGGAGCTGTATTGACCCGATTCTACAAGGGAAAATACACTTCATACTGAAAAGTAACCTTACTTCAAAAACAGTGAACTACCCCTTTAATGAAAAGCTGTAACATCCACAATAACTGATCTATATCTGTATATTTTGTTTTGTATACTCTTCCAAAATTTTAAGTATAATTCCATGTTATCATAACAGTATTTATGTGTTTTACAAAGCAGGTTTTTGTTCAGCTGTATGAGCTCTTAATAAACCCCAGATTGAATGCAGATCTCAGGTTACCTTCTTGAGCTGTCCCTCCATGCCGGGCATCAGCATGATGCAGGCGATGCCCACTCCCAGCAGCAGGAAGAAGGCGTAGATCAGACGGGTCACTGTGGAGTTATTTCCGCTAGGGCAGCATCTGCACAGCAGGCAGGGGGCGCTGCCGCACAGGCAGGGGATCTAGACCAACACAAAACAGGTTCAATGTCTAATACCATAAACACACAATATACCCACCATTAGGACTGGACGATTATATGATCCTGATAAATTTTCAGTTTAATCACGGTGATCAGCTTTGAGCATATTTACTCAATCAAACATAGCGGAAATGTGCGTCACACTAGCCAATCAGAGTCGAGCTTTTCCTGCTAACTTCTGTAAGTTGCCTGAGAAGTAAACAGGAGAACAGAATGACCGAACGTGGAGCTAAACGCGGAGCCGAGGGCAGCAAAATAGATGTCAGCCATGACTTTGAGTCATCCTCCTAAGATGTCATTGTTGAGAAGAAAAGTTATTCAACATCGGTTGTGTGGTGGTGGTTTCGGGTATCTCCAAAGTGACGTCGAGCAATTAAGCCGATGTGCAAGGTATGTCGGCGGACAGTGCCCTTAAAAACCAGCAACACAACAGATCTGTTTAATCATATGAAGAAGTACTCCCCGAGTGATTTGAAAGCATGAAAATGCGAGCGGAGTCTGTACAGCCTGACACTGCTGACGGCACAAGGAGCATTAACAGTTTAGCTATAGGAAGTGGTGCAGCCACCAGACCAAAGCAGCGATCAATCGAATCATTTATGTTTACATCATCTAATGTTCACATTTTAAGGCCTCTATATAGTTCCTGAGGGGGCCATTTTTTTATTTTGGGTCTTGCATACCTGCAAAAACACTCAGGACTGTAAACTAGTTCACTGTATTATTTGGTATTCATCTACATTTGTTGTACTGTTGAAGTTTTTAAATATATTTCTTAAGTATTTCTTATTCAACTTGCTTTGTTATTTAATTTTTATGTTGATGAAGTGTTCCGATATCGTCCGATCTCGATATAATCGTGATCGGACGATATGACAAGATACATCGCCCATGCCTACCCACCATACACACCTTTTACACCACCTTTCTGTGTTTTTCATATTAACTGACCCTTCGACAGTAAAATGTGTTTTGTGTGTGACTGAAAGTGTGTGTGTGATATCTGACTCTGTTTACACTCTGCGGTGTTGCGACAGATCCCTGCTATGTTTACATCATGTCTACAACGGTCACAAACACGCGTGAATTAAAGAAACCCTGCATGCACACATACATATATACAAACACATACATACACACACACTCATCTCTAACACTCCACCTATCGATACATTACGTCACTTTATGGCTAAATTAGTCAGCTGTCTGGTTCAAACTGGTTAAATATGGTTAGTTAGCATGTCACCACAAAGATAAGCGTAATTTAGCTCTAATATTCACAAACTATCCGTCTACATTAAATCATTTAGCGTTTAAATACATCGAAGGTATCAGAGCTATCGAGCTATGTTAGCTGTTGTTTGTGTCTGCGCCACAGACGGCCTGTGTGTGTGTCTGCCGTTGTGTTATTGCGCAGTCATGACCGCGATAATAAAAACAGAAACAGTTTTATTCACGAAAATAACCGTGTTTTAAAAAGCTGACTCACCCAGCTCGCCATGGAGCAGAGGCCCAGCACGGCTCCCATGATGCTCTCTCTTCTCTGTGTGTCTGGTTTAATCAGATGGAGGATGTTTTTCTCACAGAAGAAGATGGATGATGAAGATGAAGCTCGCTCCACCTCTTCTTCTTCTCCCACCCGCACAACGAGGCTTCTAGATTACATCAGCGCTATGCTGCGCCTCCACAGGTCGAGGGCGGTACTGCCGTTTGCAGAAAAACTGTCTTCCTGTCTTAGCGGTAGTACTGAACCTCAAAAAGGAACAAATAAAACACAAAAAGTGCACATTTTGGAGACTTCTTCAACGGCATTTGTTTCCCATGTTCCTCCAGACAAATCACACCATTACTTTGAATTATTTGTAAGAACAAAACTTACAGTAATGCACAACAAAGATGCAGTAATCCTTAGACAATTAACTAATAAAACTGCATGTTATACCTGTAAACAATCCTATTATGGGATCACTAATATAACTCTAGAACACTATTGCCGGGTGATTTTCACCTGACCAAACATGTTTACATGATTTTAATTTTTTTTATTCATGAATGCCTAATTTCAGTTATTTTGTTGCATTATTATATGGTCCCCTCATGGCATTTTTTTCCCTCCGTTTGTACATTGCACAGTTAAAAATAAAAGAAAACTACTTTATTTTGTCATGTTTTGTCCTATTTTTATGTATGTTCATGACAAGTACTTTTTCTTGGGTATATTATTGCGGGTACAAATCACCCGGCGATAGTGATGGTGTTACTAATTTTAGCAATAGTGTTCTAGGGATAAGTAAGCTGATAGATGACTCTTTCATATCCACTGTTGGCCAACAGTGTTGAGCCTTTTACTGTGTCAAGGCTTATATTACATCAATACCAATATACACAGGCTCTTTCCAGCAGCCCAAACCATCTTTTTAACACACTGAGAGTGACAGAAATCCACGTGTCTGGGCAAGAAAAGTCTGATATGTACCTGGGGGCTATAACTAGAAAGATCCTGTTTCTCTTGAACGCACCCAAAATATAACCTCAGATTTATTGAAGTCAGCTTACATTAGGAAAAAGATTGCAATGTGATTAACGCATTCTTAAACAAAGAGTGTATTAATCAAACTTAATACCAGATTAAATTTAACCAGCATTTGATAAAGTTGTTGCTGTTAGTGAGCAGCAGTGCAGCACAGCGAGCTGTATGCAGTAGTTCAGAGAATTATTTGTTGATTCTGTTTGATCTCCACAAGCTTCAAGCGCAGCAGCTGCAGAACTCATTAACATTACTGAAAAATATCATGAAACATTGATGCTGTGAATCTGTTTGGTTGCGGTCTTTGTGCAACTCCAGGGTTCAGCCCGATGAAGGTTTCCTTTATTTGTGATTTACATCTTTGAAAAAGCTTCCTCTTTATTCAAAAACATGAATGATACTTTTAAACAAGGTTGACAATTTTTTCCAGTCAATTGTGCTCTCACAGTTGGAGGTTATTGTGAATCAAAAACAATCAAAAGTCTGTATCACACACAGGACCAGTAGAGTGTTGAAGACCGTGGTGATGTCAGAGTTATGAAGAAGAGAGACTTTTTTTCTATTTTGTGAACTCTAAATGCTGTCGTGAATAGCCTGGTGAATACTTGATTTTGATTTGTCAAGCCCAAAACAGAGGTGATAGATTTGTATTGGTGAGGTTAGCATCAGAGACCACATCACAAACATTATACCAAATCAGACTGCAGAAAAGACTCTAAGAAAGACTGGATTTCCCTTCTGTCTGTCGACAATGTGATGAAAATATTAGTTTCCTAAAGAATAGGGAGGACATTTTTTAATGACTCCAAAGCTGTTTTAATAACATAAAACATTAAGATCCATAGTCAATGGCTGACCAGTCAACAGCAGAAAAAGGATCTAAGTAACCAGTGATTTTTGTTGAGAATAGACTCTCACACATATACAGGACAATTCCATAGTTCCTCACAGAAGCTTTAACGCTCTTAGAATCAAACACAGGATGTAATCAGGCTAATGGTGCAATCTGTACTGTCTTTCTGACTCATCAGAGGACTTCAGAAATCTTTCAGCCAAGTTTAAAGACATATCTAAGTGTTGTTTATCCCATAAAGTCACTATAATGTGCTCTGACTGTTTAAGTTTGTTTTCAGTAAATGAATACTTGGGAAAATGAGTCCCAAAACCCCCAGACTGGACAACAAAAAATTAGTCTTTAATTTTTGTTTATTTTCAGCTTTTCATCACTTCATACACGTTTATCTTCTGGTAATTCTTTTTGCCATGATGAAAGTCTAAATGCTGCTTCTTTAACCAGCCTGTAACGATCCCAGGGGTACACAGACTTTTTTTTTTTTTTTGTGTAAAAGTTATCATTTTATATATATATTTATCGGAACCACAGTTTAAAATAGCCATCATGTGAAAAATACAGAGACCCTGATGCAGTATGTACAAACCAGTGTAGATACAAAGATGGGTATTAACTCTGATGATAAACACAGTCTCACTTTGCAACATTTTTAAAATGGAAACTGTGATAGTTTAAACTTTCAACATGTTTTTGGGTCCAAAGACTCAGAGGTACAAAATGTCTAGAAATGCACAGATACTGTTCTTCATCCTGCAGCAGTGAAACAGGAATTACTGCAACATAATCTTGGGGGTAAATGTGTCATATCCAAGTTGTTCCCTTCAAAAAGACCAGTCTCTGCTGAATAAAAACAGCAATTTTACCTTCATGAGTTCCTGTACTTCTCCTGTAATCTGTAATGTTGACAGATACTCAGAATAACAATTTGAACCTGGGAGAGATAAAAACAAGAAGTTTTAGTTGATGATTATGTTGCAGCCTGTTTTACTGCTGCAGGCTGAAGCAGTTTTACATGATTTTAGTTTGTGTTTCAGTGTTTAGGTTTATGAAAATGTATGAGATAAACAGCACTTGCCATATACAGGTTGTCAGCACAAACATTGTCGGCGGATATAAAAAGAAGGATATTATATCGAATGATCATTATTATTATTTATCTATTTACATAAATGATGATCTCCTGTGTGAAGTGGGAACCTGTCCAGGTGTAATCTTGCTTCTTGTCAAATGAAAGCGGTGACCCTCAAAGGTTTGGAGGCCTAGGTAACAGATGAATGGATGAATTTCAGTCTGTACAGTCCGCTCTTGGTCTCTTCACAGTGATCACAATGTCTCCTCCCTGATCTCTGTCTTAATGACACTCTGCTGAGTCAGAGTTCTGGTTCATGGATCTGTCTTTACTTTAGCAGGTTTAGACTCCACATTTCCATCAGACCATGAAATTAAGTCCAACCAGTCATCCTGATCAGCTGGTCTGGGAACAGTCAGTACTGTGTGTCTCTCTGTACTTGCTGTTATCAGGACCTTCAGGCTGCAGCTGAGTCTCTGATCCACAGACTAAACCCTGCCTTCCAGATCCTCTCAAGCTACCCGTACAGGAAGTTCGTCCCCCGGATCAGGGCCTAGGCTTGTGTAGGTGACGGAGGGCTCTGGAGCTCCAGGACTGAGCGGGGGCTGGTCGGCGGCCAGCTGGCTGGATGTGTTCCTAAACTGTTTGTAGACTCGGGGGTCCTGAGCCACGTAGGTAGAAGAGGAGGAGTAAAGGAGCAGACCAAGGATGATGATGAAGAAGGACAGCAGGTAGAGGCCCGAGAACTGAAAAACAGAGGAAACGACTGACTTGACTGTCGCTTCATGCTGATATGTTTAACCGTCAGATCCTTCACTTCACTCTACACATCAAGAATATCAAAATCAACACCCCAAAATGTAGCGCCTACATTACCCAATATGCACTTGGAAATAGGGGCTCCAGACACAAGATATTTGACTATCTTAAAGGGATATTCCGGCGTAAAATTAAGTTAGTCAAACACACCATAACACAGAGTAAGACACCCCATTGAGAGATAAATGTTGCCGACTGCTTGCTTGTCTAGACATACCAACTTTAGTAACGAGTAAACAAGCGGCTGCTGGAAGAGAGTAGGTGAGTTGTGTTTAGTCTCTTTGCTAAAGAAATTAGGCAAAGTTAAAAAGATGTTTGGTAGCTAGTGCTATGGCTAGGACCTTATATGTACTGTTGATGAAGTTCGGTGCTGTTCTGAGCATTAATTGTTGGCTATAGAATAGCTTTTTAGTTTAGCGTGTGGCTCTCTGTATTGCTATTGTGCGGTCATTACAAAAGTTGGTATAACTAGAGAAGCAAGCGGTCTGCAACATTAATCTCTCGATGGGGTCTCTAACTCAGTGTTATGGTGTGTTTGACCCTAACCTAATTTTCGCCGGAATATCCCTTTATCCCTTTTTTACCAAATTTCCCCTCAGGGATTAATAAAGTTCTCTCTCTATCTATCTATCTTTAAGCTGGCAGTGCTGTGTTACCTTGTAGTGAAAGAGGAAGAGGCCACAGAAGAGGCTGTAGAGGTCAGCTGTGAGCAAAGACAAGTTAACTGATGCAGCACTCGTCCTCTTCATCACCACGGGCATGAAGCTGTACAGACAGAACATGAAGGCACTGAAACCCACGTAGAACAGACCTGCAGACACACACACACAGACACACACAGACAGAAACATGTTCAATCTGGATTTCACTTTTTGGTATTATAACCGATGCACCTGCATGCTCACCTATCTGCCAGTCCCAGGGCACCTTCAGCAGCTCCTTGTGTTCCATGATGGCCCTGCAACAGCACACACACACACACATACACACTGTGTTAGTCCACATTCTGTGCACACCTTTAGAGGGATATCCCAGCGTAAAATTAAGTTAGGGTCAAACGCAACGGAACAGCGAGTTAGACACCCCGTCATGAGATGAATTTTGCCAACCGCTTGCTCCTCTGGTTACACCAACTTTAGTAACGACCGCAGGATAGCATATCATAAATGTGTATAGAATGATCATAAATGTTCTTCCTTGAGCTGCGACACCCCACTGCAGTCGATTGGACTTGCCCGGAGATTTCCGTACAAAACAAGCAGCTGCTGGAAGAGAGTAGGTGAGTTGTGTTTTTGTCTTTTTGCTCTTTGCTGAAGAAATTAGGCAAAATAGCTGCTGTTCTGAGCATTGTTTGTGGCTATAGAGTGCCTTACTGTTTGAGCGTGTGGCTCTCTGTATTGCTATCTGCGGTCATTACTAAAGTTGGTATAACTAGACAAGCAAGCGGTCGGCAACATTAATTTTTCGAGGGGGTGTCTAACTCGTTGTTATGGTGTATTTGACCCTAACTTAATTTAATATCCCTTTAAGTTCATGACTTTATATAGACCACCAAGCAAACTCACAGCTGGATGCCGCTGAAGAAAGATCCAAACAGCCCCATCATCCCAAGGAACTCAACCCTGCTCAGGTTCTTCACTATGTATTCCTCACAGACGTTTGAGATCCCATACAGCGTGGCTCCCCCCAGAACCAGCAGATCTCCAAACAGCTTCTGCTCTCCTGCACAGATGAGGAAGATCAGAGAGGGTGAGGAGGGAGAGAGACCCAACACACACATGAACAGAAGCATTAAGGTTGGTACTCACCGAGGCCCTGCTGCCGACCCAGAAGGATGTCAGCTCCCACCATGCAGCCGACTCCCAGCAGACATAGTCCGGCCCCAACAAAGTGAACTGACTTGTACCTCACCAAGAGGAAGAACCAGGACAGCAGAAGGACCACCGGGATCACAAAACAGTCCAACAGCTGAGCGGAAGGGACAGACAGACAGAGAACACAAGAACTTTACATATATACTGTAAGGACTATGTCAACGTGCAACCAAGAATGGGTACCATGGACTGTGGTAAAGTCAGTAACCAGGACCTACTAAAAACCTCTGATCTCTGCCTTTAAAGTGAGTAACACACACACTCACCTGTACACTGGACAGTGTGGTGTATTGGTAAGCTTTGAGGACCAGATAGTTGGCCTCGATGTCTATAAGACCCAGGATCATGTATTTCCACCAGCGCTCCCTCAGGATGGCCAACAGGTTGCCCTCACCTGGTTCAAAAATTAACATAATGAAGATGAGAAAACAATAGGGCGGTGTAATAACACCTCAGTCAAACAGAGTCGAAATGCGCTCTTTATAAGGATACGAAGAGATGCGCATTGAATGTATATCATTTCAAAACTGTCTCTGCCTTCTGGTGTAATCATCTCACCCACTGCTGCCACATCATCAACAGAAACAAACATTACTCAGCCTTTCACAGCATGCTGCCTGAGGAGGAAAATGTCAGAGAAGTACACAAATGCTCAGTGTGGTACACTAATGTGTTGATTCTGAATCGACCACTTGATTTCTAGTGAAATCAAGAAATCAAAGAAGATAGCTGTGGATCAGCAGCTCTTGTGTTTTGTAAGTTCAATCACTGTTTTTGTTAAATGATGAAATTGCCAAGGGTTCTTCACAATCTTTCAGTTCGGATAAACACTGTTAGAAAACAAGACATGCTACGGAGGGTAAATTCACCATACCCAAAGTAGAAATAAACAAGATGAAAAGCATGGCAATGTATAGGGCCATGGTGATATGGACATATTATCCAAGAACACAACAAATACAGAAATTCAACTCTTTTTGTATGGCACTATTCATACAAAAAATGTAGCTCAAAGTGCCTCACAGAGGCTAAAAACAACAATTAATGACAATAAAACCCAACCCTCCCACCCACACACACACCCATGGACCCACACGCACACAAAGGCACACACCCGCCCTCACTCACTCACTCACACATACACACACACACAACCGAACACAGTTGATGATATATTGTTAGAGAGACATGGCCTGACACCGAGACATTACGTGAGGAAAGAGCTACCTCTGTGAAACACTGGAGATAAAAATAGAAATAAAAATGGTGAAAAGAAAGACTAAAATCTGATGGACTAAAACAAGAAAATTATATTAAATGAACAGATAAGTAAAAGCTCTCTACCATATAAAAAAAGTGGTAAAAGAAGTTAAAACCTGTGACAGGAATTAAGAAAACGGCTAAGAACAGAGGTAATTAATAAAATGACATAAAATAAACAATAAGAACTTTGATTAAAATGAACATTTGCAATAAGAGAAATATAAAAAGGCAACTCAGGGTCTGGGAGGGTTGATATGATAAAAGTAAGTCAGATAAATCGGAGGGAGCCAAGACCATTAACACATCTAAAAACTAATAAAAGAACCTTAAAATCAATCCTGAAACGGACGGGGAGCCAATGCAGCGATGCTTAAACTGGCGTTAAATGCTCCAGTTTTAGCATCAGATTTAAAGATCGAGTGAAAAAACATTTATTACTCAAACAGGTCCTTGGAACAATCTACTACTTGGAACAATCAATCAGTGTTTGTCTGATTTACTTGAAATATCTAACGTCTGCCTATGTATTGGGTACTGTTTCTGTAAATTAATTCAATTATGTGGAATATATGTTGCTATCTGAACATCTGATTATTTTAGAACTATTGCTACACTGTGAAAATGAATAAGATCCAGTAATATGTGTATGTTGTTTGTATTGTTCTAGTTTTGTTGTTTGGTTTTTGTCTTGTAGGCTGTTGAGAGTTGTTGTGGTTATTGATGCTGTCTTTGTGGTTATGGATGTTGTCTTTGTGTTTGTGGTGAAATGATTTTTGGAATGGAGAGCTTATTGTTAATGTAGACTCCAGGAAGAATGGTGATGGCCTTAGGCAAAGCTAATGGAGATCTAAATGAATGAATGTATGAATTAATGAGTCAGGTGTGTCTGATAGAGAGATCGCACATCCATCAGTTATAGCTGTAATGGCTGAGGTAGGCCAACTTTCTATAATGATGCTATTTTAATTGTGTTGTTTGTTGCAGCACAGTACACATATACTCTTTAAGTACCATCAACACCCACATAAAACACCCAAACGCACAGAGGTGAATGTTACCTTGCCTGACAGCCAGTGTGGTGGTGTAGACCAGGAACAGCAGGATGTAGTTGAGGAAGCTCTGGAACACAGGTGTGTTAGCGTGGAAGTCGTCAGCCAGGTATTTACTGGTCAAACTGATGGCACAGATCAGCAGAGACAGAACCTGACCCAGAGCCAGGGTCACCAGCAGGTCCCTGAACACAACACAGAACATATAAACACAAATATAAACCTCAGTGATTCATTTAGGGGGACTTTACACGAAGATCAGAGTGATGGCGAGTTTCTGCTGACTTTAAAAACACAGATTAGAGCGTCACATCAGCAGCACAAAAGTTGTTACTTATAGTTTCTTTCTGCAAGTTACATGACAGTGTTTCACAAAAAAATATTTAAAGCTAGAGTAGTTCATACTTTTACCACTCGGGGGCAGTGCAAGATATTAAAGCAAGATGTCCCACCACGGGCTGTTTGTCGGAATTGAATAAGGCATTGTGGGAATGTTTCAGGTCAGTTATGTTTACTTTGGAAATGTCTCAACTGAGAATTAGAGCTATCTTCTAATAAACTTCTACACAACCAGATTTTTGAAATTTTGAGTCGCCCCCTGCTGGACACTTAAAAGATCACATTAGATCGTAAAAAAAAAAATGCTGCAGCTTCCAAAAAGTGAAAATTTTGAACTTGTGCAGACAAAAAGAATAATCCTGTGGACACAAAATAATATCTCGGGCACACAAGATAAGAGCTTGTGGGAAAAGACCTTTGACAACCACTGCGAGACTATCAAAATTATAAGACTGGACACAAAAGATAGAATTGTGCACACATGATAATAATGTTGTCACTCTGGATTTTTATATTGAGTCGACAAAGAGGAATAGATTGTTTCCATGAGAAGATAAGCAAACAATTCTGTTATGTTTTGGGAACAAAATCTGTGCAAAAATAGTTTTTGTACTGAAGATAAATGGGCGTTTATTTATTGGGTGTTATTTCCTTGGTTCGACAAGAAATTATTATCTTCCTTTGTCCGAAATTTGAAAAATGTCTCATCTTACCCCACTCTCCCCTATGCACAAGTCACTATATTCTGCACACAGTATCCAAATTTTTACTCTGTGGGACTTCAGGGGCTCCATTCTGGAGGAAAACATCATATTTTGGTCATTGTTCTGTATCCTGTTTCACCTGCATGACAGGTGATTCTGTTTGTTCTGTTCGCCTGATTCTAATAAAGGTTTTATTACAATATCATCCCTGTGTGTGTGTGTGTGTGTGTGTGTGTGTGTGTGTGTGTGTGTGTGTGTGTGTGTGTGTGACAGCAATAATGAACACACATTCATACACACACACCAACCACTGACACAGAGCCAGACATGTAGGTCTCATATTCACTGGTCTCAGCCAGACAGCCCGTCCAACAGCCCCGAGCTGCGCGAGCAAACGAGAGGCTGACAGGCAGCAGATGGTGTGAAAGAGTGTGTATGTGTGTGTGAGTGCGCGAGAGAGAGAGAGAGAGAGTGTGTGTGTGTGTGTGTGTGTGTGTGTGATGCAGGTGGAGATGATGGAGGTTCGCGCAAAAACAGCAGCCATTGTTCAGCTCCTGTACGTACGTAAACCTGCGCACAGGAGCAGCATCGCCGCGTGCAGGAATGCTTGCTCGAACACACACACACACACACACACACACACACACACACACACACACACATCTGTTGCACGTCACGCCTCGTGCAGCGGTGAGAACATGTTACAGGTTGAGAAACACAGAAGCTGCGGAGATGAGCCGCGTGCACTGAATGTAATGTAATGTAATCCATCATCATCATAACCATCATCATCATCATCTTCATTATCACCATCATCTTACCTGGTGAAGAGCCTACGTAGCCGCTGCAGGAGGCTCGGCGGCGGGCTGCCCATCCCTCTGGGAGCGCTCTCCACCGTGGAGACCACCGAGATCATCCTCACACCGTCTCAGCGTCCATGGCGAGAAGGAGGAGAGGAGAGAAGAGGAGGAAAGGAAATGAGAAGAGGAGGAGGAGGAGGAGGAAGGAGAGCGTGCTGGTCTCTGTGAAGCAGCTCCCTCACACACAGATCGTTGTGTGTGTGTCTGTGTGTCTGTGTGATGTTCTCCCCTGGTCGGACTCTCCAGGATCCACAGTCTGATCTTGATTTTCACATGCAGAGGTTGATTTGTCCAGCAGGTGGCGTCCTTTCACACAGACTCCTCGTGTTATGAAGACGTAATCGATCAGACTTGCGTTTGGTGGCAGTCACGTGACCACTGTCAGGCATAAGACAAAAATAAACCGTTTCCACAATTAATCTAAGTTCGTGTTCAACTGACCCAGACACTCTCCTGTCCCCCTTTATAATTTAACAAACATGTTCAAATATAAGTTAAGCTGTGTTTTAGGGGAGACCGGGGCTTGTTGTCACACGTTTTACACTCATATTCTTCTTGGAATCAATACATCATATATAAACATTATGTTAACCAGATGAAAGACCAAAGTCTCAGGTATATATTTCACATTCATGTCATTTACATATCTTGTGTCAGTGCAGAGTTATAAGCAATCAAATAGAGAGTGTGAACATGTGACATGTTGCCCCACCATCGGGTAAGTTGTCTCACTATATGGGGTAAAGTGTCACAGTGGATTTTGCAGCTAATAAAACAAGGACAAAATATTGTTGTTCTCATTTTTTTTTACATGAAAGTGAACATCAAAGTCAGGCACAGAAAACTTTTATCATTGAGCTAAAAACAGTCATTGAACAAATGTTCAGATAAAGTATAATGCAACATGCTCTGGAGTTTGGAGATCTGTCTGACTCTGTATTTTGGCTGGGGTGAATGTTTTGCAGTACTGAGCCAAGGTATGGTAGTTGACATTAAAGTCCTTTATTGTCCTACCTAGGGTCTGCCGTCCGACTGCCTCATACAGCATCACGTCAGGTACTGCACTGCCATGTTCTGTTTTTCTTTTGTAATTCCTGACCATGTCTTCTTGCTTTCTCCTCTCCTTTAAAGCACTCTTTTTTTCTGTAAAGATAAAGTCAAAATTTCATTATGACAACTGCTAGTAAGCAGACTCTCTATGTTAAATTTAATCCCTTTTAAACATGTGACAACTAACCCCAAAATGACTGAAACATGTTGCCCCAAACTACCATGTTTGTTAACTCTACCTCTATCTTAAAGTTAGCTTAAAACAGAACAATGACTGAGGTATGACAGGATGCCTTAACCTCTCATCTAACAAGTCCACATGTATCACTGCTAGGATTTTTATCTGGGAGAATCTTATTTTAAAATATACAAAGTTAACTTTTTAACTTTAGGTTGTGTGAAATGGTTAATTGGCGCTCATCTCAGCTCACAATGTGCTGTTCTCTTCTCAGACAGGACACAACCCCTGACCATGTAAAGGAAGACAACTAGTATTCCACTTTTTAGTTGCGCCCTCTGGTGGCAAAGATAATTGCAATGTGACAACTTACCCATGTGACAACAAGCCCTAGTCTCCCCTACTCTCTATCTAAAACTGTTAATTTAGTTTATTTTTTGATACAGACAACTGGCACTTCCTCAGATCCTGCCTACCCCACCTTTAAGACACCAGCTTGGGAACCTATGAGAAAATTGGACCCCATCAGAACTGTGACAGTTTCACCTCAAGATTAGTGTGGCCAAAAAAAAACAACAATATCATATATATTAAAGACTCCATGAATCGTGTCAATAAAAGCAAGATAAGAGTCCAGCAACACAACTGACTTTCATACATGTTATCATTTATTCTTAATGGCATTTAGAGTTGTTTTGTTTTTCTGCTTCACAGACTGAGACTTATTGAAGAAAAAGAATAAAATGATTGAGATGCTTTTGGTATTTTTACTGGCTAGAGTTTGGGTTGTTTCCTCAGACCAGTGGTTTTCAAGTCCAGTCCTCGAGGCCCACTGTCCTGTATGTTTTGGATGTTTCCCTGCTCAAGCACACCTGATTCAAATGATCAGCTCGTTATTAAGCCATTACAGAGCTTGATAAAGAGCTGATGATTTGAATCAGGTGTGTTGGAGCAGGGAAACATCCAACACATGCAGGACAGTGGGCCTCGAGGACTGGACTTGAGAACCACTGCTCAAACATAACACAAAATATGCTGTAATTTGAGAAGTAAGAAGGCAAATTCAGATAGATTTCCTTGTTCGTAAAAGTTCTGTTGACCGTAAATCATGTTGAAGGATGAATGAAAAGAGAAGTCCATCCCTTTCAAAGATAAATCCATGAGTCTGTTAACAGTTCAAACTCACACACTCAGACAGTGCATCAGTTTATTCAGAGCTCGATCAGTCTCACAGGACGTCTGCAGCAACACCACATATGAACACATGGACACATGAACACATGGACACATGACTGTAAGCTGGAGTCCACAGAGACGAACACAAAGCCACAGAATCATCTCCTCGTATTTACACTTCATCGAATCTCAGTCTGAGCTCAGAGGAGCTGTCCTTCAACACACACAGCTGTGTGAGCTCTTTGTGTGTGTCCTCCATTGTGATGTAAGGGTGTGTGTGTCCTCAGCAGGAAGCAGCAGCTGGAGTCTGCGGGACAAACAGGACGTGAGAGGACAGAGCTCGGTCTGTCTCCGTCTGCTCCTTTCCATCATCCTGGAATGTGAGCTCATTATGAGTCCAGAAAGTCTGCTGTTTGTGTGTCTTTCTCTGTGTGTGTGTACATGTGTGTGTTGGAGATTCAGTGAGGACACGCCTGTCCACACCTCCTCCACACCTGTCCACACCTGAGACAGCGTTCTCCTCACTGTCCGAGCCTCTGCTGACAGGAGCTGTACCTCTGCAGGGCGCCGAACAGATCCTCATAGGAGACGCCTCTGTGTGAAGGCAGCGAGCTGAGGACAGAGGGACACACACACACTTTACACACACTGTGCACAACTGGTGAATAACACACTACACACAACCAGATAATGCCACACTGTACTCACAGGAAATAACTTACTACACACAACCAGAGAATACACAACTGACTGTAAATGACAAATAATGCACAACTAGAGGGAGGAATTTCTGCACCAAGGGGTTAATACTGCCACCTTCTGGTCACACTGAGAAGTTAATCTGCTCTTCTTATGGTCCTATTTAAATGTTTATGTAGCTTTGACTGCCAAACTGCTCTCACTGTTCCTCCTTGGTTTTTCCATTCTCTCTTTTTAATAATCCTATTTCCAATTAAACAAAACAAATACGTTTTTAGAGATTTGAAATGCTGTCTTTGTGGATTTGCAAATGCTGTTTTAATCAAAACTTTCAGCAGTGACTCATCTTTTATAGAGCTAAGATTGTATTTGTCACAAACTATTGTTCAGGGTCATTATTCACAGAATACAAGGATTTTTGTTCCTATTACTGAGCATTTTTTGGTCTAAAAGAGGTCTAATAAACGTCTAAATGTAGCCTGGACGACTGGTCTAAAATCAAGCTACCACAGGTCTAAAAATGAAAGTGTTTTTAGATGTCTACATTTAGACCAAGTCTAAATCTGAGCTATATCTATACCACACTGTAAATTTCTCAATGACTATCATAACTATTTTGGTTAAGTACTTGGAGATCAGATATGCAACTCACAGTTGCTTTTTGAAATACATAGTTATTGAATAATGGGTTAAAGTGCAACGTCTGAATTCCGTCTAAAAATATACAGAATCTAGACGGTTGAATTAGGTCTAAAAAAAAAAAAAAACTAGATGTCTAATAGCCGTCTATTGCTCAGTGGGACCTGCTATAAAGTGAAGCTGAAGGTTTGTGTTATCTGTGCTGATCTGGGTCAAACTCAAACACACACACACACACATTTACACAAACACACTTACATGAACTCAGTGAGTCTGATGTGCCAAGGCAGGAAACCCAGTGTGCTGTCTACAGGACCAAACTTCACCACCAGCTCAGGGTCCGGGACGTTTTTAGACTCTGAAACATAGAGGACACGTGTTCATTCACATGTATGTTCACAGAGCCGACAGAGAGTCTGATAGATTCAGAGTTATGATGATGAGGAGTTATGAGGAGGTACCTCTAAGCAGAGAGTCCAGCATGCTGACACTTATATCTTTGGAGCTCCTCTCTTTGTTCTCCACAGAGCGACACAGCTGCTGAGCCACCTGCACAATGCTCTGCTTCCCGTCATCAGGACACAGCAGCTTCACCGTGGACCGCAACGACAACACTAAGAGAGAGAGAAGAGAAATACACATACTAACATTTTACACACACACCAAACACAATCATTTTAAAGACTTAAGTTATAGCAAATGCATGCAGGCCAGTTAAGCCATGCAGTTGTAATACATGAAGAATGTGGTTTGTCATAGTCTTGCTGGGATATGAAGGTCTTCCCTGAAAGTTATTGTCTGGATGGCAGCAGATGTTACTCCAAAACCTGTAGATATTGTTCGACATTAAGGAGCTTTTACTAATATGGAAGCTACCCATGACATGGACACTTCTGATCCCCATACTGCCAGGGATGCTGGCTTACTCATTTCTGGTCCGGTCTCATCTGGAGACATGCAGCTGCCTCAGTAAGAGAAGTAGCTCCATCACGTAATATATACTGTTGTTTATTCTACCGTTACTGGCACGGCTAACAGTTTAGCAAGGCTAATAGCAGGTGGCTAACTCTAACTTTAGCTTGCATATTACACGGTGCTTCACCGTTAACTCGGTGTGACCGAGACCAGCACAGTGGGGAACATCGTGAAGTGGGTTGAACTGAAACTTGTTGACTTATTGTGTATTTCACAAACTAGTTTAACTGTTGAGGCGGACCACTCTCCTCCGTGCGTCCCTGAGCTGCCTGCTTCAGATCCGTCACTCTGCTGTGCTGTGAGGTAGTTAGTGGATGAAGATTGTCATGAGGTCACTGCGCCATCTACAGGATAAGTTGGGGAACTTTTCAAATGGCAGAACATTCTCGAAGTGAAACCGAATCTTATTCTCCGCATTTTATTTCTGAAAATATCAGCGAAAATCGGCGAGTTTTGGCCGATAACCGATTAGTCTCAAACGGGCTAAAATTTGCCCTAATTACAGGTGCCGCTTTTTGTATGTATTTGTCAGTTAGGTCTGTTATTATTGAAAATTAAAGCTTGGGTAAAAAAAAAAAACAGCAGGACAACTCCCAAACTAGAGTAAGTCTTTGGAGCATCACATAAGAATTAATCCAGGTCAAGACCAGTTCAGGTTGTATCAGTGCTGAATCTGTGTGAGGCAGGATGTGGTTTCTCTGTCAGTTTCGGATTCTGACTTTTGTCTTCTGAAACAAAAATGACACCTCCAGAGGAACATGATCCTTCTTTCCTTCAGTTTCAGGTCATTCATGAGAAACACATCTAGACTGCAGACAGTGAATACAGGGTCAGCAGACATCAGTTTTTCAACAGCTAATGCCAGATTATCATCCAATCATGGGATCTGTCCACCTCTTCAGCAACCACAACGAGCAGGTTCTACTTTAAGTTAACTCGTGTCCTCTTCACACTAACCTTATAGTAAAGTTGTTTGTCAAAGGATAAAGCCTTGAGCTGTTTACAATGTACAGTCTGTGTGAGAAGTTTTAAAAGGAGCTGAAATATCTGGATTTTCTTTAATCTTTAGAGGTCGCGTTAACGCTGAGTCATCCTGCCTGTTAATAAAACTCACACTCTTATTTTTACAAGTACGTCAAAACTTTTCATAACACATCAATGTCTCAAAGCCCCCATTATGACTCTTACAGCTCCAGAAGTATTTTACAACTAGAGAAAGAAACCGCAGCTTTATTCACACCATTTCATCCTCATAAGACTGAATAGAAGACAATGTGATATGAGTGAGTGATAATCCTCATTCTTGTGTTTCTGCAGCGACCTGTCCACTCAGAGAAAGCAGGTTATAATCTGAGTGTGTTAATCTGCTCTGCGGTGACCAGGTTACAAGTCAGTAATCTGATTTATTGCCCCCCACAGACTTATTTTAGAACTGCAGCCTCGTTTGTTATAACAGCGTAAGGGGATCATGTGTGTGAAGGAGAGTTTTTCTTCCTTGACATCTTCACCTGGAGGTTTACAGGCGTGTCGAACCGAGACGACACCCTGAGGAGAAGGCACTCGGGGAGATTATATGTCTCATCCGACTAGAGAACCCCTCAGGATCTTCTGGGAGGAGTTTGAAAACTCTGCTGGTGAAAGGGAGAGAGGTCTGGACTAACTCGCTCAGCCTGCTTGGACAGTGACGAGACTCAATGTAGATGAAGGTGAACTGAAAGTGCAGTTTCACCTGCAGGCTGAAAGACCACTCTTGGTTTGGATTTCCACAAAATCTATTATGATGACTGTTTAAACCTTTTATAACCTCTAACTCTACCTAATCCACCACTACAGACCAAGTGTGAATTCTGTTTTTTGTTTTCTTTCTCTGCAGGATAATGTCCATGTCTATTACTTCAGTGTTTGTGGTGTCATGATGCCTTCAGGAGGACTGCACTTCCCATGAGCACCATCCCAATAGGTCTTAAAGATGTAGCTCTTACCATGTCTGATTTTCAAGCCCTCAGGCAGCACTGCTCTAAAAACAGACATGACTCTGAGGTGGAAATCACTGCTGAGTACCATTAAAAGCGGAAACCTCAAATAAACATGATCCAGAAATACCAGATACCATTAAAAATGGACTAAAAGGGAGCGGAAAACTGTCCCCTTGTCTGGTGAATCAAAATCTGACATTGTTTTTGGAAGTCAAGGATGCCACACCCTCCACTCTAAAGAGGTCTTGTTGTTGCAAATAGTGTAAAAGCCAGCATCCCTGATGGTGTAGGGATCAGAAGTGTCCATGTCATAGACAGCTGACTTCATATCTACAGGTTTTGGAGCAACATTTGCTGCCATCCAGACAATGATTATTTTTCAGGAAAGACCTTCATGTTTCAACAAGACAAAGCAAAAGTATTTGTACAAAAAAAGTTTCAAAATGTTTTTTTATGCTTTTGCTATATGTAGATTATGTCTTTCTCTTCAAGTAGAGCCTCTAAAATGAAAATGACTGTTGTTTTTGGTGTAGCCGCCCCTGCATGTGGGCTCACGCTGAGGTGCAGCGGGGTGATGTAAGGTGAGACAACGACACAATACAAGAGGTCAAACCCCGCCTGATCCACTTTTGTTTGTTTGTTTAAGAAGGGAGAGGAAGGCGGGGGGGTTTGTGTGGTGTGTTACAAATACACTCTGGACGTACACACTCTCCCCGCATGTCCCCAAACAAACAGTCAGCTGCTCAGCTGAGGACACTGACCACTCAGACCTCTTAGAGATGCTCTTTGCTGGTAGTTTCAGTCAGTTGGAAGTTACTTCATCTACAAAGAAACATCCCTCTGTCCAAATGACTCACTGCACGTACACCATTTATGAATGTGTAAAGAAACTATGAGTCCTCCTCTAGAAAGACTGTGGTCAGACTGTGAGAAATTCTCCCTACCCTGGTGCTGCTGTTTGTCGCTGCCATTGCTCAGAAACTCCACGCTGTATTTGGACCCATCTGCACCCAACAGGTCCTGCTGCTGCCTCACAATCTCCTCCAGAACACGGGAGTTATTCTTCTGAAAGAAACCTGAGGATGGGAAACAGATAACAAATGAAGCACGCTGTAAAAACAACACCTTTGGCTTTATCTATTGTTTCTTCTCACTGCTGTAGAACACTTTGGTCAGCTGCTGCCGATTTTTAATGTGATTTACAAGGAAATTTCTGTTTTATATGTTGTTGAATTAGATTCTTCAGTTGTGGTTTAAGAAATTCCCCATCCTTCCTGCATGATTTAAAATGAAAATCAATCACAGTAACAGCTCCTATAAAGAATGATAGGCTCATATACAACACCAGGAGCTCACTGCTTGGTCACTGGGTTATTTTACAGTGTTAGTTTAGATGCATTAAAACTGAAATATTTGTTTCTGGTCTATTAGAAAGCTCCCCTGAGAGAGACAGAACAGGTTTAACAAAGAAAACAGAAATATTTCCTGTTGAAAGAGTTTGGATATGCATAAGGAGAACTGAAAAAAGAAAGTAGACGGTGCTAAAACAGGTCTTCACATGCTTCGAGTTAGGAAGTGAGTTTCCTCTGATATCCACTGGTGTCTACATCTTATCTTTTTCCCACCCTCTCATTGACACACTGTTCAAACACAGGAAAACAATCAGACTCATCACCAGGACATACAAAAAAAACACTGTGCATTCCCCCTTTTTACTATAATTATCATCTGTAAATCATCCATAAAGCCGATATCGTTTCCTTAAGTAAAAAAGGATAGATGTTTATAATTTACACATTTTCATGTTTAATGTTTCCCTCTGTCTTAATATGTGGAGATAAAAGTGCAAGCTTTTAAGCATTTCATTCTGCTATCTATTATAGTTTCAGTGTGACAAATGACAAAGTTTGCTAAACTCTGATTCAAGTTAAAGTTTTAATTTTACAATCTTATGATCCAGCATGTACAATATATCAGTATACATGTCCTAGTAACCACACTGTTCGCCTGAGGAGGCTATAATAAACCTCACTTAGTGCCATATAAATGACGTGTGCACCAGATGCCACTATATCAGACTTCCAACAGGCTGGGTCCAAAAATAAGGCCTTTTTTATTTAGTCATGTGCGTTTCTTCTTCCTCAAATACACAGACATTACTATACAACTTAAAGTTCAGAATGTGGAACAAGCTGATATACTGCTATCACATGACTGAAGTGAAATAAAAGTCAGAGGAAAGGGAGGGGAGGTGTTTAATGCTAAGGGAGGATCATTCCTCCACCTGAATTAGAGATAGCAAAAGATCATGAAAGCCAACATTAACTTTGGCCTGAATATTACAGAATAGGACTGCTGTAGACATATAGCTGAGAGCAGGATAGTTTCACTTCTGGATTAGACAGATCTACTCTCAGACATGTAGTTACCGGTAGATATTTTCAGAGGGCAGAGTCCGCTTTAAATAAGACAGCCTGATACTGCCCTCAGGTTAGAATCCAACAGGGATATACTTTACCAGCAGGGATAAACATAGGGGAGAGTGGGGCAAGGTCTTTCACATTTTTCATATTTCGGATCACTACATCAAGGCAATCATAGTTTTGTCTCTAATTAGTGTATCTACATATATTTCAAGACGTTGTGCATCCCTGCAAACCAACAGAATGGGTGTAAACACAACTGTCTTGATAATATATCTATATGAAAAAAAAAAACTAAAATTGCCTCATTTAAAATTTTAACATATTTTTTTGTATACACAACATCCTTAGTGTTTCAACTTTTGCAAAATATATTCTTATATTTGCTATTTTAAAATTGGCATGTTTAAAAACCTTATACCTTATTGACCCTTATACTAGGTTTTTGACCTGATGTTGTAGCTCATAGATACCACAACTGATGTATCAAACTAATTTAAAATGATCTTTTTGGGTCTGAACACAATTCTAATAAAAGTTATGACAGACTAAATTCACTTTCAAGAGTGAAAAATGATTTCTTTGGAAATAAATGTCTAACCCCATGTGCTTCTAACTTTCACAGACTCCATGAATTGATGCCCATCTCCTAAATATTTGGTCACATGATCAATTTCTTTGACCATTTCCAAGAAACAGGGGGTGGCTCAATTTACCCTTTGGCTCAACTTACCCTACTATAATACAAAAAAATGCAAATATACATAAATCAAGAATAGAGTCTGTATTTTTAAGGCTCCACATCAGTATATACAGTTACAGTGACTGTATATTATAGAAGATTTTACATTAAATGTTGGTACAGAAGATGAACCAGCAGATAATTCAAACACAGACACTTAACATGTATTTAAAGTATGTAATGAACAGGTATTATTAGGTTTATAAACTCACCTTGCTGGTCGTAGACGCTGACATAAGAAATACCCACAGCCATACACCACACCACCAGGTTGGCGGTGTCCGTGTAGCTGAGCTCCTCTTCGGCCATCAGCAGGCCGATGTGTACCGGCAGCTTCTCCAGAGACCTGCCGTCAGAGAGCCACCGAGCCCGGCGACACGCAGCCCGGCTCCCGGTCACCGGGTTAGCGTTGGCATCAGGGTTAGCATGGTTCAACTTCTTCTGCTGGTCCGGGAACCCGGCTAACGCTAACGGCAGCAGCAGAGCCGCCATCGCCCGCTCCCATAGCCGGCCCTGCACGCTCCGGAGCCGGACACGGAGCCAGGAGACCAGCGCTCTGTTGACGTGGACCAGAAAGAGCAGGAGCCGCCATAAGAGTCCATGCAGCAGCGCCATGACAGTCCGAGTCCCCCCGGAAAAGAGTCTTAAAGGATAACCGGTTGGGAGAGCAGAACAGCCGGTTAACTCCTCAGTAAGATCCGCCTCATAAATCTGCTTCAGGGTTTCTTACAGCGTAGACCGTTCGCCGCCATCTTCAGCTCCCCTTAGCAACCCCTGACCTGTGACCCCGCAGCGCGGAGTCTGCTGATTGGCCAACGTACCGGTGACGTTTGCTGGATCCGCCTTAACTGTCAAAGCCACATAGCACTATTCCAGTCTGAGTAGACTTTGGGAAGATCTTCAAGAGTCTGTGAGAGACTGCGTCAGCAAAAAGCTTAGAAATTTCACAATAATGTGGCTGAGAGTAAAATTGACAAGAATATCTTGATGTCATCATCTACAGTAAATAACCCCCTCGAGAGATGAATATTGCCGACCACTTGCTTCTCTACTTTTACCAACTTTAGTAACGACCGCACGATAGCAATACACCGTGGTCTGAGGAGCCATAAACGAACCTCAACCAAAACACCCCTCTATAGCCACAAATAATGCTCAGAACAGCACCTAACTTCATCAACAGTACATATAGGGTCCCAGCCATAGCACAAACCACCAAACATCTTTTTAACTTTGCCTTATTTCTTTAGCAAAGAGACTAAACACAACTCACCTACTCTCTTCCAGCAGCCGCTTGTTTGTAGGGAGACCTCAGGCCAGTCTAATACGGACTACAGTGGGGTGATGCAGCTCAAGGAAGAACATTTATGATCATTTGTTTATCATTTCCTTGAAGTAATAATCCCGATATTAATCATTTTGCAGATGCTGTAGTTCTTCTGCCTTAGCGTCTCAGTCTGATTGCATTTCCATGAAGAAATAATCATAAATGTTCTTCCTTGAGCTTTGTCACCCCCCTGTAGTCCTTATCGGACAGGTCTGAGGTCTCACTGCAAACAAGTGGCTGCTGGAGGAGAGTGGGTGAGTTGTGTTTAGTCTTTTTGCAAAAGAAATTAGGCAAAGTTAGAAAGGTGTTTGGTGGCTAGTGCTGTGGCTGGGACCCTATATGTACTGTTGATGAAGTTAGGAGCTGTTCCGAGCATTATTTGTGGCTATAGAGTGGCTTTTTGGTTGAGGTTTGTTTATGGCTCCTCAGACCACGGTGTATTGCTATCGTGCGGTCGTTACTAAAGTTGGTAAAAGTAGAGAAGCAAGTGGTTGGCAATATTCATCTCTCGAGGGGGTGTCTAATTCTATGTTACAGTGTGTTTGGCCCTAAATTAATTTTATGCTGGAATATCTCTTTAACACAGACATGACAAAAGCAGGTTAAAACTAAACCATGCCAAGAGGAAACTATTTATAAGCAGGTCCCAGGAAGGTTGGGAACGTTTCTAGGCTTAAGACCATTTAAGGTGGACTGAGGCAGAGATGAAAACTGTCCTGTGGTCTGATGAATCAAAATTAGACATTCTTTTTGGAAATCATGGACAGTGTGCCAACCACTGAATAATGAAGCATAGTTCCAGCATGTTTTTAAAGTTAAAAAGCCAACATCCCTGATGGTATGGAGAACATAAGTGTCCATGGCATGGGTAGCTGACACATCTGGGAAGGCCCTATAAATGCTGAACACTACATAAAGGGTTGTAGAGCAACATATACTGCCATCCAGACAACAGCTTTTTCAGGGAAGACCTTCATGTCACCAAGCGGATGCCAAACTACATCCTACGTGTATTACAACAACATAGCTCTGTAGTAGAAGAGTCCTGGCCTGCCTGCACTTCTGACTCAGCACCAACTGAAAACATCTGATGCACCCTGAAGCGAAATGCTCCCAAACGTCTAAAGAAAGATTATGTGACACAACAATTTTTTTGAAACCTTTTGCTGACATCGAATCTCTGTATCTCTGTTGACTCTGTAAATAAAGTATGCTGATGGATGGAGCAAGATGCTCTTAAATCAACTTGTTATAGTTCCATATATCACCACTAGATGGTGTAAAATACCATACCAAATACCAACAATCAGTGACACTAAAAATTAATCACAGGATGTAGCAAAAAATTCTGGTGATCTTACTGAAGGAACTGCAAGTAGTGAGTCCTGATTTACTCTGAGTGCTCCTCTCAGAGCTCCGTTGTTCACCTCACACCTCCTCCTCCATCCTTATTTCTCTTTTCACCCTGGGTTTTATTCCTCTCCTTTGACATTCAGCTCCCTACTTTTGACTTTACCCCTCAGGTTGACATAAACACAGACCCTAAAAAAGCCTGAGAGCAGGCAGTCAACAGCAGAATTGAGTAATTACAGCATTCCACTTGCTCTTAAAAATACCAATGTTCGGAAAAGGAGAATAGAAATAGGAATAAAAAAGAATAAGAAATTGCAACAGTTATTAAGCAGAGTGTTGAAGATATTGCTCATAGAATTCTATAGTTTAACAAGGTATTGCACAGTTAAACAGAATACTGCACAGCTTAAGTTAGAGACAATGTATTGTCACAGCTACTATAGCTGCTATAACACTCAAAGGGAAGATTTATAAAGTCTGATAGACACAGAAAGTGTGAAAGGATACATTTTCCTACCTGTTTTCCTTTTTTTTAAATTTTTCATTGACCACATAGGCTACAGGTTTGCAGGTAAGCCACTGGCTAAGCTTAAATTAGATTATGTCATAATACAGAGACACTAGATGACCATACTTTCAATACACAAGAGGGATTTGAGACAAACAATTAATTCCTTTATTAACATCACTGATTGCATGAGCTGTCAGTGAAAAAAAATATTCGAGAGACATATTTCGCTGAGAAGAGCAGCATCTGGTATGGCAACTTGCTGCTAAACCACTGGTATCTGGCACTGTGCCACATAAAATATGGCTGTGATCTGAGTAATGTCTATCCTGCCGTCACTGACATGTTTTTGAATGTCATCTAGATACCGCCCTGTATCAACTTTGTCCCAGTGCTTGTCATACTGTTTGTGTGTGACTTGATGAATGTTTTGGCTTCAGTTCTACCTAATGAAACCTGGAAATGTATTCATTGGATCCTAAGTGCTTGTTTTGCCAGAATGTGGACTTGTCAGTTACCCTCACCATGTGCAGGAACCCAAACAAAGTCAATTGTGATGTTCTGTAATTCCACTCAGTACATAATATGGTACAGTGCAGTGATAAAGTCTCTCCTTATTGACCTTCCTGATCCTATACTTGTGAATGCTGAGCTGCTGTCAGTCCTCTCTAAGTTTGGTTTATCTGAATTCTGAAAAAATAAGATTTTTTGACCATCACCTTGTTTGTACTGCGGTCAAGCCAGCGGATGTTCGTTTTTTCTGTGGTCGAACCACCGGACACTAAACTTCTGATTTTAAAAATAAGATGCTAGATACAATAAATGAAGAATTTGTGATATCCAAATGTTATGACAATACACGTGGGTAGAAGACATCTCTGAGTGCTTACACACCGAGAATTATTCATTTAACTGTAGACTCTGGACTTGACAAAACAAAGTAGACCAACACCAGTAGGTGACATGGCACCCCAAATCATCACAGACTGTGGATACTGCACACTGAACTTCAAGCACCCTCTGTTCTGTGCCTCTCTCATCTACCTCCGGACTCTGGGGCCTTGATTTACGAATAAGTGCTTTAATCTGAAACCAGGACATTGGACCAGAGAGTAATAGCCCAGTTTTTCTTCTCAGCCCAAGTTAGATGCCAATGACATTGGGCTTTATTTTCGTGCCCGCCGCCGCTAGGGTGAGGTTTAAATATATGCAACTTTATGTGAATGTCTTTATTTGTGGAGAAGGATGTTTGTCTTACCGGTGGGTCCAACCTTACACACACCAAATCCATCTGTGCTTATATGAGACAGTGTGGAGGACGCCCTCTGCAGCGCTTAATGCGACACTTGTTGAGGGGCTGCCTTCTGTCACCATCGTGTGGCACTGCTGTCTTCAGCGATCTCTTGATCTCTTTGACTATTTCACGAAAATTGTAATATGCCTCGCCGATGGCGGATTTAAAGGTGAGGACACGAGCTGAGCTGATTGGCGAAAACAGATCTCGGCTGTGTTAAACCCACTCCACGCCCTCTCTATGACTTACGCCGCTGGGAGGAGCTAAGTTAGGGTGGGGGGATACTTACACCAGGCTGCGCCGCTCACCAAAATACCAAAATGTGCTTGGGCACACCTTGTCGGTGCATAAAGACCTGACTTACACCGCACCTACACCACGCCGCCGGCGAGGAACAAAAATAGAGCCCATTGACTGTGGTTCAGGAGTGGCTTGCTAGTAGAAACAAAACACTTGTGGCCCATTTCTTGAAAATGTCTGTGTGCTGTGGCTCTTGATGCTCTGACTCCAGCTTCACTTCACTTTATGTAAAGCTTCTCTAAATGTTTGTATCTGCTTTGTTTGTTAGTCCTCACAAGACTGCGTTTATAATGTTGCCTGTACACATTTTCCTTTATACCCTTTTCCTCCAGCACTCTGGACAGCCAGCCCTTTAAGCAGTGAACTATACTGCACCAGAGTGAGAGAATAAAGGCTCAGAAAACCCTTGTAAGTAATCAGTAACTTAGCTGATTAGAGCTCTTTTCAGGAATGAAATTACTCACAAGTAACTGGACTTTTTCAGGGCATTTTGGTTTGAGCTGTACCCTTCCTCACAGCTAATAAATACAGTTATAGAAAACTATAATTACCGTACTGCTTAGAATATCCTCTTATATTTGATGAAAGTAATTGCTATTTTTTTATAATTCCTGTAGACACCACTGGCTTAAGGAAATGTGTTCACCTGCTCGGACCAGGCCAGATGTTTTCTGCATTTGAAAACTACCATCTTGGAGTATGCAAGAACCTACTTACTTCATACCTGCAAAAAGTATGCTGACAAGATTTTAATCAGGACAGGATAAACATGCTGCCTTAATAAGGGGTCAAGGTCTTTTATTATTTCTCACACACAAATGAAGCAAACTCAAAGCACACATAAACACGTTTTAACCAATTTGACTTTCTCAAGGGTCTTTTGTGCTTAACATGATGAAATATCACAGATCCAAAACCCATACCAGATTACATTTCATAAATGTTCATCATATACTTTTCACAGAATAAGGTGAAAACAGATATGTTCAAGCACGCACAAAACCTGAAATCTTAGCAGGTCATATTCTTTATTAAGTGTAAGCAGCAGCTTTGGCATTTTATCCAATCTCTTACAGAATACAGCTGGCACAAGGAGTAGTTAAGCAAATGCATTCTCTATATGAACAGCACATCAACAACAGACTAATTATGATTAAAACAGGTTGTCTGGCTGTGGCTGTGGTTGAGCTGAAAGCCACAAAAATTAACTGGCTGAAAATGCAGATCAACCAGGAGGGGTACATGTCTGGAAAGGGTGGCAGGAGATGTACAGCAAGGCACGAAGGAAAGGCTGCATTAAAAGTAGAGAAATCACAGCATGGTTTTGAGCTCAACCTGACTTGAACAGTAGGACAGCCACTCGATCCAGGTAGAAGTAAATAAACTGCTTTGAGTCACACATCATACGGGTGCCATAATTCTTCCCAACACAGCACTGCCATGTGGGGTTGTACTTCTTGTCAAATTCCTAAAGGTGGAAAAAAATATTAGCACATTAAAGGAATAAACCCTACAAATAAGCTCTGACAGTTATTTTGAAGAGATCTGGTGTACCTTTTTAACATAAGCAGCAATATCGTTTTCAATTTTGTACTTCTCCATGGCCCGCATCGCACAGTCCACTGCATCCTGCTGCATTTCATCAGGCATGTCAAAGCTCTTTATTTCAACCCTCTTCTCAGACATGTTGGCTTTTTGACTGTAAGGAAGGCAGAGTTCATAATCAGAGAGTTCACACCCAAGTATTCACTAGAAACCACAAGTCCAATTTACTTTGCAACCCGGGTTTTACTTTTAAAGGTGCTCCAACATCAAAGACAAGACAGATTGCTGCTATACTTTTGCTCATTTGCATTTTACATCTTAAGATGGCACGATTCACATAGCTAAACTGATCCTGCCAGTTGATCCAAACTAGTTTCCTACATTAAAATTCCTGTGAAAAGTCAAGAGGAAAACATTGGTGTCCACATATTTACACTGACAGTTGTTGTGAATCCTATTTAGCCTATGTCGTTTACCACAGACACAGTGGGAGCTGTTTGCTGGTGTTGGAACTATCAGCAAAGATGAATAAAACATACTGAAACATGACAGAGGTGCACTTTCACCTTGCAGATCAACATTACTTTAATATACTGCTGCTAAATACATTGTATTTGTAGGCACAAGCAAATCCCCTTTCATAATTCAACTAGCCCTGTGTGAAAACAACATTATTATCAGTGTGGGGAGCATTCATTCAGCTCCAAGTTCGGTAAAGTTGGAAAGATACTCACCGATTTGGACTTCTGGGATTAATAACTGAGACGAAACGTTGTCCAAACACAAATGATGCTGACTAGAATGGACAGCGTCTACCTCCTCGCTGGGTGAAGCCACTCTGAGAACAGCACTCTTTGTTGATGGGCTGTAGTATAGGTAATAAATCCCTCCTCCTTCAGGAAAGCTTATGAGGCTGTGGACAAACTTTAGAAATTTATTACACAGAACTTGAATTTTTCTTCCCCCTGCTTGTGATGATGACATGTAGTTACAGTAAGACTGGTTTGTGCTCAAGTTCTCCTTTTTCTGTGAAGCTCAGTTTTTAAAAGTTATTACAACAGTCCTAATTTCCTTAAAATTTTAATTTTTCACATCACTCCAGAATATTTCGGAATACATGCAGTGATAAAACAGAAAACAGATCTATGGCAAATTGTTTCTTCCTCAAAACCACAGAACACACAAGAAAACTCAAAATCAAGGTTAAATCTCTGTAGGGTTTTCTTTGCTGCATATATTATAAGCATTATTTTAAACGAAACCTCTACAATCTCATTATTTAAAAAAAACTTATCCCCAACTACCCAAATTTTCTTCCAATCAATATCCCCATACATCGATATCTCTGTACTCACGCCACGCCTCACCGTACTGTGACGAGACAGTTTCCCAGCATTCAGTGCTACGGCATCATGGCGGACGGCAGAGAAAAAGCGCTGCAGGACTACAGAAAAAAACTCCTGGAACACAAAGAGGTGGACGGACGGCTAAAAGAGTGTAAGAGACGGTCAAATGTGGATGTTTGTGAGGCGACAGAAAGATGGCGTACATTAATGTAACTGTTAATGCGAGAGAAGTAGATGACAGCGTCAGCTAGCTCCGAGGCTACACTGCTTTGTCATGCAGTTAGCATCCTCATAGAAATGAATGGAAACAGCACTGCTAATGCTAGCTGAGCAGCTATCAGAACACAAACAACAGTAACAGTACTGTCAAACTCACTATAAACTTCATATGTGTTTAAAATCATTTGTTGGTGTTGGTTTGGAGCTTGATATATACATCTTTTTTATATAACGTTAAAATATTAAGATAGCCTCAGAGATCTAACATAATTTATTCTTCATTTATTGTGTCTAGCATCTTATTTTGAAATCCAGAAGTTTAGTGTCTGCTGTTTTGTCCACGGAAAAAACTAACGACCGAGACTATAAGGCAGAAATCTACCGCGTCTACAGTGCAAAATGATGAATATGGTGATTATTCCTTCAAGGAAATGATAAAGTAGTTATCATAAATGTTCTTCCTAGAGCTGCGTCACCCCACTGTAGTCCGTAGTCACAGACTGTATATACTATGGACAACCTGGTTCCGACAGAATGAGATCTAACATCATACAGGATTTATCTAAAGTAAAAAACAATGTTTTTGTTCAACTGTTTATCGTGTGTTTTTTCAGTGAGAGAACAGCTGAGAGAACAGACCAAACAGTATGAGAAGTCGGAGAATGACCTGAAGGCTCTGCAGAGTGTTGGACAGGTAACTTTAACCTCATATATCACCTACATGCAGCTCATCTATGGATGTTTCAGTGGAATACATTTGGAAAATTCAAGAAAATGTTTTGCCATCAACCTGTTAAAGGGTATTGAAAATAAAACAAAAAATTAATGCCTGTAATGTATGCTCTTTCATATCTGCATTAGTCACACCTATATGCTGAAAAAACTGTGCTCTAAGTCCCCCATCGGTATAAGTGTTTTCACCACAGATACAGACGGTCAGAAGGGGCTGTAAAAGTGGAATTTCGCTGAGTACTTGGAAACAGTTTTATGCCTTCAAAATTTTTAAAAAGGCAGACTGACTGGCTGTTGATAAGTTGATTTTACTGAGTTGCAAACTGTCTGATCACTGTATTTAACCCTAGAGCACTATCGTTAAAATTAGTAACACCATCACTATCCTCGGGTGATTTTTACCCGAAATAATATACCCAAGAAAGAGTACTTGTCATCAAATTATATCAGAAAAGGACAATACTTTACAAATTCAGGTAGTTTTCTCAAAGGGAGGAAAAAAAGTGCCATGAGGGGACCATATACAAATGCAACAAAATAACTGAAATTAGGCATTCATGAACAAAAAATTCCTAAATATAAATATATATTTATATATAAACTGTAAACTTAGTTTCTTTTCCATGTGAGTCTTCCCTGGTGAAGACTCAGGGTCCTTGGCACAATAACAGCTGCAGGAGAGAGAACCAAAATATGGGAGATTTTGAGTGAGTAAAAATGACCAGCTGACTAAAATATTTCTTATCACCATATGCATTCCCTTGAAAATCACTACCACATAGTTATTCATAACCACTGCACTAAATAAAGATAGCATGCAAATCCCTGGACCACTCTTACTGACCTTATTCCCTACATGCAGCTATCAAATCCACCCAAACCTACTTTACCCTCTATTACTATTGCCGGGTGAAAATCACCCGAACACGTGCCTGTAAGAAAAAGCAGGGTTTAGATCAGGGAAACAGTCAGCCTTCAAAGATGTCAAAGGCAATGCTGAAGCTACCCAGAGACCCAGACTTGTATTGGATCAACATTCTGTATCAGGATGGTTCAATGGCAGCTGTGTCTCAGTAATAAGAGTTGGTCGTCCCTCATTAAGGGGGTTGGAGGTTTGATTCCAGGGCTGTCCATGTGCCAAAGTGTGCTCTGTGGAGATATTGGCCCCGCTGGCTGCACCCAGAGGTGTAGGAATAGGATGGAAAATTGATGGTGTCTTTACACAGCATACCTTTGCCATCAGTGTGTGAATGTGATTTGTATTGTGAAAGTACTTTGAGTGAGAAGATAGGGGAAAGTACAATATAAACATAGTCCATTTCCATTCCCCTGTCTTAAGTTCGAGTAGAGTTAGAGTCAGTGTGAGGATGCTCAGTAGACTAACAGCAGTTTTAATTCTGTCCAACCTCCTCTGTTACTCGTTCTCTGCAGATTGTTGGAGAGGTGCTCAAACAACTCACAGAGGAGAAATGTAAGCTCAATTTAGTTCTATTTCTTTTTATATATCTACAGAAATGTCACTGAAATACTTAACTGAGGCTATATGTCACTGAATGAAATGTTGCTTATTCTCACTGTCATATTTCTATTTCACTTTCCTGTCCTATCTAAGGCCTATCCTTTTGATTGTATAACACAAATTGTGTTCGTCTCACACTTGATATTCTGTGTTTCTCTGTCCGATTACAGTCATCGTGAAAGCCACTAACGGTCCTCGATATGTAGTGGGATGTCGCAGACAGGTGGGTACAGAAGGCCTCGTTCTTTAATATCTTCTACACTCTCTGATCCCTCTTACTCGTGATGCTAAATAATTCTCTTTACTACGTATATCAGGTGTTTTACAACATATTGCATTGAAATGAGGTTATCTCTGGTTCTGCTGAGTTTTCTGAACAGTCTCATGTCAGTCTGAACATGTAAACTCTTACAATAACATTGAATTGTGTCATGCCTGGTCTTTAGAGTTAATTTGATCAAAGAATGTATGCCCGTCTTTGCTGCATGACTCGGCATTACCTAATAGGAATTGTTGATAGTTTGTGGGAGTCGGAACTTCATTCTTTTAGATACTTTATTGGCTCAAAGAGGTTCAAAACATGATTTTATTTTTAACTAACCAACGCGCTTGTGTGTTGTGTTGTTTTTTTTTCTAGTTGGATAAATCTCAGCTGAAGCCCGGCACCAGAGTGGCTCTGGACATGACCACACTCACCATCATGAGGTACAGAGATAAACCAAACACTGTGCTGTAAACCTTTCAAGCAGGATCAGTTCATGTGTTTCAGCATCAAACAACCAGTATCACAAAAGCGTGTCTTTTTCATGTTATTCTTGAATAAAGAGAGGTAAATGTGAAAGTAAAACAGAAAATGACACAGATTTGTTGGAAACAAAATCAAGATTTCAAATCAGATTAAACACGTGTCGCACAACATACAGAAAATAAAATTCACATCATAATTAGGAAAAGTAAGACACATGAGGGCGGCAGCAGCTTAGGAGGTAGAGCGGTCGTCCAATAACTGGAAAGTTGGCGATTCGATTCCCCCTTATCCCTAGTCTGTTTGTTGTGTCCTTGGGCAAGACACTTAACCTACCTTGCTGCCAGTGTGTCCTCTGCTGGTGTATGATTTGTATGTACGTTGCTTTGGATAAAAGCATCTGCTAAATGACATCGTAATTATAACATGAAAGGCAATTTCAAATTCAAGTGTATTGTAAAAACATTTTATTTCAGAAGTGCAATAGTTTGACAAACAGTAGTGTTTATGCAAAAAAAAAAAAAAAAGTGTTGCATGAGTTTGTTTCATTATGTCTACAGGTTGTGTGTTCAAACATTGAAGTGTAATTGACAAAGACTAAACCTTCAGTATGTCTTTGTTTCTGTTCACGTCATTTAAATCCTAAATTTTATTGAACACTTGATACAGAGTGTATCTTTAATTCGATGGTTGAGTTTGCACTAAACTGATGCTGAAGTATAATGTGACTCACCTGTGTGTCTTCTCTGTGTGCGCATCGCGTGTGCGTCAGGTACCTGCCCCGTGAAGTGGATCCTCTGGTCTACAACATGTCTCATGAGGACCCTGGCAGTGTGTCGTACTCTGAGATCGGAGGACTGTCTGAACAGATCAGAGAGCTGAGAGAGGTAACACACGCACACACACCTGATCAGGTGTCTCTCACTCTCCACATCAGATCTGTGCTTGATTTTCTTCACAGACAGAAAAATGTGAAAATTGTAATCTGAGCCCTCTAGAAGCCAGTCTGCTTTCTCCCTGACTAATAGACTCACTAACTAAACAGACCTGATCTTTAAGATGATAACCCAGGGAACTGCTTCTCTGTCAGCAAAAACAAAGGTGTAGTTATGCACCTGCAGACTCATATCTATGACGTAGTACAGAAGGTTAAATTTGGACAAAAAAAAAAAAGATTAATGACCAAAAATATGTTCTTACTGTTCAGCTCTTTTTTTAGAGTCAGCTGCTGCAAGCTTAAGCTCACTGCACATATAAAAAAAATGAGAGTTACACTTTAAACTCAAGCAGACATTGAGTGGAAATGTTGTGTTTGTGATCAGGTGATCGAGCTCCCTCTGACCAACCCTGAGCTCTTTCAGAGAGTCGGCATCATCCCCCCTAAAGGCTGTCTGCTCTACGGACCCCCAGGTCAGAGCTGCACCCAAAAAACATCAGAATCAACATTAAACTTTGAGGATATAAACATCTAAATATCATCAGTGTTGCCTATCCCATGTAAGTAACGTCAGATATGTTTTGTCAGGCACGGGGAAAACTCTTCTCGCCCGAGCTGTGGCCAGCCAGCTCGACTGTAACTTCCTCAAGGTGGGTGTTTGCTTGTGTTTGTGTTTTTGAACGTGTAGGTGTTGCTCCGCCGCTGCGGTGTCTCACTGTGCATGCGTGCGTGTGTTGTAGGTGGTGTCGAGCTCCATAGTGGATAAATACATCGGAGAGAGCGCCCGTCTGATCAGAGAGATGTTTAACTACGCCAGAGATCACCAACCCTGCATCATCTTCATGGACGAGATCGACGCCATCGGTAAGAGAGCGAGAGAAACCCACCGCCTGGTCTTACACGGGCTGACAGACTTAACAGTTCAGGTTACATTTAAGACAAGGAGAGTGATTGGTTAATATCTTTGATTCAAACAGGAACATTACGAAGTAAATGCACATTAGAAAAGATAAAAAGAACATCATGGCTCATTAAGGTTCATGAAAGATTTTTAAAAGGTTAAATTTTTATGATGTTTCATCGAAATGTCTTCAAAAAGTTTTCTTAATATTTTAGGAATATTTAAGTAATATTTTGTTACTCAGGTTACTTTTTTTTACTACTTTTTAATCAATTTTTTATCCTCTTCTTTTTAAACACATTTTAATAAATGTGTCATGTAGCTGCTTAATAAAGAGAGAAATAAAAAAATAAAAAATATTTCATTGTATTCCTGTACAATGACAATAAAGCTTCTTTTTCTTCTTTACAAAGCTTTTATTAAAAATGTACACTAAGTTGTGTGTTTTTTTTTTTTAAAGATACAGTGTTCCCATATATCCCGCTGACAGCTGCTTTATTTACATTTTAGTGCCAAAGTTTTGTTTTTGAAGAAGTTTAAGCACTTTAGGGAAACAACACATGAATAACAAGTTTCTGTTTTGTACAGGAGGAACTCACTTGGTCTTTAAATTCATTTTGTTATCAAATTATAATTTTATTAAATTGATTCTCTTACGGTCTTGTCTGTTGAGGACATGCGACAGAAGTGATTTGATGTTTTTCAGACGTAGAGAAAATATCACTTAATGTCAACACAGCCATGTTTGTGAGTCTGAGTTTGTGTGTTTGTGTTTTTGTACAGGTGGTCGTCGTTTCTCTGAGGGGACATCAGCCGACAGAGAGATCCAGAGGACACTGATGGAGGTAAACATGTCTCCATAACTCAAATCTGTGTTTGTTAGTTACAAAAATATTGACTTAGATATCAGTGTTTTTCCCTGATGTGTGATCCATTGTTCTGACATTGTCTCTTGTAACACAGTGAGCCTAATGAATCTGTTCAGAGAGCTGTATTCTGTATTCTTTAATTGAAATATTGATATTTGGAGACACAATAGTTGTATTACAGTGTCTCCTTCTGTCCTTACTGTGCAGCAAATACGTGAGTTGAACCTGAGTCTAGTTTGCACTCTCTTTTAAAACTCATGACCACTGCAGGTGTGAGAATCATGAATCAGGTGTAATGATGAGTTCCTAAAATACATTTAACCAAAACAGCATCTTATGTAATTTAATTTATCTGTGCAATAACTCCACCAGTGTTTGATCCTCTACAAGAGACCTGTGTGTTAGTTTCTCTCTGTGCTTAAAGAGATCTGATCAATCCTCTTAAAGCTGCCTGATAATCTCCCGAGTCGCACCTTTAACCTCACACTCATGTCTGAACCAGAGTTTATCAGACTCCTTTTTGTTACTGTGTGCGGTGTGTGTTAATGAGTGTGTGTATTATTGTGTTTTTCAGCTGCTGAACCAGATGGACGGCTTCGACACACTGCACAGAGTGAAGATGATCATGGCCACCAACAGACCCGACACTCTGGACCCAGCCCTGCTCAGGCCCGGCCGACTAGACCGCAAGATCCGTAAGACCTCATGATTACCATCGGACCGACACCGGATAGTCTAACCTAATTTAACCTGGACTAACTTAATCCAATCTTATCTGATGCGATCCTCAGACATCGAGCTGCCCAACGAGCAAGCCCGTCTGGACATCCTGAAGATCCACTCCAGCCCCATCACCAAACACGGAGAGATCGGTGAGATACCTGAATGTTGTTAGATATCTACAGTACACTAGAAACTGTAGATATACTGTAGGCTACTGCTCTTCACGCCGACAGGAAGACCGACTGATCAAACTCGGACCAGAAAAGCGTTTTCTTTCTTTTCTCTTTTTGTGCATTTACTGAGCTGCACAAGTTCAAATGAAGCTGAAATAGCACCATGCTGCTGGTTTCTCAAACCTGAAAGTCTCATTTTTTTTCAGATCAGCTCACAGGAGGAAAATCTAACAAACTTTAAAAAGCTTCTTTTTCTTAACAGAGTTTAGTTTGAACATTTAAACTCAAGCGGAAATTTCTGGTCCAGTTCAGCAGACATTTGCCTCTCTCATGTAGTTGGTATGGGAACAGCATCACCGTTTGTCTGAACACCTTCAGATTTTTAAGACTTGAATTCCTGCTAATTTTCAAATTGAAGGTACCTGACTGGTGATCGTTTTATCCAACTGTTAGAGCGTTAGTCATGCATGACTACATGGGGCTGGAAATATCAAGACTCCTATGGATTAAATTGTATTCACCTACATAAATCTGTACAAGTAGAGGTCTGTGGTAGCACTTTAGATAATTTATTATTTTGGCTAAAATGAAGGTAACTAAACCAATCTTGAACCCTTATTTTCCAATTAAACAGTTAGCTCATAGTTTCACACACACAGGTTACATTTTCTGACTGTTTGTTTCAGACTTTGAAGCTATCGTGAAGCTGTCTGATGGATTTAACGGAGCTGATCTGAGGAATGTCTGCACAGAAGCAGGTCAGATTTCACACTGATTCACACCCTCATTCTGTAATATCATCAGACCTCTTAGTGTGTGTGTGTTCATTCTGTGTATGTGTGTGTGTGTGTGTGCTCACAGGTCTGTTCGCGATCCGCTCTGACCGGGAGTACGTGACTCAGGAGGACTTCATGAAGGCGGTGAGGAAGGTGGCCGACTCGAAGAAACTGGAGTCTAAGCTGGATTACAAACCTGTATAAATCTGATCCTTTCATATGTTTGCTGTGACGTTTTCTTCAATGACACAAAATCAAATCTTTATGTTGAAAAGGTTAAATTCTCTCCCCCTGACACACCGACTGATGTTTCCATTTCTTTGTGTTCACGCTGAAGCACACACTCTGTACATTAACTTCATGTGGTGGAATAAACATTATATTCTCTGTCTCTCTGGGTGCCGTCTGCTTTTATCTTCAGTGAGTTCAGTCATTTCGAGTCCTCTCAGAGCTTTTATCTGAGGATCCAGAGCTCCTCTCTGATGAAGACTCTGGAATAGCAGCATGCTGACACACAAGAACTCGGTTGGTTTGATTAGTTTGGATCCATTTGTGGTGAAAATGATGTTGAATCATAAAAGCAAACAAAAAAAGATGATCAGAATTCATCTCCACTGGCTGTGCTGTCAAATATAATATAAGTGTGAATACAAGATGATCCAGATTAAGCCTCTTCTAACAGAAAAACAATCAGGTCCAGCTCTTCAAAGGTAATCTGATTAGGTAAATAACTTGGTGTCTTTTTTTTTTTTTTTTAATCCTTCAGTTTGTGTATTCAATTGATTTTTGAGGGACTTTGCAAACTTAACCCCAAAAATCTGGTTGTATCCTGACCTCAACAGAGGGCTGAATCAGGGCTAACCAGACCCTATACCTGGGATTTCTCATATACTTTCCTGCTAAATCGTCACAGTACATAAATTGGCCATTAAGATTATAAAAATATATATATTCCCATAAAGTATTAGACCAAGTTGTATCAATGTCATATCTTCATTTTTGATTAAAATCAGCAAGAAAGATCTTTTTTTTTAGGTCTGTGTGGATTTTGGCGCCTTCTGTTGACAAAGTTAAAACTCTAGTAATCTGGATTTGGTCATTTTAAATGTCTGTCTGGATTAGGTTAGACAAGGAAGTTGAATAGCCTGTTTATTGATTGTAAAACCCATAAAGTCTTCTGATGATACTCACACAGACTTGAAACCCACATGGATTCTTCCATTTGTTTCCACACTTCCTCAGTCTGATTGAATGATCTCTATTTAAAAAAAAAAAAGGTATTTGCCAAACTATATCAGTATTTTAATTCTTCATTACAATCCATGTTAGACAGCTGTTCATACAGATACATGTTAAAGCTTTACAGGCTGCCTGTGGATAATAAATACTGCTCTGGTCCTTTAAGACAACTATTTTTTTAGGAGCATACAGTTATTTCCAGAATAAAGTAAAAATAAATTATCTGTACATGAAGACATCATAAAATACTTGCAGTTTCATTACACACATGAAGACAACTCTTCTGTTTTGATGATCAGCTCAGTCATGTGACCGCTCAGCTGATTTTTCTGAGACATTCGCAGAGTTTTACTGAGGGAGACGAATTTAAACCAACAGACTTCATGCTGAACTGTCACATTTGGTTTAAAATCTGACTTCACTGTTCGTCTCACTGATCATAGAGATCAGATACTTCTGAGGTGAAAACAAAGGAGTAAAAATAAACTATAAAATGTGGTGAGATAGCTACAGAGCTCTCCTTATAGAATGAAAATAATCTTAAAAATATTTGATCGTGACTAACTTTTAACAATGTGGTGTCTGGCAGCACATTCATTGTTTCATTTCTTCTCAGTGCAAAACATTTTAAAAAATGTTGTCTCTTCTGTTCTGCCGGCTAAAACAGTCAGACAGTGTGTATAATCAGTACAGAGTTAGGCTAGGGTTCTAGTTTGGTATGAAGTCGGCGTCCTGCAGGTCATCCAGGTGTTAGGGTGAAGGTGTTACTGTGTCACGGCGAAAAGGTGTCATGAAGGTTGGTCCAGGTGTCAGGGTGACATCGATCCAGGTGTCAGGGTGAAGGACTCGAGGATGAAAGCCCTGCAGATGGGGCAGTGCTGGAAGCGTGACACGCAGCCGTCACACACGCAGGCGTGTCTGCAGGGAAGCAGCACACGGTTCACGGCTGCATTCTGACACACCACACAGTCTCTGCCGCTTCCTCCAGCCCACTCCTCCTCCTCTTCATCCTCCTCTTCATCTTCCTCCTTTTTCTCCTCATTCTCTTCCTGCACTGGATTCTGCTCTGGTTTGCTTGATTCGCTCGGTTCAGTGGGTGGAGGACTCTGCTCTGAAGTGTTGGACGCTCCCCCGCTGTCAGCTGACATGAAAAGAGGCTGCAGGACATGGAGACGGATACAGTCAGAGCACCAAATGGAACACAGACCTCATCATATACCATAACACTATGCACCAGTTTGCTGTTTTTTACTGTTTGTGTACACTTCATAAACAATGTGATGCCACAATGGTGACATCACGTGTCACAAGCTAGTCGGGCTTTGGTCACAATTTTATTGTTGACAACCTTTTTAAACTTGTTTTATTGCAGCTTACCCACTGAGCATTTTCTGGTCTAAAAGAGGTCTAACAGACCTAAGTTTTTTAGACGAAGCGAGCGGTCGGCAACATTCATCTCTCAAAGAGGTGTCTAACTCGGTGTTACTCTGTGTTTGACCCAAAATTAATTTTACGCCGGAATATCCCTTGACCTTTAACAAGATAAGATGAGAAGAACTTCATTCATCCCCGAAGGGAACTTCGATAGTGGAACTTGCTGACCCCCATTTTTAAAGTTGACGGCAGGTGCCATGAGATAACAACAGAAACGGGACATACCTGTAACTCGTACATGTTCCCTTGTGCGGTAAGGAGGTACTGAAACAGAACCCGAGCGGAGAGGCTGTATTTATCATCAGGGACATGGAGAACGCTCACACTGACCACCTGAAAGAGGAGAAACACAGCAGAAAGGCTTTATTTACATTTATACCTCTTCATTCCCTCCTCTCTTTGCTCTTGTGTGTGGTTAAAACAGAGTTTCAAGGAGGAGCTGTTTTTTTTTTTGTTAGACAGTTTTAGCTGATCACGATAGTTGATGACGTGTGTGAAACATTTTGCTCAGAATTAAACAGTAGGTGTAAATAAGGTGAGGTGAGATATAAACTCACAATGCTGTACGTCTCTCTTGCTTCCTGCTCTGTGAGTGTCAACACGGCCACCAGAGGGTAGCATTCTCTCGGTAAAGGACCAAAGTCGGCGACCTCAAGGTCTGCTGGGATCTGCGTGTGCAGCTCTGTCCTGTCTTCACCGCTGATGCTGAGGAGGATGGTGAGTCAAAGATGCCAACAGTAGGAGCTCACACAGACTCCAGTCATCATGAAGAAGTTTAATTAGATTAATTATTTCAGTGTTGTTTCATTATTTTAATTAAATGTTTGAACAGACAGTCATTTTTTGTCAGTGTGGCTCTGTTCCTCTGTCAAAGAACTGTCATACTTCAATAAAACAGGATATATTTCTCTTCTGTAGAGTTTTTAGAGGTACTTACATCACTTACATCATAGTGCTGATTAGTGCTTACACTGGAGTGGTCTTTGTGTGTCAGCACGTGCATATTTGGTATAAAGGATACTCGAAGCTCTCACAGTGCAGGTAACGAAACTGCAGAGCCTCTTTGATCTGTTGAGGGGTGCTGATCTTCTGTCCATGTTGGTGGGCTTGCAGTGCCTCCTGCAGGGCCCTAACCTCACAGCCCCAGAAACAGGTGAGCGTACAGGGCTCAAGACAGCACGGCTTTAGGTGCACTCCACCTGAGAGGGAGAGGCATACTCTGTCAATACAGTCTGGGACACCACAGGTAAGAACATATTTACAGGATGTTCATGATCAATAGGACACACAGTGGGTAGCACAGAGCAGATCTGACTGTATATTTACATTATACTGATGTTGGAGAGGAGAATCAGTAAGGAACAGCGCTGTGAAATATTCAGATTGATTCATAAATGCCAGATATTAACCTTTAACATATTTTATTGAAGAAAATATATTTTTTGGTGTGTTTGACCCTAAATTAATTTTATGCCGGAATATCCCTTCAACTGTATTCATCTGATATCAGGGCCAGCTACTTTGACTCTGACTTTGACTTCTGACTCTCGCCACACTTACTCGTGACAGAGGCTGGCCCACAGCCCACCTGTAGGCTGAAGGGGTTGGTCACCTTTACCATCTGTTTCTCTGGGGTTGGCAGGATGGACTCTGTGTCATCGGAGCTGCGGAGAATCACCGGGACATCGACACCAAACCTGTAGGAGGCAGCAAGAAGACAGCTGTAATGTTTTTCATCCACGTTGCTCCTCTTTAAACACATTTGTGTACTGCATTTCAATAACAGAGATCTATGAAGGCAGTCTTAATATTTAAACAGAATATAGACACATATTTTTATGTACAGGTAAAGTCTAATCTAGAATATATTTGTGTAACTTGTTACTTGAATTTCTGCTCTGGGTCTGTCTTCTTTCTCTGTTGTTTTTATCATAGGTTTGTTTACTTTTTTGAACTTCTGTACATTTTAAGCAGGTACTGTAAACAAGTGAATCAATCAGTAAGCGTATATGAGAACAGCCATCATAAGAAGAAATATACCTTCGATACTTTGTGATGGTGCTTATCATTGTACATTCGTGTAAACTGAGGATGGAGTGTTTTAGCTGTGGCTAAGCTAACTCCAGCTAACCTGGCTGAATGAGACTTACCAGCCGAGCACCATAGCGGCGGTAACAATGAAACATAAAGAGACCACAGAGATGTAAAAGAGCGGAGAGTACTCAAACAGAGTGACAAGGAAGACCGCCGCCATGTCCGCTTGTAATTACATCACACTTATTTCAGAAGCTTCTGGTAAACACTCTGCTAGGCGGCCATGACAACTGCTGCTACCCGGACACAAGTACGGTGGCCTGAATGGTACAAAACAGTATTACTGTAAAACAATGTTTGACTTTATGTTCACTTTGTAATTGTGTACTCATAATTTTAACCTTACTTTTGGGAAAGGAATTTTGAGCAAAAATAAATAATGCAGCAGACAAGGCAACAATCTCACTGATTTTTTAACCTCACTTCAAAATTTAAGCATATATTGAGAAAAAGGGTGGAATTAGTGCTATTTTTCTGTAGGAAATTCTTGTACATTGTGATAATTGTTTTTATCAGAATAAAAGCAAGCTGTTAGACAGGTACATACAATTCTTATACAAAATAAGACTGAGGTACTAATTTACACATTAAAAAATTTAACATGTTTCACTGGCAATGTAGGAAGTTGATTTTTAGTCAGTGTTGTTGAAGTTCCTTCAAGTTTCTAAGCTGGAATTCCTGCTTCAGGATATGTTTCATATATTTTATTTGAATTTCTGAATTCAGGGATCAATTGAAATGCTTCACAAGGTCTATCTAACTCTAAATTGGACCATTCTGTAAAAAATGAACATCTTATGAAGACTTGAAACTGGAAATGAGGACTGTTAAAAAAAATGTCCACTGAAGAAATGGCTCAACTGAGATGTAAGAGCAGTTATTATACAATTGCATACAATGAAATACTCTTTACCATCAGACATGAAAGAGAAAGCAGACAATGCTGCAAAAATTATGTATGCAAACTGTGAAGGATATGTTATTGATGCCCTGAGGTGCAAAACACAAACCAAACCAAACCAAATCATAAATAAACCAACTTTATATTAACTCTTACTGCCTGTTTACAACATGAACTTTTGTCGATGTACACAGAGCCCGCCCAAGTCATAAGCAGGCTGGACGCCTGCTTAGGGCCCCGCAGCCAAAAGCAATAAAAAATTAATAATAATAATAATTAAATATTTATTTAATTTTTTTGCATGTATGAGTGATGCTTCCTGTATGATCAAATATATATTGATGTAAAATGAAAATAAAATTAAGTAAAAACATTTTCGTGCTGCTGCTGATGTAGGCCTATGATTCTTACTGCGGATATGTCAAAGCTCTGCTACCATTATGTGCCTTTTGCTGTGCAATGTGCACTGAGCATCCAAAGTGCAGGTAGTTATCGGACAAAACAATGTAGAAAAAGGACATATCCTTTAGGAGCAGAGAAAAGAAACAGCAAGAAGAGAAAAAAAACCAAGATAAAGGTATGTTTGCATGACATGGGATGTTAATCAAAGAGATTTGTGAAGGGGTGTGAATGATCAACAATCAAGATTATTGGCAGAAATAGAGGGCCCCAAAAATCAAATTTTGCTAAGGGCCTCATTGAGGCTGGGGTCCCTCTGCATGTACCCTGTTAGAAGTCGAAATTGTGGGTTTGGTTTGTTTGGTAATGGTTGTGTTGTGTGATTTTTCATTGTTTTTTGTTTTTGATTTTTCCTTGGGATCTCCTTCAATGTGTTGCACTTGGACAAACATAGGGTTCTTTATATCAAAATAAGGGTATGCCCGCATTTCTAGTCATGCGGATGTTGATATTATTTTGAAAGTCTAAACAGGAAGTTGTTTGTGTTATGGTTAACTTGACATCATGGATCAGCTGAGATTACATCCCTAGCTGTCTGGCCGTTCATTGATTATTTCATCATTTATCATGATTAAAGGGTAGTCTGGGGATGGGTTCGTTCATACAGGACGGAAGCTTGTTTTTTATTTGTGTTTTAAAGAGTTAAATGTTTTTAATGTCTATCAGCGAACATGTTAGGAGGAAACAGAGTCTGGCCCGGCACGGCTCGGCATACAGATGTTCCAGCTGAGGATAAAGGAAGCGTTTATGTGGTTCAATAGTCTGACGGAGCTGAGACTTATAAGATTTATTTTTATCATTTTGTGTTGAAAAGTTCATATAATATTTCCTGTGGAGTCTTTTTAACATGAGTCTGAAGGACAGAGCGGCCGTCCGTCAGCAGAGCTCGGAGAATAACTCGGTCAGCAGCTCCGAGTGGGACATGGCCAACGACGTGTTTGTGTCCGGATACGACGACCCTTCTGTGGGGGACGGAGCCTCTACCGCCGGGGACCAAGCGGAACCTGGTAGTATGGACCGACACCTGCCGCTGCTGCGGGGAGACTCCCGCCGGTTATCCTCGGAGGACGGCATGATACTGGGCCTGCCCGAGGAGGAATTTCCGGGCTCATCCTTTCTATCCATCGACCCGGACTACGCCGAGAGCGACGGGAACGTGGCCACCAAGAAGCGGATCCGCTCCAACAGCTCCCGGCACCGCGGGGAGGTCGTAACGGAGCTGGGACCGGAGGAAGTCCGCTGGTTTTACAAAGAGGACAAACGGACCTGGAAGCCTTTTGTCGGCCACGACTCGTTAAAAATCGAGATTGTGTACCGGAGGTTTTGTGAGCAGAATCCGGACAGGGACAAACATCCAGACACCGTTGAGGTTAATGGGAAGGAGGCAGTCCGATCAGGGGAGGTCCAGTCGGAGGTGGAGGGTGGATCGGTTCGGGCGGAGCCGGCGGTGCAGCGGAGCTCGGTGTCAGAGGAGGTAAAGGGGCCAGACGAGGTCACCGTAGAGGCGGTGTGTGTTCGAGGGGGACTGTACGAGGTGGACATCCGGGAGAAAGAGTGCTACCCGGTTTACTGGAACCGTGAGTGTGACCAACAATATACACTGACTGTACTGTTACTGTAACAAATGCTGCTGTTTAAACAATGATACACAGTCACCAGTGGGACCGTACACTAACACCACTTTACACCTGCTACTGCCCCGTTATTGTACCATCCCTTTGCAGGAGCAGACAGTGTGTTAGTACAATGACTTATTTCTCTTAACATCACCACTACTGTAAAGGGCTATAGGTCTACTGCTAACAGTTCCCCTGTAACTGAGTGGGTCTACTGTAATGCTGGACTAATAGGTGCTGTCATTACCTATACTCTATACTATTTGTGTATGGCATTTCTTCAGTACTCTTACTAGTTTCAGTGGCATGTCCATTTTGTGACTGTGGTGCTAAAAAAGACAGTGACTGCTCCTGAGTATACTAATAGGGGAGACCAGGGCTTGTTGTCACATGGGTAAGTTGTCACATTGTGATTATCTTTGCCACCAGAGGGCGCAACTAAAAAGTGGAATACTAGTTTTATTCCTTTACATGGTCAGGGGTCGTGTCCTGTCTGAGAAGAGAAGAGCACATTGTGAGCTGAGATGAGCGCCAATTAACCATTTCGCACAACCCAAAGTTTAAAAAAAATTAACTTTATATATTTTGAAATAAGCTTCTTCCAGATAAAAATCCTAGCAGTGATACATGTGGACTTGTTAGAGGAGAGGTTAAGGCATCCTGTCCTACCTCAGTCATTGCTCTGTTTTCAGCTACTGTAAGTTTAAACGAGAGCTAGAGATAGCAAACATGGTAGTTTGGGGCAACATGTCTCAGTCATTTTGAGGTTGGTTGTCACATGTTTAAAAGGGATTAAAATTAAAATAGAAATCTGCTTATTAGCAGTTGTCATATTGAAACTTTGATTCACTTTTACAGAAAAAAGCGTGACTTAAAGGAGAGGAGAAAGCGAGAAGACATGGTCAGGAATTACAAAAGAAAAACAGAATGTGGCAGTGCAGTACCTGACGTGATGCTGAGGACAGTCAGGCAGGTGACCCTCACTAATGAATCAATCTGGAGTACAAAAAAGGACTTCAATGTCAACTACCACATCTTGGCACAGTAATGCAACAACATTCACTCCAGCCAAAATACAGAGTCAGACAGCTCTCCAAACTCCAGAGCACATGGCATTATATTCTATGCTAACGTTTGTTTAATAGCTATGTTCAACGACTTTTTCTAGCTCAATGATAAACATTTTCTGTACCTGACTTTGATGTTTACTTTCATGTAAAAAAAGCGGAACAACAATAATTTTGTCCTTGTTTTATAAGCTGCAGAATCCACTGTGACACTTTACCCCATAGACTGAGACAACTTACCCGATGGTGGGGCAACATGTCACATGTTCACTCTCTCCTTGATTGCTTATAACTCTGCACTGACACAAGATATGAAAATGACATGAATCCGAAATATATACCTGAGACTTTTGTCTTTCATCTGGTACACATTTTGTTTATATATGATGTATTGATTCCAAGAAGAATATTAGTGTAAAAAGTGTGACAACAAGCCCTGGTCTCCCCTACCTTTTTAAATTAATTTTATTACGCGCAGTTTTCAACTGATAGTGTTTTTCAAATGATCATTTTTCTTCACTCGTCCATGGTTTACCTCCAGGGATATGAAGGTGAATAAGTCAGACTCACACTTTTAGAAATATGCCTTTCTGTCTTTAAGAACAAGATCGAATCCCTGTCATGCGAGGTCAGTGGTTCATCGACGGGACCTGGCTCCCCCTGGAGGAGGATGAGAGTGACCTCATTGAGGTGGAGCACCTGGCCTGTTACCGGGGGCAACAGATGAGAGACACCTATGAAATGGAGGTGGTAACGACCACCGTGGACAGCAAAGATGGTGAGATTTACCTTTGTGTGTGTGTATATATATCAGGTGGTGTTGTTCCTGCTAACTGCAGCTGAAGCACACTTAAGAGAGGAAGAGTGTGTGTTTAATTTATATCAAGGGACACACACACACACACACACACACACACACACACACACACTACCTACACACACAGAGCTGGTCCTCCTGAGTCTGTCACATTAATCATTCTGTAATAAGCGTTTCTGAGTAATCACACTTCGTGCATGTTCATCACACTGTGTAGTTGTGCTGTTTGTGTGTGTGTGTTAATCACAGTGTGTGTCTCTCTCAGCCATTCACAGTCTAAAGCTGAGCAGGAGTCATGTGGACTGGCACAGTGTGGACGAGGTCTACCTGTACAGTGATGCTACCACCTCCAAGATTGCACGGACTGTTACACAGAAACTGGGGTTCTCTAAAGGTGCGTACACTAACACAAACAAAAACAGACACAAACACGGAGACACAAACACAAACCAAGTCATTATGAGAGGAGGTGAGAAAAAGAGAACCTTTAAGACAAAACAGTTCAGAGTTTTGTCAAACCTTTATTCAACCCTCCTCATTTAAACCAGACTAATATACTGTGGTTTAAGAATGAAGATAACAATAGACCTGCTCTGTCACTGTGAGATAAGAAGGTCAACACTGACACAAACTGCTGTGAGGGTTTATCAGATCCCAACCCTTCCTCTCTCTCCTCCTCCTCAGCCTCCAGCAGTGGGACACGTCTCCATCGAGGATACGTGGAGGAGGCAGCTCCTGAGGACACACCGCCTGACACCACGCACATCGTGTTTGTGGTCCATGGCATCGGGCAGAAGATGGACCAGGGCCGGATTATCAGGAACACCAGCATGTGAGACGATAATATACATGAATGATATTTACTGAAGGAAACAGAAACATATGTGAAAAAGCATACACAGTGTTCATGTGTAGGAAAAAAATGTTAAAATACTGTACAAGGGTTGTAAACATGAACATGTTAATTGTGTCGCCATTAAGGTCTGAATTTAAAAAATGTTTTTAAATCTCTTTTTTTTTTTTTTTTAAATCCTTTTCAGTATTTTATAATCAAGGCTTTGCAGCATCTTCCTGCTCCCTGCTGCAGCCATGGTGAAAACAGCAACAACACTGCATTACCGTTTGGCTATTTTGTTAAAAAACCTCCCAGATGACTTATGAAAAGTCAAAAGCAATATACGCTTTGTGTCGAACTGAAATAAGATATTGTTTGTGTATTCAAAGTTTGAGCGACCGAATGAGCTAAACACACAGGTGCAGCTAATCAGACTAACGTTAGCAGGTGGGTCCAGTAGAGCTAACGTATGAGCTTAGCACACAGGTGCAGCTAATCAGACTGATGTTAGCAGCTGTGTCCAGTAGAGCTAATGCTTGAGCTAAGCACACAGGTGCAGCTAATCAGACTGATGTTAGCAGCTGTGTCCAGTAGAGCTAATGCTTGAGCTAAGCACACAGGTGCAGCTAATCAGACTGATGTTAGCAGGTGTGTCTAGTAGAGCTAATGCTTGAGCTAAGCACACAGGTGCAGCTAATCAGTCTAGTGTTAGCAGGTGTGTCCAGTAGAGCTACCATATGAGCTAAGCACACAGGTGCAGCTAATCAGACTGATGTTAGCAGGTGTGTCTAGTAGAGTGCAAATCTGTGGATAAAACTCCATGGAGCTGTCTTCACCACTAAGTTATGGTAGTGTAGCATGTATTTGAAAGAAAGAAAGGGAAGCTTGCACAGTAATTTTCCAGAAACTCAAACATAGGTGGAACTCAATGGATGTAGAAGAAATGTTTTCTGGCCTAAACTTCTCATCCTGCCTTTCCTCTGTGTGGAAAGAGTGAAAATGACTATTTCTTTAGTGTGCTCTCATTTGTGTGATCGGACAAAAAATTAAATTGCAGTTGTCAGTCCTGTTGCTGATTTACATTTACATTTTGAATTTACATTTTGAACATGTGATTCATGATTAATCAAGTAAGCTGTAACCTGAAATGTTTGTAAATAAATTATTTTTCTTTTTTCACAGGATGAGGGACGCTGCGAGAAAGATGGAGGAGAAGCATTTCTCTGATCGCAGCACGGAGCACGTGGAGTTCCTCCCTGTGGAGTGGAGGTCAAAGCTCTCTCTGGATGGAGGTATGTCTCAAACTACAGCTGAGTATTATCATGGCTGTTGGTTATCATGAGAGACGTCCTGATAAGAGCTAAACGATTGGAAAATAGACTGTAAAAATTCATTCACGTGGTGACTGTCCGCACATGTTGCTACAGAGTTAACCAACACTGAGATAACATGCTGCTGATAACCGCAGATTTTTGCTTTGTATACATAGAAAACAAACCGCGTGTGTCAGGTCATATGATTGACACGACTCATCTACATCATCACTGCAATAGATAAGGATTTACTGTGAAGCTCTGGTCCTGTCATGTTTGTCTCCAGAGGTCATAAACTAGAGGGTAAAGGTTCTGACAGTCTGTTGGACAAAATGATGGAGATATTAATATCACTGATAAACATGTGGATTAGAAGTTTGTATTGAGCATTATAACAAATCAGAGAGTGGATTAAAAAGTCTCAGAGGATTTTTGAACAGGAATGTTTATTTACTCCGTCATGTACAGTAGGTATCTTTCCAGCTCTTTGAATACAGTTCAGTAACATCCCCATTCAAGAAATGGCTCTTCATATTCATGAAATTCAATCAGGGCTGTGCGAAAAGGCCTAAAAATAAATGTTTTTAATCCATTTAATGTCTGGGAATGTCTAATTTTAGCCCCTCTCAGTCTGTGTTATCAGGCTGCTGCTGTGTTGTTCAGCCCTCAGTGTCAAACACATCCCCCGGTTTGGTGTCTCTGTGTCAGATGATTGAATAAAGGAGTCAAGCTGATTTGAGACTTTAAAGGAGACAGAGACAGACAGGGACAGAGGTTTGTTCAGGTCAGGCTCTGCAGTACTGAACCTCTTCCAATGAATGAAGAGACATTTTTGAAGAACTCACTCCTTTTACATGTCTATAAAATCAGGTATTTGTTGATGTGTCTGTTGGTTTATGAATCAAGCCCTTTCCCTTTGTTCAAATCTGACAGTTGTCTGTTTCTGTGTGTCTCCCCTGCAGACACGGTTGACTCCATCACTCCAGACAAAGTGCGAGGTCTCAGAGACATGCTGAACAGCAGCGCCATGGACATCATGTACTACACCAGCCCGCTCTACAGAGACGAGGTGACTCTGAATTTACATCACATCCTCTTAAACACATGGCTGACCTGTAGTAGCAAGACTCTGTAGTGGGAATCATCACAAATTTTCATAACGACTTCCAAAAATCATCGTCTGTGATCACAGTTTGAAACTGTATTCAAAAAACAAACATTGTTTTTCTGCTTGCAGACAGATGCCTGAATCTTCATGTAACAATACAATTTGGTTGTTTCTGAATAATTTGACTCACTCAGGACATTCAGTGAAACTCTGGCAAAATCTGGAGGTGCAGTTTTTTAATTCTCTTTCTGTCTAAACATGTTTACCTCAGCTTAGATAAATGGATGATAATGAGCAAACCGAAAATCATCTCTGCAGGGAGCGTCCATCCTGAATCAGCGTCCCTCTGAAGCTCATAAATCCTCCATAATCTGATTTAATCCAACATAGCTGCTCAGCTCGGAAACATGCTCCACTGTGCAACTCTGAAAATATGGATGATTATACTTCATAACATAGCCATACTCTGTGTGTGTCCGTAGATAACTCGAGGCCTGACTCTGGAGCTGAACCGGCTCTACTCGCTCTTCTGTTCGAGGAATCCGGACTTTGAGAAGAACGGGAAAGTGTCCATTGTTTCTCACTCGCTCGGCTGCGTCATCACCTTTGACATCATGACGGGCTGGGACCCCGTCCGTTTCCACCATCAGGAAGCGCCTGACCCAGAGGAGACAAAGGCCCGCTGGCCCAATGAGCAAGAGCGGCAGCTGCAGGAGGAGCTGAGGCTCACACATCTCAGGTGAGAAACAGGCAGAGGAGATGATTTCTAGTTTCTCTCTGAACCTTTTTACTGTTTCTTCTCTGAGTCAGAGGAGATTTTTACTCCTGAACCTCTCTCATACCAAACATCAGAGTTTAATCCTTATTGTCAGTGGATTATCTGAGCGTGCAGACTCACTGGAAGGTTAAATGAGACATTATGAACCCTGAGTTGGAGAGAAGCTCTCAGTCTTTCCTGCAAAAACAGAGCTCTCTTCTCTGCGGATGTTAAACTGAGGGTTTGAGAATTTATTCTTTTACTGAATATTATCACAAACAATGGCCAAAATGTAAAGTTCTTATGCTGTGCAGGATGCCAGACAATGTAATGCAACTTGAGTAAGTTGTGTTATATTCAATTGATGCTGATTACGAATATTTTCCATTGGTATATATATTTAAAGTACTGCTGCTGTGTTTGCTCTGTCAAAGAGGATCAGTATTATGTATTTCTGGATTTCACTTTATCTGATCTCTGCAGGCTGAGAGACCTGGAGGATCAGTTTCAGGGTCTGCAGACCTCGTCCTGTGTCGCAGTGCCTGCTCTCAAGTTCAAGGTAGACTCAATGGACTCACTTGGCAGCTCTGTTCGACAGGAGTCATTAACTTTCTAGAGGTGTTTGCATTGTGTAGCAGAGTTTTTTTGTGTTCCACTCAGTCCAGACTGATGAGCAGCTCTGTGGATTTGACCGTCTGATATGTCAGATCTATCCTCTGAATTGCAGGTGGAGAACTTCTTCTGCATGGGCTCTCCTCTGGCTGTGTTCCTCGCTCTGAGAGGGATCAGACCTGGAAACAATGGAGGGCAGGACCACATCCTCCCTACATCCATCTGCAAACGCCTCTTCAACATTTTCCACCCCACAGACCCTGTGGTGAGACACTCAACACTGAAAGAAAATAACACTGCATATACTGTATTACATTATATGACATATTGAAGCTTTGCTGGTGGCTTTGTGACTGATAGTAAGTAATAAAAACTGAAACCAAGCTGATATGAGCTTCATGTAAACAGAGCACAAACCATCTGATCATATGATAATGATCTGTGTGTGTGTGTGTGTGTGTGTGTGTGTGTGTGTGTGTGTGTGTGTGTGTGTGTGTGTGTGTGTGTGTGTGTGTGTGTGTGTGTGTGTGTGTGTGTGTGTGTGTGTGTGTGTGTGTGTGTTTCAGGCGTACAGACTGGAGCCTCTGGTTTTGAAGCACTACAGTAACATCGCTCCTGTTCAGATTCACTGGTAAGACATGGCAAATAATAATTATTATTTTATTTTATTTTATTTTATTTTTTGTTTTGATGTGTATTTAATGAAACTAAAAGAGGCGCTTAAAGCAGAACCTGTCCTAGAATTTCAGCTGTACAACAAGAAAGAACAACATGAAACGCTATTAAATATAATTGTGATAAGTATCCGGGGGCCCTCTTTGTTTTGTAAATAGCAGGTGCCCTTAAAAACTAAGTTAAAGACACGGCAGATTAAATGATCTGAATTTATTTAGTTCCTGTAAATGTGTCTGCAGTCTGCAGTATGATACGATACAACACGATAAGATGAGATACAATACGATAAGATAAGATATTCCTACATTATTCCCGCAAGGGGGAATTCCAAATGTTTTCAAGAAACAGCAGCGTATAAATACCAAAGAGAAATTCAAGGATGAAAGAACTTAGCGTTAAAATACATATATATATATATCCAAGATATATCCATGCAAGATATATATTAATCTACAGCACTGCAACATTTTAGCCTCTGGGTGTCAGAGTGAATATGGTGTAAAGTTGTACTCAACAATTCCATTATCTATCCAACCCAACTGTGTGTAGAACATTCCACTTCATGAGGATAAATCATAATATGTCATGTGGTATAATTCTGTGTGGTCTACAGGTACAACACCACGAGCCCAACGCCATACGACCAGATCAGACCCACTCTGCTCAATTTGCCTAAAGAGACCGCCTCAGTGTCCGACTCTGAGAGCATCCCCAGCCCCTGTACCTCCCCTCCTCAGGCCCGACGGCACTATGGAGAGTCCATCACCAGCCTGGGAAAGGCCAGCATCATGGGTAAGGAAGGGATTAAATATCACTGGGTATTTTTTTTTACGAGGAGTAGGAACCACTAACATAGGATAGCTTAAAACAAAAGGTGGTTTGTGAGTTTAGGGTTGTTAAGCAAAATCTGAGGTGAGTTTTTGAAGTAGGACTAAAAACGTGGTTGAGAAAATCTGTGCAGGCAACTGTAAATCTGAGTGTATGCAGGCAGAGCGCATTTCAGCACAGGCAGAGATTATTTCAGTCTGGACGGTCAGCACCTTTAAATGCGACTGTTGAATCAATGCATCTTGGCCTCAAATTGAAAACACCACTCTAGAGTAAACATTGGAAATAAACCTCAGAGAAAATCAAACCTTTCAGCCTCTATCTCAGACCAGTGAGTCCTGATCTGAGCGCAGAGAAACTGGAGCTGCTGGCTTGGCTCGTATAGTAGCAAGGCAAGCAGTGTGTTAGCGAGTGTGTGCCAAACAGATCAATAGAAGCAATCAGCTGCTGTCTGCAGGACTGACGGTCTGATGTTTCTTTATTTTATGGATCCAATGCACAAAGGAAATTACGGACACCAACAAACCAAAATAAACTGATGATGGACTTTTATTATAGTTTTATTTGTCCGAAAATTTACATATCACTGACCAACTCCAGACTGGACAGAACCCAGAACCCCTTAGACCAACAAAAACCAGATCTGGAGTCTGAAACCTATGGTGCAGTGCTGTCCTGGCATTTAAAGGGTACATAGTGTAATAGAAACACACATTCCTCTTCTCTTGATATGCATTCAAGACGGGAAACAACGCACCAACTTATGAGGAAATACAAGTTTGTTTGTTTTTTTGATGCAGTGAAATTTGAGTTTTTATTGGAACAGAGTGTCATGATGGCAAAGTTGAAAAACAGAAAAAGGACCCAATTGCAGTAACAAAAGAGATTTAATGAAAAAATAACTGAAAAAAAATAAAAATTAAATGTCCAACTCAAAAATCCCAAGAAACACAAATGGCAAAATTCAAAGAACCGAAAAACTACAAGGAGACACTGGCATTCACACAGCTTGACAAACACATACATATTCACACAGACCACACAATGAACCAACAAAGAAACATGGGAAGATAAGGACTATATATAGACACACCCAGGGAATGAGCAACGAGAAGCAGGTGAGACACTGAGACACAGGTGCAGAATATTACAGAGGAGGGAAAACTGAGGAAGTAAAACAAGACAAGAAACACAGGAAATAAACTACTTCAAAATAAAACAGGAAACACTGAAACTGATATAAAGAATAAAACACTGAGAACATGAGGGAACCGGGGTTGGACACAAACTGAAAACTCACAAGACAAGACTACAGGGGAACAGGAACAGCAGGGAACAGAGACACTAAGGAAAAACCACAAAGAAAATACACTAGAGGAAAACACAAAACCAGGGAAAAACTAAAAACCAGAACATATCATGACAAAGAGGGCCTGGAGACAAGAGCATTTCTCTCCATCTCTATATACCATGGTACAGTCTTGTGCAAATCTCAGTATGCTGGAATGAGGATACCCTCATTGCTATCCCCTCATACACATGCTTTAGCTCAACATAAGTGGACCAAATACTCCAGACTGAGATGGTAGGAGAATAAACAGTGTCTATCGTGAACACAGCGCAAACTAAAGCTGCGTGATTCAGCAGTTAAAATCTAAAATCTGCTGTATGAACAGTGATATGCTTGCCTGCAGGTACACCTGAATGACATATGCTCTGATTGGTTTGAGTCATGTGACTCTTGATTCATAAAACACACCTGTGATTTATCCAGAAGCTTAAACAAACCTCTCCGTGCTCTGCACCTCACTTTGCACCCAGATTTTGTGACGCTTTCCATAAAACTGAGACACACACTAATTGAATTTGAACCATGTGCTTCAGTCAGTGCATCTCAGGTCATGTAATGGAGTGCTGTAATTTTCAGTATGAAAACAGACTATTCTAAAAAAATATTTGTTGATGGATCGATCTCGCTCTATCTCTAGGAGCTGCAAGCCTGGGAAAGGGAATTGGAGGAATACTGTTTTCCCGCTTCTCCCGCTCTAGCGGTCAGGTGGGCGGGGTGGAAGAGGAGCCATCGGATTGTGAGGGCGGAGCTTCTGAAGTAGAAAACGTGCCATCAGTAGAGGAAGGAGCTGTGGAGGGAGACAGTGAGGAGAAGGAGAAACAATTGGAGGAAGAGAGGAGGGAGGTGGAGTCTGCCATGTCTCAGTCCACCTCAACTGTCATGGACCACACCACCCGTGAGCGCCTTCACCTGAGACTTAAATTTGAAGTTAATTAAGAGCTCTGGTGCTGTCAGGATTCCCCCTGGTAAAGCTTTATTCTTGTTTCTCTGTTTTTCAGTGGAGCTGGAGAAACGCATCGACTTTGAGCTGAGGGAGGGCTTGGTGGAGAGCCGCTATTGGTCAGCAGTGACCTCACACACGGCCTATTGGTGCTCCTACGACGTGGCTCTGTTCCTGCTCTGCAACATGTACCGACCACAGGAACCCGCTGAACCTGCGGAGGACGGCACGGACACATCATAACAGGACACGCTTTAGCGAAAGACACCTCAGAAAGACTAGACCACCCGTCATAACAAGAGGAGATTTGTCATAATGAAAAAAAAGATAACATAAGAAAAAAAACATAATAACACAAAGAGACATGGTGCAGCAACAGAAGACACATAAAGAAGACGTGCAATAACAGGATAGAGGAGACGTGATAATGAAAAGATACATCATGACCTGAGTGATGAAAGTTATAACCGCACTTATAAGATCAAGAAAAGACCCTCTTTATCACAAGAATAGACAAACATCTACAACAGAAACTAAATAAAAATCCTTTAAAAACTCAATTTAAAGCAAGAAAAGACAATCATTTTGGAAAAGACATATAAAGGCAAGTGAAGACATGTAATGAAGTAAGTAAAGACACATCAGAATTAGAGAGGACATGTTATGATACAGCAAAAGACAGTGAAATGAAGAAAAAAAAACAGTGAAAATATTTCTATATATAATGATACTGACATGATAACAGACATTTTTAAACGACCAAAGACATGATGCAAATCAAATCTGACACAGGAACAGTCACATTATCACAACAACTAGGACTGTCTGTGTTATGTGTTTAATTTTAAAAACTGCTGTAAGGATTAATTTCACAAATGAATTAGTAGTCAAATTCGGTGTTTGGGTCTGAGTGTCTCAAAATGAGCTAAATCACATGTTAGACACGACACATCTAAATGAGAACGGAACAGTAAAAACAGGAGTAAATATGGGCCATGAGGGCAGGACAGACAGATATGCTATTACACACACACACATTACAAGCCTTTTAGCATTTAAACTCCTCCCAGTTTACACTTTGACCTTCATGTGACCTTTGCACCAGACTGAGCAGATAAAAACTGATGTGAGATCCGTCCTCAGAGGCGAGCTCTCAGCCTGTCGTCTGTCTCCTGGTCCTCTGTCCTCGCCATCAGCTGATTCCTGCTGGGATCATCTGTTTGTCGTGATCAGCTGTTTTTCGTTGTGTTTGGGGGCCCTCACCCGTCGGACTGCCACGGACCGCACTGCTCGAACTGTAGCAAAACCGCCTCAGTGCTCTTTTCACCTCTGACCTTGTCCTCCTAACATGTTTTGCTTTTATAACGCCTCTGATGGCGTCACACGGCCTAAAGGGATCATGGGAGGTTGATCATGCCCAGCTGAGACACGACTCCAAAATCCTGTATGCAGAAGGATGTTAGAGTGGAAGATTCTGACCACTGGGGGGCAGCACAGAGCCTTGATAACACTGTGATCATTCAGGAGTGTAGGACATATGTGTTCTGTTCATGTCAGAGCACAAAGGTTGTGTTTACATGAGTTGAATGAAGGAAAAATGTGATGCAGACAGAGACCAAAACCAACAAGAAGTCTGAAGATTGTTGTCTTCAGAACAGACAGACTCCTCCGTGCTGACTCAAGGAGCTGTACAAACAAGGTCAAAGCGGAGAAGATGATCCGTCATGATCATCTGTGGGTGTGGGCGTTGGGACCGTTTTAGACACACTTAATGTTGTCTGTGTGAGGACAGGAACTCCTGCATTGTGCCAAGAACAGACTATGTTTCTCATGTTATAGTTTATACAAGTTGCAGTCAGCATGTTTCAATCGCAATGACCCACACAATAAGATCTTGGAGATAAACACGACCATAGTGCCAAAAGTAAAAAGTAATATACATAAAATGTGACTTTTTTTTTTTTTTACCTGTTAAGCTTTCTTTTTCATCTAAAATGAATCAGACTTTTTTACACGCAGATGTAAGACAAGAATCAATCTTTCTGTTTGAAGTGAACACATGAACATCTCTGTAAAAATAATGATCCACAAACATAAACTGATTCATGTCTGCAGTCCCAGAGGTTACCCTGAAGTAACAGTGCTGATCTTTCTTTCAATGCAGACCCACAGCACACTTCAAGTCATTGTCAATCACAACGCAAACTAAAACACCTGTCTGATCAGGCTGGCAGCCCCCACTGTGACGCATACTTTCTCCCTCATTCTGTCAAAATTATGTATTTAAGAATCGCAAAAATGTACTATGATGTAAATAGAGCTGTGAAACAATATTTTTTTAATCACAATTATTGCATTTTTGATCGCATGTTTAAAATTATGTAACTTAGCATTGTAAAAACCCTTTTTAAAAATGCAAATTAATTATGTATGGACATTTCTTTACAGCGTCTAGATCGGGAAGTTCAAGGAAAACAGTTTGTGAGCTGGATATTTGGATTTATTTGGTAGGAAAGAGCCTCAAAGTTTTTATTCTTTGAAAAACAGAGTGTATTTTAATTTGAAATCTTTCAAGGACTATACTATCAGCCATCAAGAAAACTGCAGGAGTGCATGAACAAAACTATTTTGATTCATTACTTACATCCAGGAATCCATGGTTATTATGAGAGCATTTGCACTTTTCAGAAGCTCCAGTTTGGTTGATCCCTCTGTTAAGTTTAGTTTAAGTTCAGCTTTACATACTCTCACATAGTGTTCAGTCAGATTTTGTGAAGTTGCCCTGTAACAGTCTCATTAGCTGCACTCGAATGCTTAGCTCAAAGGCCCGGACTCAAAGCTTAAACTGAAAGTTGATAATGCATATGACTTTAAACATGTCGACTTGGCCTTCTAGGACATTTTGAAGTGAAAGGTGCCATTTAAAGTTTAATGGTATTGATCTTTTCACAACAGCAACAGGGAGATACCTCTGCAGCTTTTTTTAAACTATGGTATACAAACAGCATGAGATAAAAAAATAAGTTTGTTATTTATGGACTTTGCCGACAACCTTTAAAGTGGTTTATAATTGTGGGGTGTTTGTTCCTTTGAGCAACCTCCACAATCCTAGCCAACAACTGATTCAGCCAAAGTGGGCGGCTTGTCTCTGTAGTGCATCTGTGTGTAGTGGGTCTGCACTGTCAGAGTTAGCATTGTCAGAAATTGATCATTTCATGCATGACAAGGGGGTAAAAAATCTCATATCAAACCACACCTGTGTTCTCATGTTTACATCATCTTAACATTCAGCTTCCCGATCTGCCAACAGACTGATGGTTTATGTGACAGCTCTGTGCAGAGGGGGCGTCCAGTGCTGAGAGTCGAACATTGGATAGTGCGTTGGTGGCCGATTATGGTGCAAATGGTTCCCATAAAGAGAAGCCAGCTGCAAATTTAGAATTAAAGCAGGTTTAAGCGCATATGGTCCAGAAAGGATGCAATGATGGGTCGCGTTGTGTCATTCATGAACGATTCGTTCAAAAGAACCGATTCTTTCAAGTGAACGTAATAAACCGAATCACTTCCTGAAGTGATTCGTTCGTTTCTCACTTAAGTTGAGCTGAAGTGAGAAACTGCATTGTCAGGCCGGCAGCCGGTGAACGAGGGACCACATGCACTGAAGCCTGAATCACTTGGTGAACGAATCAAGCATTGAACTACACTCTCCGGAATCATTTTTGTTGGACAAAACTACCATTTTTTTCACTGCTAAATTGCCACAACAACTTGCATACAATAGGGCACAGCATGTAACAAGTAGTGCATTAAACCCACAGCATCCTATCATTGCAGCGGTTTGCATGGGAACAGTACATATTTAGTGTGAATTCTTCTAAACAATCAGTGAACGAATCACTCACTGACCCCAATTTACCAAGCAGACCTGGTAAATAGCATACCATAGGACAGTACACGTAAAACATCATGATTTATAAACAAGTTCATTTTTACAAACCTGTTTGCCGAAGCAACACAGCCAAACACTCTCGTCTCCCGGTCCCAGAAGCTATGATCTGAACTGAATCCTGAACTGTTCAGCTGTGTATCAGTTCAGGAGGTCAGAGTCACAGGCTTCCCCCGCTAAATGATTCAGTGATTTGGGAACAAATCTTTTGAATGAATCTTTTTAGTGAACTGATTCTAGTAATTCAGTACATTTAAAAGAACTGCCATACCTATCACTAATGATAGGAATGCACTGCAAAATAAAAATAAAAAGAGAGAACAGAAAAGACCACAGCCAGAGTGCAGGACACAATAAACAACACAGAAAACTGGGGAAAACAAGCCAAAATCTAAGCATCACTGAGCAAGTTTCTCTAAGCCTGTAGGGGGCGCTCAGTGTGACAGCATCACTGTGACAGAAGGCAGGAGTGTGATGGCTGGCTTTAATGTGTATCTTCCTTTCTTTTGCAGCTTGCTTGAGATAGCAGTGTAGCTAACTCTTCCTGTCGGCCATCATTATTCTGCTCTTTGCACTGAGGTGACCTCTGAACTGTCAGAGTGGCGTCATTCTGAATCAACAGGAAAAGAGTGTGTGCTGTTTTATAATGACGTGTTTGTGAATACTGTGAAATCAGGCCGGATGTTCATGAAGACAAAATGATATCTGAGATTTTTTTATTTTCACCGTTGTATTAATCTCAAGAATTTATAAGGAATTAAAGCCACACTGGGCATGATGGGATATGTACCATGTACAGAGCTGGTGGTTGGATTAAACCTTGAGGATGAAGTGAGACACAGTGAAGCTGTCGAGTTTGAACCTAATAAGTAAAAACATTCAGAGAAACCCTTGAAGAAGCTTGGACTTTCTGTTCAGTGTTTCCACACATGTTCTGTGTCATTGTGTTGTTGTTGTTTTATTGTGTGCTCCTCTCTGTCTGTGTGTGTTTTACACATGTGTCAAGTTTTTTATTTTTTTGTTTGAAGAATTAGAAAATGAATTCACACGTACAAACTTTAATTTAAAGCGAACACATGTGCATAAGCCATTTGCAGCAACTAGTTTGTGTTTCATGTGAAATGTCTTACCATGTGACATTTTTTGTATTCATTTTTATTTGTTGAACTCTTTGTTTACATTTGGTCCGGTGACTGATATGTAATTTTCAGTTACTTTTTCAGAGTGCATTTCATCTAATGATCTTCGTCAAGTTGTTAAAAGTATTTGATTTGATATAAAAAAGTGCTTTAAAAATAAATCTCCTGGCCTGTCTTTAATATAGTTGATTTCAAAATGTGATCACTGTGGAAATTGGGGTTTGAATTGATTTTGGCACCCCCTATAGGCAGAGATTTACACCTTGTACATCTGCTTATTGAATTCTGGACATGGCAAGGACATTTTTCTAAGTCTAGTTTATTGAATGAACTGAATGTGTAACAAATCAGAAGAGATGTTTTTCAGAGTCAAATTTTAAGCCTCTGTATTCACTTCAATCTATGAAACAACCTTTTCAACATTCATCACAGCAACTTTAAAACATTGTCATGCACAGTTTGGAAGTAATCTGCCGCTTATTGCTTTTTATAATTTGATATTGTCTCAAATAACAAACAGGTTCAGTGCCTGCAGAAACAGCCCACATTCACCCCTCATCTAATGCCCCCCCTGCAGTCAAACCCTTGTCCTTCTCTCGGTCTTTTAGCCTCTCTCTGTCTTTGCCACAGCCTCTGACTGTTCTCTGTCTCTGACCACGTGCACAAACGTGCACGTCCTCCTCTTGAAAAGGGATGGATGGTGATTAATGTTCGCCTTCTCAGCAAGGCACGCCGTCCGGTGTGCAGGTATAAAATCCTCACAGCGTGCTGGGACACTTTATGAAGCTTTATTTCTTGTTTTAGTAGCTTTATTAACACACTAATCGATTGGACTAACACACAGTCAGTACCAGAGACAGGAGAGCACCAGGACCAGGACCAGGACCAGGGAAGGTAAGTTCATCTTTTGAAACTTTTACATGTAGAATCACTAACAAGATGTTTATCCTTTACATGAAGTAATGGAACTGTCTGAACTCTGGGGTTTTTAATTCAGTACCAAAAGGGTGAATAAATAAGAATCCGCTGCACATATTGGAACAGATGTAAAATATCTTTGATGAAGTAAGTTAAAGAAATATTTACTATAGGAGCACCATGATTGTATATGATTTTACGTGTTCTGGATGCATAAATTGGTGTCTTAAGTTTATGTTTGCTTGAATTATTCTTCATTTATTCTTTATCAGTGCCAGACTTATGGTTATCAAAGCTCAAACTTTGAATAATTTATTGATAATTGGATTGATGACAGAAAACAGTGATAGTGATCATCAACTGGTTTTAGAGATTGAGCTGACTCCACAGCTGTTCAATTGTATTTGACTAACAAAAGAAACGCAGACACAAATATGACTGATATATTGCATTAGTATATATATATTTTTTGTCTTAGAAAAGACCGTCAAAATTTTTTCATCATTAACTTTGACATTTTCAGCATTTTAAATTTTTTTTCTGACAATTTATACATATATATATATATATATCTATGATCAACAATATATATATAAAAAAATTATCTACACTACATCCTGCAGTTATCTAAAACACCAATAGGGGTACTGTCCCCTCTGATCAAGTAGCAATCACTAACAAGGATATTTAAATCCTAAAGTCTATGGCAAATAAAGCTGGATTAGTATAAATAGCTTGATGACCTAACAGCTCTTTGAAAGTGAAGCCAAAATATCCAGAATTCCTTTGACTGACTGGGTGCAGTAAAGGTCATAAGGTCATAAACCCCGCCCCCTCCAGATGGGGCTTGGATATCAAACTATAAAATCAAAACACAGTTGAAATAAATTTTGCTGTTGTTTTTGAATGGAAGAGATGATTGACAGCTCTGTTGACAAATGAGGCTGGTCCCTCGCTTAGCAACAGCTATTAGGCTACCTTGCAAGCATAGTGAGCGCCATAACCTTAGAATAATCATTAAGGATTTCAAGGGTAATTTCAACATATCTGCCTTTTATAGCATTTCCACAGCTTGGCATTAAATCAAAAGATATGTTGGGCTGTGCAGAATGCGTCTGGTGCACCCCTAATAGTTGACTAATAGTTGTAAACCTACCTACTGACAGTTCAATATCCATGAGTGTCCAATACAAGAATCTTTTGATGATCTGTTGCTAAGTGTGTTTCGACTAAAGGGAGGGGCTGGACGTCAACACTATGGCTCCACCACCTGCTGCACAGACTCTGGCTCCAAACCAGCAGTATGTCAGCACCCATCATGGGGGATGTTTTGGTTTCACTCACATTTATCAGGCTGAGGGGGAGATGTCATCCATCTCTGTATACTGTCAACAGCTAAATGAATTCCCCTCATAAAATGTCACATAAAAACTGTTGTATTCATTCATTATGAACTTTAAAAAGTCCTCCATGTTTCTTGTTCCTGTCCGGCACCACTGCTAAACATTCACCCAGTGTTTCCGCATCCATCCATCACCTGTGCAGGTCTGACGACTACAATGAACATTCAGTCTGCCATCAACAAAGAGGTCTTCATCCCTCGTGATGAGCGGCTGCTGGTGGCGGTGGAGGTGCAGAGGAGGAGGAGGAAGAGGATGTCCTTCCTCCCTGCTGGAGCCAAAGCAGAATACAAAACATTCATCTGTTTATCAGGTTCGCTTTTACGCTGTATTCATCACAATACACAGACGCAGGCTGAGTGTATATTACTGACACCTGACACTGTAAGAGAAAGAAGCCTATAAATCAGTGACAGAGACTCTCGTTGGCTCTATATCTCATCATGCAGCACGCCTCGGCTGTTACTGTTTTACTTTTAATGTGCTTACACTGACGTCTTTAATGTGGACTGGACAGAGTGTACGTTGTGTTTTCATCTTCCATAGTTGGTACAGAGATCCCAATTAATGTATTTATTTAATCAATATTGTATTACCGTCAAGTCTTTTTGTCTGCTCCTCTGCAAGCTGAACTAACTCCTAAAATAGTCAGAGAACTGCTAAAACATCCATCCTCAAAGTGATTGATTTGAATCTGACACCACATTTTATATCACCTAACTGATTTGATTTTTATTGATGAGAAATTTTAGTTCTTGTGATGATCTAATCAATCATAAATTTGCACATTTCTTCAGACCTGTCCCAAACTTGATATCTCATCTTATATATTACAGTATGTTGCATTTAATGTCTTTATTCAGTGACCAAAAAGCGGCCACATCAGCTCCTCATCACAAAGGTGAAGCAGTTTGAAGGCTCGTCCGCCTTCACCAGCAGATCCCAGTGGACAGTGGAGCAGCTCCGCCAGGTCAACGGCATCAATCCCAACAAGGTTAGCAACATCCAGACTCCCTGATCTCATCCACAAAGCTCTATCAGCAGATTAGTGTAGTCTTACTAAGACTTGTATGATATTAAATGTAAGGTATGAGTCAACTTATATGATCCTTTGATTGTTCAATGCTTTCCCAACAATGGTAGTCAAACACTGACAGGTTATTACATCCCCTCTGGCAACTGCCCACAACAAGTTCCAGAGAACTTGTTGTGGGCACTTTAATGGTATTCATTGGCGTCTTTAATTTTCACATTGATAATATAGTTACCATTATTTGTTGGTTTTGGGAAACGTTTTACTGCATATACAGTACATAAAGAAAAACATCATGTTGTGGGTTGAAATCCAAGTCAATCCTGACTTTTTTCATTGTACAGACACAAACCCTGACGCTTTTTTGTGTTGTTGTGTTCCTCTTGGCATCTAAAAATGTCGATATTGGAGTTTCTTAAATTCTGGTAAAGGTTCCTTTTGCACCAGTTTAAAGAGACTATTTTTGAACCTACCAGCTTGTTTGTTGGTGTCATATCTTCTAAGAGCAATGTCCAACTTTTAGGGTTTCTGCTGTATTCAGGGATTTATCGTAAAGGACATCCTGCCATGACCTTCTCTGGGGCCATTCTTCCTATATTCAAGTACAGTCATAGTGCCATAGATCTGCTCAGAGGTCGACCTTGATCATGTCAAGGCAAGATATCAAACATTGCTAAACCACCTAGGTACATCTTTTGATGGATGCAGATCCTCTTAAAATTGTGTAAAATTTAAAGATTAAATTGTGTTTTGGTTTTTTCATCAGACCTGATGCATGTGTGGAGTTTGGGAAGCTTCATCCTCCAATTATGAAGGTTATTGTAGACACAACAGTTCTTGGCATCACTATTGGACCTCTGCACTGTTTGAGAAGAAGTTATTTGATGTGTAGTTTATGGACTTCATTCCCCTTGCTGTTTCAGGACAGTCCAGAGTTTGACCTGGTCTTTGATAACACAGAGGACCAATGGGTGGCCAGCTCTTCTGCAGAGAAGTGTATCTTTGTTCAAATCCTGTACCACGCCTGTCAAACCTACTGGGAAGGGAAAGCAGGGAGTCTGGGGAAGGTTGGGAAATCAAGTAAGGTGAGCCGCCAAGGGAAACCAGGTCAAAGTCCTCAGCAAGGTGTCGTAGCTGGACCCAGTGTGTCCCCACCTAGACCTGCATCCAGAACCCTGCAGGCCCGACGCAAGAGCTACGTCCCCCCCAAACAGACCGAGTTCATCAACTGCCAGTCCAAACTCACAGGAGGTTCAGTCACATTATCAAAGCATGTTGAGGTTATCCTGGAAAGATCCCGCATCTGATGTGTTGTCTGTGATCTTGCAGATGCCTGCACCATGAACCTGGTCATCTACCGCTGCAAAGCCTTCCTGAACCGCATGAAGACCAGGATGGTGTCCAACCAAAGTCGCCCAGGTGGAGGTAGGAATCTGACCTAAACTTCATCTGTCTATCCAGTGATCTTATTACTTTACTACACTTCACAAGAGCTGCTTACCGTGTATAAACAGATGTGCGATGACTCCTGTGGGTTCAACAGTTTGCTGTGGTTGACAAAATGGAGATGATGCTCGAAGAGTATCTGTGCTTGAAGACTGGATATCAGAAAGCATGCTTTAATTATAAATGGGAATCATGAAGATGTGTGTTTACCAGGCAGAGAGACTTAAATGAGCCTAATTGAGTGATGCATGCTGGGAAATGTAGGAAGAGTAGTATTCATTGTGACATGACCTGACTCAGGTGGTCACAACAAAAAGTAGGAAGACACACACCATGTATCAACTCCCAAACATCTCTTTATTAATTCAAATTGAACCAAATTAGAATATTTAAGATATGAGGTGTGTGAATCAGTAAAATCAGTATTGTGTAAGGTGTGCAGGAGTGGAAAGTAGGTGTATGTGTGTGAGGGTGTTGTAAAGAGCAAACATAAACTACAACTAAACCAAACCAAACCAAACCAAAACAAGTCAAAACAAGCAAAGACAAGCCAAACAAAATAAAGCCAAACCAATCTAAGTCAAGTCAAACCAAGTACTTGTAAAGGCAGTCAGAAGAAACAAAAGAGGGCCTTGCAAGTAACTGTGGGAGCTTAAATACTCCCAGCACCCAGGTGTGCATAGTTGCTCTGATTAGGGTGCAGAGAGAAGCCAACCAGACACACACCTCCCACAGCAGCATGACCCTATCGGGGCATCACAGTTGCTAAAGGAGTCCCATGAGCACATGACACACAAGGTCAGAAAGATTTTGCATCTGTTGCTTCAATTCTGAGTTTTTTTTTTTTTTAACCATGTCACTAAAATTGAGGGAAGAATGAGGAGAAGGAAGTCTGGATATTGATAAAAGTTCCCAGGAAATTATCTCGTTTTAAAATCATTTAAGGATCAAAAAAGGAAGCAGTGGTTTCATTTAATTCGCATCAATCAATGAGTCATTTATTATCACTTCATAGTAAATGTTACCTGAGGTCCCTTTTCCATAAAGACCAGACATTTATCTGATTTGGACGAGAAAAACTTCCTTTAACAGGCTGAAGCCTCGATCAGAGCTAGACTTTTTAATGAACACATATCTGCTGAGACTTTTTGTTAAAACAGGAAACTGTGAGCTTTTCACCTGCTCTCTCTCTTTCATTTGTGCATCCTCCTGTTAGTTCAGGTCCTATCACTCAGATTTTGTGTCTCTGGGTGGTTTTCTCTTCAGTCTGCGTCTCTATTTGTCCATTGTGTCTCCGATCGGCAGCAGAAAGGCGTCTCTGTGAGCGGCGGGTAGATCAGAAGACACTTTGTGTGTTTTCGGGGAGGACGGTACAATAGTGGGTCTTTTGGAGGGCTGCGGCTGTGAGCGGCTCCCATTGAACCCTCTAACTGGCTGTAATGATGGGAGACGTGCCAGCTGCAACGCGGCACCGAGTCACAGGTCAACAGAGTGTTTAACCTCAGACGACCTGTGAGTCTGTAAAGATTGTACAGAGAGGTGCTGCAGAAAACTGGTCTGCACAGGTCAGAGGTCAAGGCCTCTGTTCAGAGTCACACTCGATTGAATGAGAAGTTCAGCTATTGAAGATAGAGATCTCACTTGTATTTTTTATTTTAGCAGAAATAGAGTCAGAATTGGGTGGTGGGTGGTTTGAAACAGTCTGAAAAATTGACTTTGTCAGGGCCAGCTACTTTCTTCTTAGCAGGGGCTGGAAAACACGATTCTAGTTGTAATCTTGAGGCCTCACCACTAGATGGCGATAACACCAAACTTATACACACTGCTCCTTTTAATGTGCTTTTTTTGTCTATGTCTTAATTATTTTTGGCCCAAACAGGCAGACATTTTGGGGTCTAAAATAAAGCAGACAGACTGAGAAAAAAGTTTGTTTCTGTATCATCAGTGACATGTGTACTCTCGTCCTCTGTGTGTTTGTACTGCATGTCTGTGTAAACTGTTGTCTTGTTCGGGTTCCATCTTTAACCTTCCTCCTGTGTTAGCTTTCACTACGCACCCACTATGTTAAGGGTCAGTTTTGACCTGTGTCTTAAATCAGCTGTAAATTACACTAAAAACAATTCTCTATCATCCAATTTGGTTCTCATCTCTAAGTTTCCTTGTTAGGCTTCATTATCCATTAAAATATTGCCTACAATATTTTTTGTAGTGGGCCTCTGGGCCTTTCTTTGTCATATACTGAATTGATCTCACATGTCTGGACTCTGGACATGTCTGACGTTGTTTTTTGTGCTGGGTAAAACATGGCAAAATGAGAATTTCCTAAATCTCACATGATTGGAAGACGATCTGACTGTCAGTGTGATGCCTGTCAGTGCACTTATGATTTCAGTTTTTGCTCTAATTATTAGATATTGATCTAACCTGGTCAACAGCGACCATAACATGACAAATGCCATAATTTTAAAAAGAGAATTTTATAATTAAGTCAATTTAATTTTTTTGTTTTTATTTTGTTGAAATAGAGGTTTCTGACAAAGTCAAAAAGTCTTGATGCAAAAAAGCTCATCAAAGTGGTTCTTTTATGCATGTAAAAACAAAAACGGGTCTGTGTCAGTGATATTTTGTATTGGAACTCTAATTTAACAAATTCAGTTTTTACCAACATTTTACAAACCCTGTTTTTTCCATTCATTGGTCAATTTACTCCCTGCAATGCTCTCTGTTCCTGTGTGTGCATGAACAGGTGGGTCAGGGAGCACCATGGCTAGTGTAGTTCAGAGGATGAACGTGGCTCTGGGTGAGCGAGGAGAAAGACTGAGTCGAGCTGAAGATAAAACTGTGGATCTGCTGCAGCGAGCCCAGCAGTTTGCAGACACTGCACACAAGGTGAGAACTACAGCGGTATTGTGTAATCATATTAAACATTTATTTGACAAACTTAATGTTGAAACTGTGGAGAGAAACAAATCTGGGTTTGGTTTTATCTCTCCTGCAGCTGGCTCTGAAGTATTCAAAGTAAAGGAGAAGGTCCTTCAGGACCCTTTAACATGGACTCTGTCAGGTCTAATCCAGTCCAGACCCCCACATCAAATCTACCTGAAGAAACAGAAGAGGACTGAGCATTAAGACTGTCATCACTAAAAACTAAACTCTCTAATGTTTGTCCTGATGAAGACACACCTGTCCCTCACTTTTTCCTCCTGTCACATGACAGTAAGCTGGACAAACTGATCTAAGATGCAGCTAGTAAACCTTTTCTGTAATTACCTACGAATATTTTAATCGATTAATTTCTTGACTTTTTAATTTATAAAGTAAATGCAGACTTTCTGTAATGTGAACCAAAGTTATTACTGAGCATTTATCACATTAACTGATCTGAGATCTGTGTGAGAGGTTATATTGCTCAGAGTCGGAGTTGGGTTCACTAAATGTTTGATTTGACTTCATTCTTGTTCTTGAGTTTATCTGTCTGTCCATGTGCTGAATGATCAGCGCAGCCTGTCTCCTTTATGTTTGCGTTGTTGTCCTCTGTCCATAATATTGTGTCTTCAGTTCTGTGTCTCTTTGCTGGTTGTCTCGTCTTTGTCTCTCCTGATCAGCGACCCTGAACTCCAGGACTGTTTTTCTCTGAGATTATTCCTCAGGCAGCTGAGAGAGTGAAGCTGATCTGTGTCACTAAGTAAGGCTCATTGTGAGACTTTGTGTCAAAGTTTGTGAGCAAACATGAACAGTGGGGATACTTTACCTCACGTTCATATTTAATCCAGTTTAAACCTCATCATTCATCAGTGAATAAATACTCACTAAACTCTGTCTGTATGTTTTTGTGTTTGGCTGCAGGTGATGCAGTAACACAGTGACGTGCTTTGAGCCTGTCTGCCAATAAATCTGATCTGTATACTGATCTGTGCTGTGTTTATTTAACACTACTGCTCAGAATGTGGACCAGAAAAAAACATCCCACTACACAGATGTAATGTGATATTTGATAAAGATGTGTTTTAACAGACTTCAGGATCAAGATAACATAATTAAATGAATAAAAAATAAGTATGGCTTATTTTTCTAATGAGTGTAAATGTTTTACAATTAAATATATTCTAAAAAATATTTAAATAAATGTAATTTTATTTAATTTACATTGTTTTGGTAGGTATGATCCTGGCTTTGTGTTTACTTTGATATCTATCTATCATTATTATTATTATTATTATTATTATTATTATTATTATTATTATTATTATTATTATTATTATTATTATTATTATTATATATTAAAATTATTAACATTATTATCATTATTGTTTTTATTATTATTATTATTATTATTATAATTATTATTATTATTATTATTATTATTATTATTATCATTATTATTATTATTTTTATTATTGTCATTGCTGTTATTATTATTATTATTGTTATTATTATCATTGTTATCATCATCATTATTATTATTATCATTGACATGGTATTTTTATTATCATTATTATTATTATTAACATGTATCCTCTTTCAAACGCCTATGTGCAAAGCTAGCTAAAGCTAAAAACCTTCATACTATGGATACTGCTCTTTTCCTCTGTACAGGGAGATCTATTCTTTATGCAACTTTGTCAAATCATCTCCAAATTTACAGCATATCCTATCAGGAGACATGAAGGTGGTGAAGATAGGAGGTGACACTGGGGTGTTGTGGTGAACAGTAGTGACTGTGGTGAGGATTAAGGACAGATGTTTCTATCATCTGATAATGAAAGTGGGACAGTAGAGAGTGTTTTTCACTTTGAGGTTGATGTTGTTCTATATTTAGCAAATAAAAAAATCACACTCAAATCTGTTAAACACACATCAGGAGCTCTGTGAGGATCAGAACAACAACCAGGAGACTGTGGAGACACATTTGACTCCACGCAGGACCCACACAGGATCAGAGGTTATTTATTTAAATGGGACATGATCCACACAGAGGACAAGTTTCATACAGAGGACATTGTTCACATAAAGGTTTTCATGGAGGACGTCTTAATACAAAGACCATGTCTCAAAGATTGTACATAAGAGGACACATTATTTAAAGTCACAAAGACCATTTTGACTTCAGATGTTCAGGATGTGATTTTACTGTGGATATGTTTTAGTGCAGCAGACTTTTACCCTGAAGAGGACAAGGTTTCACCGCTGCCTTTAAAATAACTTCTGTGTCACAATGTTTCTTTCCCCTTCACAATTACGGGATTCCCTGGTCAGCTGTCAACTTTCACAGTTTTATGTTGTCTTCTACTACTTTTAACTAAAAACAGAGTTTTAATATTTGCAAACCACCAGATTCTTTTTTTTTTTTGTAAACATTTAACACAGACTCCCATCTTTTTTCTCAACAATGGTTGTGTAAAACACTCCTTTTATTCTGTATGTCAGTCACACCTGGACCTGTTTGATGATCTGTGAGCACACTCAGGGACAGAGAGCATCTCCAACCTGTAAAGGAGTGATGGGTCATGGACAGGTTGAGTCACGCAGAGAGATAAATAGTTCCATGTGGACTGAAGGTCAGAGTTTGAGCTTCATCAGCTGCAGAGGATAAATCTCCTCCTCATCATACAGAGCTGCAGCTCAGAGTGTGGAGGGTAAAAACATCATTTATATGTTTGGACTGTCAAAGTGTGCACAGGGAGCACATATAAACCCCACACAAGAAGAGCCATGTCCAACCAAAACTTTGTTCAGACAAGAAACTGTGACTTCACCTCACTTTACCACTTATTCAATTGTTGTCTCTGACCTTTATCTACATTTTAGTTTTGATTTTGTTTAAGCTGGACGGGTATATTTGTTGACTTGTCCTCCTCTACATTCATCTCTATCCTTGAGAAGATTCTTAAAATCTATAAAAAGATCAATAACACCTGATCATTTGTAACGTCAGGAAGAAATCAACAAAAATGAGGTCAGAGCGAGAATTATAATAATAGTACACATTAATTTTTCTGGAAACACACACACACACAGACACAGACACACACAGCTCTGTTATCAGTAGGAGGTTCAGAGTAATGATTCAGGATCACAGCACAGATATAAATAGACTGAGAGGAAGTCATTCTGACACATGATGCTGTGTGTGTTTGTGTGTTTGTGTGTGTACACCATGATCACGTCTGCAGCACACGACCTGGTATTTTATGTTTTTCAGAATTACAGCAACTTTTAAAGCTCTTGTCTACTTCTATCTGTCTTAAATGACATTGTAATGATATATTTGTTTGCCTGTGTTGTTCTTTTGTGTTATTTAGGATCTGTCTACTAGATTACACAGCAGTGATTTATGTTTGACCACCTAAAGCCACAGTGAGTGTCGTTAGTTTCTGGTGTCATTATTATGGGGGGTCCTGGGTCTAAACAACATGAAGGTTCTGATTCAGTTACCTTTTTATTTGTCATCTTTATATGGATCATAAAAATGACAAATGATTGTGTTTCACAAATGCACCTCTCAGTAATTTTATAAACTATAAAAATGTCTGATGATAAAATGAAATAAGATTTTTTTATCATTTAAAATGATAGGATTAGAGAGGGATTATGTATGAGAGGTAGGTAATTATGTGGAATAGAGCTCTGACAAACATAATCCCATTCATTACACAGCTACCACTCAAAGACACAGATTCACTGACACCTATTATTTGTTTAAAATGGGATTTTATTGATTTAAAATCAATCAATTTATCTAGCCAATAAGAGAAATGTCCCTCTGGTTTGATGTCTGGCAGCACTTACATGGTAATCCAGTCTTACTCAGTTGCAGGTTGAATTACCATCAAATTTCGTATTTTCATTCATGGTAATGTCAATACATTAGCATCTTTCTGACATTTTTAACAGATGAAGCAAATAACAGCAGGTTGTCATTCCTTTCTTTTCATAGTTTTTTTTTTTTTACAAAACTAGTCTTGTTACAGTGCCAAAGCTTTAAAATGTGTTGTAGTTTGTGCCTGTTTTCTTTCATTTGTTAGATGACTAAGCTCCTTACCATTCTGACCATTCCTCTGTGGTTTCTGCTCGGTTTTCCTCCTTCATCTCACATCTCCATTAGCCACCACACTGAAGTTTCCTGCTCTCCAAATACGTTGTGGAGAGCATTAAATATATCCTAGATTATTTTTAATGCTGCTATCTGAAAGTAATAATTTTGTAAGGTTATCAACAGGAGGGTGATATTATAAACTCTGGATGTCTAGACTCGATTTTGCTATTCAGATTTCATTCTGTCGAGGGGTTTTGATTAGTCATAATCCAACATTACACATATCTGGTGATTGGTAAGAAAGGCGGGTAACAAACCGATTAAAACAAATCAAAATCACACTGATGAAGATGGTCTTGTGATATTTCTTTCAGAGCCTTTGCATTCAGAGGAGCAGTATGAGAGAGAGCAGAGCTGCTGTTTGAAACACACTGATGATGAGCTTCAGCATTCAGAGGAAGAATAACAACATCCTGCTGTTACAGCTGCCAGAAATAGACGCTCAGCATGTACGCTCACACACAGAGACACACAAATACACACATCAGCATCACCGCACTGAGGAGGTGATGCTGAGATCAGCACCTGAGAGATGGAGATGATTATATAGATGTAACAATATCAAAATCTCACAAAATGATAATAAGATAGCAAGCGGAAACCATGGCAACCCTGAATAGAAAAATGTGGTTTTATAACTGGTAAGAACAAGACAACATTTCACTCTCTAAACTCCAGCAACTGGTTTTCTCTGGTCTCAAACATTTACTGAGCAGTATAGAAAGAAGAGTTGAGTCAACACAATGATAAACAAACCCGGACAACAACGGTTTCTTTTTTTAAATATTGACATTTAAAGTTTTAGTTCAATGCAAATCTTACATAATTTCCAAAACAACCAAGTCTGTCTTTTCTTGGAGTTTGTGCACACCATCCTGCTGTAGTTTCCAGCTGCTTCTACTACACACATCAATCTCACCTCTGTCTTTCTCTCCCTTCCTTCATCCCCTTCTATCACAACTTAATATTCGGTGATAAACCATTGGATTTCTTAATCTTTTACTCTGCTCTGAACAAGAGACACTATAAACACTCACTATAATCTTTCCTCTTGAACCTTTTCAGGGCAACACTGTGCAAACTAGTTTCTCATATTACTGGAGTACCCTGGTATGTATGTTGGAGTCAGATTTTTTTTCACTTTTTACGGTGGATTGGTCGCTCTAGTGTTTTATTTTTTTATACAGTCAAGTTGGTTTACTTTAGAGTTTTGTGTTATCATTTTTTTTTTGCAGTGGAGTCTGTTTATCTGTGTTTTTCTTATCAGTGGAATCTTATTTAATTTTTTTTTTTTTTGGTAGAGTCAAGTTCAGTGAATTTTTTAAAATCTAATTTTCTTGTTTTTTTTTTGTTTGTTTTTTTTTTCTTGTTTTTTTTGTTTTTTTTTTACAGCCGGGGGTCTGGATAGTTGAATCCTGTGGCCTAGTTCACCTGAAAACAATGAGACAGACAGACAGCTGTTAATCTGATAATCCACACATGCTGCTGTGCTGCAGGATGATTAAAGAGGATGGACACAATTCTGCTGTAAATAAAAAGTCCAAAATATTCCCTGATGGTCCACAGAGGGAGCAGATGTGACAGGGACTCAGCCTGTTGGAGTCAGGCTTTTAGACTGTCCGTGAAAGCCGACAGCAGGAACATGGTGAACTACATCTGTGAAACCACAGATCCCAACCTGCTCTGAGTGGAAGATACACCACGAACATAATGTAGGTCAGCAGCATGCATAAAAAGATCATTCCACTCAAATTTAAAAAGAAAAATGGCACAAATAAAAATCTGTTTCTAAATGTAAGCTTTGAAGACATGTCTCTGCAGCCTGTGGACATGTCTTCAGCATGTGATGTCTGCACAGTATGAAGCCTGAGGAAGCCTGGGACAGCTGAGGCTCAGTTTAGGACCTAAAGCTGATTCTATCTTTGTGCTCCTATATTGAAGACAAATCTATCCTAAAGCGATACAGAGCTGTGAAAGTGAACGTGTTTTCATCCTTTGACACCGACTGTTTTGATGCAGTAAATATCAACCAGGAGGCAACCCATTAGTAAAAAGCATGTCGGCATCTGCCAGACAACAGTGGTCCACTTAAATCGCCTTATTAAACTATAACTTGAGCTCTATCTCAGGGACACCAACTACCCGCACTCTGGTTAAAGGGATATCCCGGCGTAAAATTAACTTATGGTCATACACACCGTAACACCGAGTTAGACACCCCGTCTAGAGATTAATGTTGCCGACCGCTTGCTTCTCTAGTTATACTAACTTTAGTAACGACCACAGATAGCGACACACGTCATGTCACCGTCACCCCTCCCACCTCCCTGTTATCAGTTATCGTTTGACACCCCCACCATTAGTCTGGTAGTCAGCTTTGGACTCATGACCCTGCCTTGACCCTCCAGTAAATCTCAAATAAATTACATTTTATTCTGTATACAGTGTAAAAAAAAAAATGAGTTGGTCAAACAGCGTTTTGGTTGGTAGAGGAGGATAAACTTAGTCTCCGCCTCCCAAGAGAGGTGTTCTGATTTAGATCAAATTGTAGATCCTTCTCTCAGTCCAAATAAACCAAATCCTGCTGGTAAAAAAAGTAAACTCTTACAGGATAAACAGACAGATTAAAGTTAAAAATAAAAAGAGTTTGAGGATGATCGACCCTGCGGAGTCATACTTTGATACTTTGGGCCACTGACACCAAACAGTTTAGTATGAGGGGTTTGGGGAAGGTAATATGCATGTGTAAATAACAGCATTGTTTTAAGACCCTAGTATTGCCAGAATACACAGTGATAGAGAAGGTGCTGTTTTCAAAAGTTCACATTTCTCCGTTAAATAACTGCCAACAGTAATTTACCGTTTTCTATTTAATATGTAAACCATTTAAACAGACGGTGTGTGTGTGTGTACAGAGTGGGGTTGTCACGGTCTGCTTACTGTGTTTAACATTAATTCCTCAAAAGAAAGACTTTCAGTGAATTACAGAGTCACATGATGACAGGATTATGAGCTCTGATATCAGCAGAATTAACATGAAGCTTTGTTCTCTGATACTCCGTTAAGCCCCGGGGTTAAAAATTTCAACTGCTTTTTATCTGTTTCATGAAACACTTTGTGCTTGTTACTGGTTTAGATGCCTCATTTGACTCCACACTGACCTAAAAGAGACGATGGCGGTGGAGGTGGTTGGTCAATTTCATGTTGTGCACTTTTAATCTTAATGTTATCTCAGGTTTTAGTGTTACAGCGATTTATATACAGATGTCAAAACAGGGGGAGCTGTCTTCTTTGACAGCTTGTGAGCCTGCTGTGATGGTTTTTTTCTTTCTTTAAAGAGAGAAAATATGTTTATAAAAATATCTGTATTCATGTGAACTAGGTCTGAGTCTGGTTTTATCCTGCAGAGACTGTAGGTGACTTGATTGCAGGTTGGCAGCAGGTGTGCAGGCTTGATTGGCAGCAAGGTGTGTGGATCCAAATCAAGACGAACACTGGAGACAAACCAGAACTTACAAACACACACACAAAAAATGAGAAACAGGAAGATGAAGGAGAGGATATGAAAATCCTTACGCCTACATTTTTAATTTCTGATGAAGTTAAGAGAAAATTAAATGTTTTTATCATGCTTGGCAGTCACTTGTGAAAGAGGGGAAAAAACAGCACCAGCTCACTCTGAGAGCTCAGTGTCTACCTGCAGTTCTGGTGAAGATGAATGATGAAGACCTCAAAGGCTCCTCCTCCTCCAGGATCCTGAGGACGTGTGAAGATATGATTAAAACTGTGCCGTCATTCTCCTCACTGCAGTAAAGGCTACTGTGTGACGCTCAGTAAAACCAGTCCCTCCTGTGTTGCTGTCATGGACTCACACACTCATATACCTCCATAAATCAATGAAATGATGTGACCCTGAAGGCCACACCAAGTTATTTAAAGCTCCTGTGAGGGACTCTTGGTTTGTATTGATTTTGGTGCCACAGAGTAGAACCTCTAATCTGAAACGACACCAAATGGATGCTTGTTTGAGTGTCAAAGTTGAGCAAGATATATGTGTGTTTCCATCCAAACTCAAATTTTTGGGGCTTGAAAATGAAATGAATCAAATTAGCGATAGGGATTAAAGCTTAGGAGGCTCTGACAGAATTTAGGAGCAGTACTAGATCATGTTTTTGACCATTAGATTAAAAAAGGATCAGTTTGTTCCCATGCACAATTAAGCAGAGCTGCAGTGATTGCTCAGTCTGATGTCCTTGTCTTAGTTTACAAGTACTGAGCAAGAATCAATTTATTGACATGAGGATTTCCACCTCAACTATGCTGGCTGTCAGAGTGCCCTTCTTTACCTTGGGCCATCTCCCTGTCGATTATTTTATCACATACCAATCGACAAACAAGTTAGAGAGAGGTTAACTGGTCAAACTGTGAAAACGGGGACAACTCAACAGCTCTTCTAGGTCAAAGCCTTGGGAAGTTGCATATTCCTAATGGTGTTTTCAAGGTATGTTGGTCCAACGATGAGAATCTCAACCAATGTTCAGTTGTCTGTTTACATCACCACCGTTATGTGCTTTGTGTTAAACTGATTGATTTTGTATGCAACTGTTGCTAAGTGTTTTTTTTTTCTTTGTTAAACAGGTTTGAATTTCTTCAAAGCAGATCTGTTCAAATTTATGCTCATGTTTAATGCAAATGTGTGAAGATATCTGTATATAGAGAGAAAGTAATCATAGTTAGATTACTGTTGATGGGAGCCTGGATGTCATTATTGTGGATTGGGTTCTGCTCCCCATACAGATACAGATGATTGGTCAATGATACTAGGCCAACAAACAGAGTACAACATTACTACAAACAGGGACCAGAACACTAGGGTGACCATATTTTGACTTCCCAAAAAGAGGACACTACTAAGCAAGGGTGAAGTTGATTTAAAGAGTTTTTTGGGTCGGATCAAGTGTGTTTTACATGCTTCTAACTCAGTAAGTCCACTTGACACAAACTCAAAACTTTTGAAGGATTGACATTTGAAGGATTTTATAAACATCCCCAGACAAACCTGGACAACCTGGACAGCCCCCCAGAAAGAGGACATGTCTAGGTAAAAGAGGATGAATGGTCAGCCTACAGAACACTTTCTACGCTGAAAATTGGGAACCTTGAGTACAGACTCTACATTTTTTCATCTGCAAATAAAGATTAAACATCTCCAAACACTCTCTACAGTTCCACATGTGGATCTATCTACTCACTAAAAATGAACCAAAAGCAAGCTTTCCCTTTTTTTGATGATGATTTGTCAAAAAGCAGCGCTCTGTGTTTTTAACCACGTATTAAAAATTTAGCTATGTTCAGGATTCACTGCTTTAGTCTGATGCTGTGAACCCAGAGCAGCAGAAAGAAAGTTTGAGGTGAACACAATAAGTTAATTCAGAGAATTAAATCACACAAAATATCCACATGGCTCCATTTTTATTACAGATTTTCATTCTTGAGACTCTTGAATCTTTAGCACCAACAGCAGAAAAACTCCAAATGTTCAGTTCAAATAACAATAATGCTTTACATTTGATTTGTTTATAAATACTTCACTTAATTTAAAAAGATATTGAAATACTGCAAAAGTGGAGTATATGCTGACAATCTAACATTTTCTAATAACACTTTACAAAGGTTACATTATAGATATATTTGTACATGTTTGGCACTTATTACTCGTACAAAAGGACAAATTAAAAGTGTCTTTACGTGTTACAAATAGAATAAAAAAAAGTGTCAGCCAAGTAGAAGGACTGGTGGTCAGGTTTAAGGTCAGTGGTGTGAGCTCAGGCAACACAACATTTAATTCAAAACAAACGAAACACACAAAAACATTAAAATAAACTCTCAGTGTGATGTTTAGAGAGATACATCTGTCATTTGTGTTTGTGGTTTCACTTATCAAGGGCCTGTGTCCATTTGCGATGTTTGTATAATTTCCTTTTTTTTTTTTTTCAGAACAAAAAAATGCAGTTGAGTCTGTTCGGCACTGAGCATCCTAAAAGCCAAAAAATGGTTCATTGGTGTCACTTCTTCCTGACTGAGCAATAAAAATCAAGACTGGTTAACTTTTCAATTTCTATCTTTGTCTACAGCACTGGAAAGACAGTTTAGTTTTTTAGGGGTCACTTAAAAACCTGATCTTTTCAGACCAGACTAAAAGAGGTCAGAGTAGGCGCAATGGATGGGCTAATCTTTCCAGACAAATCTCAGATCAGACTACGCCGAGTTTGAGATAAACTCAGACATCCAGAAAAGCGCTTGTACTGCCTGGTAATTCTCTCCCAGTCTTCCCCTTCATTGGTTTATCTCATGCACCCTGACTTTATTTTATTTGTGAGTAGGCATAGGCCCTTATATGAGACATCACTCAGAGCATCTCACAGATATAATATATCACATATTAAGTCCCACCTCATACACATTAAAAGTATAGATACCTCAGTCTGGTGTTGTTTGTTTTTAGTTTGGTCTCTTCTGATTCAAAGAGCAACAAGCCCATCTATAACAATAACCTGAGTTTACTCCACAACATAAACCTACCAACAAAAAAAAACCTAGAGTTATAACTCTGAATCTGCACGCTCTGTTTCATGCTTGTACGCAGCAATCAGTTAAAAAAAAATTAGGAATTTGTGTGCAAATATTTTGTATAGAATAAAGCTGCTTAGAATCAGTATCAGTGTCTGTTTGAGGAGCAAAAATTTGTAAAAAAAGACTTTTTACCTTGACAACAAAACATTAACCTGCTGGTTCTCTTTAGATTGAACATAACAACATAAATCAGTCTCACTGTAAATTTCTCAAGTAGTATCTCGCTGGCTTTGGGCTAATTACATAAAGTCTCGGTTGAAAATATAGGGCCCTACTTTATGCCTGGAGCTACATGTTTTGCGTGCAGCACAAGGATTATTGTTATTCTCTACCTTGTCCTAAAGCAAGGTGGCACCTTGCTCTTGAGGACACACAAAGCATCCGCAGGATAATAAGACAGTATGAGTCTCACATGGTGTATTTCTTTGCCTTTACATTGTCAGGTTCTACATTGTGTGCTCTCAATTACATAAAGATAATTAAGAAATTTACACCACTGTGCTTCATGCATGATTTTTACATGCCTCTATCAATTTGGAAAGTCACTTCTGCTTTTTGGAGGAATGCTTTAGTTAAATTAAACATAAATAAATGCACTGACACAACTCAAACTGTGGACTGTGTGTATTTGCTTCACTTTTGGAGGCACGTTAGATGGAGGAAGGTTAAATATGCCACTTCAGACCAGTTCATTTGTCTGAAATTCTCTCTGTAAATGGTAACACGCCTGCCTGCAGATGCACCTGACTCTCAAAGAGAATAAGAGCAGACATACTGATTGGCTTGATTCATGGTGTTCTCAACCTGAGCCTATGTATAGTCAAGAGACTTAATCCAATCCTGTCCGGATTGTGTTACTTGCAAAACAGTCTGACCAGCCCTGAATCACTTTGAACCGTGCACTGTAGACTGAACATTTTAGATCCTAAAGGGAAATTTAAGGCAGAAGGTTCTTATTATATGTTTCCATGTTGACAGACATTTGAACTGAAACTGGAAATATGTGAAAATTATGTTCAATAAGGCATACAGCCCATGAAAGGCCAAAAATACAAAGCTGCAGGTTTTTTTTAAGGTCGGTGAAGATGCATGATTTTATACACGCAAAGCCAATGTAGAGCAGTCTAACCCTACAGTAAACTCTGCTCACCTCTGCCCCCATCAGATATGTACAGGTCTCTGAGGGCTGCATTCTGGGGAAAGTGGATCCGGCGTGTTTGTATCTTGGTCAATGTGAAGGACGAACAGTGAGCAGGAATCTGATTCAGTGTCAGCAGTTTGCTTCATCACTGTCTGAACAATTACAGACTTTTTCTCAGTTTCAAAATACAAAAAATGTATAAATAATTTGCTCTGGTGGCAGTTTCCCCTTATATTAAAGTTAGGGTGTAGTTCACAAAAACAACTGTGTAGCTTCTGTGGTATATTTGTCAGCTTTGTCACATTCAAAGCCTTCAGTCAACAAGACAATTCAATTTAACCTCTGGATGACCAAAGAAATAATATATCTACATAAAGACTGTTATTATAGGAATTATTTTGTATGAATCGGCTGGGGTCTGTCTGTAGCTCCGCCCTTGCGCCTAAAGATAAAAATATAGTCATCATCTTTGTCAAGTGTTCAGAGAGTCACCACGAGAAACCTCTGTCTGAGTCAAATATTATTTGACTCATTTTCAGTTTCACACATTTACCTTAAGAGTTAGTTCAGGCAGGCCAAAAAGTTCAGCTCAGCACACATCAGCTGATAGCTTAGCCGTTTACCTTCAACATATCTTACGAGGAAACATCAGTTTAACCTTTTCACATTCACTCCTTCCTCCACAAGCTGCTGTAAACCCCCCTCCTCTCTGGCTTCTGCTTTTCATGATGTGATTTTACAAGGGTATGTATCGTCACTGGTGTTTGCTCTGTTCTGTTCCTGCTGCTCCCCCTGTCTAAGTTTTCTGTGTATGCTCATGAAACAAGAGAGCATTGTATTTTCCCCACCTCAGGCTTTGCGTTTCACGAACCCACGTGGAAGGGCAGGGAGCCTGAAGAACAGAGCCACACTGCCAAATATAACTTATTGTATGCAAACAATAAATCTCTTTGACAAAAAAAGGTCTTGACTGAAGTTTAGTCTGTGAAAACAAAAGATATCATCCTGAAACTTCTGATCGTCTTTGTGTGCTACAGGAATTGTTCAGACGTAAGCAGAGTCACTTGACTGCGTGCGTGCGAAGCTCGGCATGCTCATCCTGGGCAGGTCTTTGTTCCTGATCTCGTAGACGGACTTCCTGCGGGCCTGCACTCCTCTCACAGCAGTCTTGATCTTCCTCCATCCCAGGTGGTTCAGCTCAGCCAGGTTCAGGACCACACAGATCCCACTGACAGCAAACATGAAGACCAAAAACACAGTCTTCTCTGTGGGTCTGGAAACATAACACTCCACCTCTCTAATGCACGGGTACCGATCACACTCGTACACTGCTGGCACGTTAAACCCAAACAGGAAGTACTGACCCACCAGGAAACCGATCTCCAGGGCGTTCCTGAACACTACCTGGATGATGTAGAACCTGGAGATGCCCTCTTGCCGTCTCATCTTAGACTTGGTGGTCCTGATGGGGAAGCTTGGGATGTCTTTGATCTCCAGGCAGTCCGGCTCGGCCTCTTTGGTGGAGTTCTCCGTGTTCTGCAGGACTCCGTTCACGATTGTGTTTTTTATCTTCTTTTCATTCCTCTTCGGGTCCTGGTCTTTGTCCAAGGACAGGTAGGCAGTGGAGTATCGACGCTCCCTGTTCTTGGCAGACTGGTGGACGGAGTACGTGATGAAACAGAGTGAGGGACAGCACACCATGATGATCTGGAACACCCAGTACCTGATGTGGGAGATGGGAAAGGCCTGATCGTAGCAGGCCTGGTTACAGCCTGGCTGTAAGGTGTTACACACAAACATGGCCTGTTCGTCATTATACACAGTCTCCCCGACAATGGCCACTATCAGGATCCTGAAGATCACCACCACAGTCAGCAGGATCCTGATGGAACACAGAACAAACAAAATCATTATGTCACAGCCAATGTTAACTTAGCATGAACTCTCAGATGGTTTCTGCTCCTTTTGGACACACCTTAGTCTGGTTTCAAATATAGAGGACTCGTCCAGATCTGGTTTTCATAACACCTACGAGCTAAGCATACAGGTGCTGCTGAGATCAGAGGAAACTGCATTTCAAAATCCAAACTAAGTATATCAATCTCCTCAGAGGTGTGGAAATACTGGCTTAATCTTCCCACTGCGCAATACAACATGGAAATGACATCTATTTAGAAAATTTTTTTGACAATGAGGTACAAATGTGGACATCATTTCAACGTCTAAAAGAGGTCCAACAATGACGTCTAAATCTTGGATCCATTTTGCACAATGTGCCGACATCTAGATTTGGTCTTCAGATGACGTCCAAATTCTTAATGTTGGAGCAACGTCTAAAAAAGGTCCAATTTGGACGTCGAAATTTCTAACCTATTTTGCACATCGCACTGACGTCTATATGTGGTCTTTGACGGACCGACCCAATACTGACTTGATCTGCACGTCTCTTCAATGTCCGATGTTTGGTGGGTTAGACCTTGGGTCCACAAGAAGATGAAAACAACATATTGCCATTTGGTTTTGAAAAAGTTTTCTGTAAAGATGGAATTGGTTCAGGAAATATCTGCCTGAATACAAAACCACTGAAAACGACTGAAAACAATATAGTGCATATGCTAAGCCAGGAAGTGGTGCAGTAGTGCTGCCCTTGAAATGCACCAAAAGACAGAAGAAGAGTATGGAGTACGTGCATAAAGGTTTTCTGTTGTATACAGTTCAACAGTCTGTGAAGAAGACACCAGAAAAGGTTGTTTTCGCTGGTTTTAAGGGAGCATCAAATTTAGCTTTAACATCCACAACAAGCTCAGTAGCTTCTGCAACACGAACACAACCCTGTAGTCAACCATTGTTGTTTTGGCCAGACCCGCCCAGGTGCTCTAAGTTGTCAGAAACAGAACAGAAGTCTGTTGAAATAAGCGCAAAACTATTGTATTGTACTACTGTTAAAAATAAATAAATAAATAAACAGAAGGGGATACTTCTGTTAATATACTGACTATTCGGTTTTGCATTTCACAAAACAGTGATTTATACCTTTAACTTTGGTTGAATACAGTTTTCTCTGCTGTTGCCTGACACATCTGTTGGCCATGGAGAGGAGATTATTTCTGTAAGATTTTAAAAATTATAGCTCCTTTGTGACACATTTGCTCATGGTTGCTGACTTTGCAGAAATTGGTGCAACAAGGAAGGCATACTGGTATACAGTCAATTTGTTTACCTAAGTAGGCTCGTAATATCCCTTTTTTTGATAAAGTTTAAAGTTTGGCCAAGTATGGGCTCGGGTCAGGACTCAATTTTGGCAGACATTGGGTCTTTGTGAATAGATAAATGACACAAAACATGACTTTAAATGCAGTTACTTGCTTCCCCAAAAAGATAAGTGCAACTCTATGGCTTCAAACTTAATTTTTCATTTATGGCCAGTCTGCTCTCCGAACTTGTAATAGTGACAGCCGGTAGCACACGCAAGAACTTCATTGAAATAGGGTGGTCCACACCGCTTTTGCACCTGCTATCAATTGCGCACACAATCATAGTAGATTACCCACAACACACTCATGAATAGCACGTGTAATTTTTTCGTTTGCACATGCATTTAAAGCTTGTTATTTGGGATCTTATTAAGATCAGGCCCCAACTGTTCATGAAGTTGACGTCTTTATAACAGAGTGACACTTTTGATAAACCGTGTCCACCTCTTGAAGTCAAAACTTTTGAAAGAAATGTTCAGGGGAAGTCCAAAAAGTCTTTGAAAGAAGAAATTCTTGTTTAAAATTCATGTAAAAGTCACTTTTGGTGAAATCAGAAGAACTTTACAGAGATCACGGCCTCAGCTGACCTGATCTCCTTGAGAGTTTTGGAGCAGTCACAGCTAACGCCTTTTCCCCTTTAGTTGTTAGTCTATTTGTGTCACACAGAAAACCTCAGATGAAGATCTCAACATATGCCTCAGCTGGTTCAGTACAAACAGGTCTTCTGGTAATGGAGCTGAGAGAAAGTCCTGTGGTTGTGTTTGTAGAACCCCTTTGATTCTTTGCATATGAACCCTTTCTATTACCTGGGTATTTCACTGAGACCAGCAGGTGTCTGATTCATTTTAATGTCTTATTTAAATTGCAAACATACAAACTCATGAGTCCACTATCAAGATTAAGAAGCCCCAGCGTTCTCTGCTTCTTCACCTTTCTTCAACCTTCAACCTTAATGCTGAACTCTGACCTCCAGACTAAAACTCTCACCTCCGTTAAGTAGGAGAACTGCACATTTCCGTCTTACCTGCCGATCATGGTGGAGTGCTGCTGGACCGCTGCCTCCAGCAGCCGCTCCAGGATGGTCCACTCCCCCATGACTGATCATCCGGCGTGGGTCCACCTCACCAAGTAAAAACACAGAAAACTAATCCAAACGTCTGTGTGATGTGTCTGAGAGCTCCAACAGTCTCCACTCACTGCATCTCACTGTGAGTGTGAGCGCTCCTATGCTCTACAGCCTCTGCACGGTACAGAGTGTGTGCTCCTGTGTGTGTGTGTGTGTGCAGCTCAGTGATAATCCTGCTTTAAGTAGACTCTTCTGCGTCACACACAAACACACACACATATACACACAGGGAGGAGACACACAGGAACACGTCATCCATTCATCTATTTTAACTCATTCATTCACTGGAACACACTGTTATCGCTCAATCACTCCATCCATCCATCATCCATCCACTGCTGCACTCAGGAACACTTAAGCTAAAATGTAAGGAAATCCAAACATATCTGTTTCATTTAAGAAAAATGAAGGTATTACTACAGGAGAGACCCTCTATTTGGTTTCTTGTTTTCATCTTTTGTTGATGAACGTCTTGATTTATAGATTACAGACCAACACAGTGTGTTGAGGTAGTCTCACTACTATATATAAAAGGTAGGTGTGGCTACACTGATGTCAATCCTTGTTCTTTACAGTAATCCTTTTTGTTAGAGTGGGTGGACACCCATTGTTAGATCTTATTACCCAGCTGTCTTAAACTGAATGCTTGAATCTGACTGGTCAAAACCCTTAACATGGGCAAGTATTTCTAGATAGCAAAGGCCACACAATAGACAACCTAATCACACAACACATATGTTTTACCAGTCCATTTACCAGTTCTATTCGGTCGTCATGCAAAATAAAATAAACGTCTACAATCCTCAGACAAAGCCAACAGTCATGTATCAAGTACTCAACAGTCAGAGGCAGAAACAAAATGCCATGAGAAGCAGAGCCTGCATCTTATTAATTCACCTACTAGAGTGTTAATCATTAATTCTTAAAGGCTAAAAAAAAACAGCTTTGCTAACCTTTTTTGAAAACTAAAAGTGAGTTTAAGTCTTTTAATTTACATTTGCATTGTTTCATTATTTAATACCAGCAGAAACACATGTCCTTTTAATGCCTTTTTGTACCGCAAACCTGTGAATACTTCAATTATACTGACTCTCCTGAATTAAAAGACACTGCACAGACCCTGGACATGAATTTGATCTGGCTCTAAACATGCTTTGCATTATTTTGCTGTTAAACTTTGCTCTATAACTCTGCAGAGTAAGACAAATTAGGAACAATAAGAGAGTGATAAATGATATGTTGGACCTTATAATGTATTTCTTGATTTATACGGGATTGCTGTTGACTTAGAAATGTTTTCTTTGATATAGTCTATGTTGTTTCCATGTTAACAATGGATCAATCACATTCCCAAGAAATTTAGCCTCAAAAACTCTTCCTCTTGATATTACTGATATTGAACATAATACGCTTAATATCATATTACGTTTGATATACGATTCCTTTTGATTCCCTAAATTCATTCATCTAGTTTTCTTTAAATCAAGGGACAAGTTATTGATATCAAACTGTATTTTAGAGAATCACAATTCACTTTTGAAAACATACAATAGCTTTGTTTTGTTTTGTTTTGTTTTCCCAGCATAAAATTAATTTGTATCAAGAGACTGTAAGGCTGCAAATATCATAGATATATTGTTTATGCGTATATTTTTGATATCACGCTTCATTTACTTGGAGAAAACTAAACTTGAGATCAGTGGTGAATGACTGAAAGAATGAGATGAGACCTTGAGACTCAGGCTTTAATCAAATTAAAGAAAACGGACTGAAAACCTGGAAACTGTCAGCACTGTTAAAAGACATTTATTTAGTTTATTTATTCATTTTATTTATAACGGGACCATATACAGCGTTGCAGTTGTACCAGTAGCTTTAGCTAATTGACATCAGCAGTGCAAATGCCCAGAGAAAGGGAAGATAACTTTATTTAAACTCCTTGTTTGTTTACATGGTTTGGTGACTGGACAGTAAATGATTGGTTGTTAGCTGGACGTTGTGCAAAAAATAAATCCCAACAGGATAAGAAAAGACTGGCTAACTACCCTATACTCATGTGACAACTTGACTTAGCAAGTGGTGACTTGCTAATCCCAGGTATCCCCCATCTAAATCCCCCTGCTTCATGATCTATATGCCTGTAAATAGGACCATGATTTGTGAAATACACATCATGCTGTACCAAAGATGACTAAAATAAAAAGAATTAAATCATTATGAAAACTGTTATTTTAGGCTTAAATAATGTGAGCGGTAGGATGATATTTTCATAGAGTTTTCAACAATGAGACTAAACATTACAGGCAATGGAGGCGCCCCCTGCTGGACATAGGAGAAAATGCAGGCCTAAGGCTTAATCTTTGAAACAGGGAGGTTCTTCCTCTTCGTCTATGCACTGTTCCGGCTCTGTAAAAAAAGAAAAGAAATGAAAAGCGACAGGTCAGTGAGGTTTACAGTATCATGAGTGCTACAGGGCAGGATTACATGTAGTACTGTACAGCAGCCTGTGTGTGTTTATAGCAAGTGGAGGTGTGTAGAAGATAATCTGTTTAAGTGTGTCTTTTCCTGTCCCAATATAGAACAGATTAAAGAGCAACCTGTGGACTGAAAATACATACTCACATACACACACACATGCGCGCATATTTGACCCTGGTTTGAATAAACTCAAGTTTTCTGTATACATTGAAGCTTCTTAACTTTAGTAGACTTTCAGTATACTCCTGTAGTTTTGCTCACAGATGCATTCATTTGTCACAAAGATCTGAATTTTTAACGTTTCAGCTGAACAGGACAGTAAAATTTGAGTCGTTTTAGATAAAATATTTTAAAACTTTGGACAAAAACATGCTTAAGCTTCATATTTTGGGGTTTCTTCTACGACAGAGATTGATTATTTGACTTCAAATCTACTTTAATGTCAGTTTTTAGTTTTTACTCTTTCAGCTGTGTTTTGTCAAGACTGAACTTAACTGCAAACAAGTTTGGAGAGATTTGAGTGTGTGTAAATTAATGTACAACAAGGACTCTAATGATAAGTATAGCTATGAGGACAGGTGAATGTTTTAAAAGACATTGAATACTACTAACCACTCTCACCAGTTCCCCGAAAGAGGAGGTTTGTATCCAGAGAGAGCAGAGAGACTGTCTAATCAAAGAGAGAGGAGTTCAGGTCAGACGAGCTGGATTAGCTTCCTGTAATATCACAGATTAAATCACCCTGTAATCACACACTGACCCACATCATCTGTGTGTGTGTGGGAGTAAATGAATGAACATTTAATTCAGTATCTGGTCAGTCATAGGACACATCCCTCATGAAGTCAATCACACATAAGCTGAGAATCAATTTGATATTCATGGATGTCATCACAGCCAATATCAAAGAGTGTGATGTTTCAAAATCAGTAGATCAATAGACTCCTCTATTTAATGAACTGCATGATTTTCTAATGGATGGGCTTTGCTCTGATGATGGTTACTCTGTCAGTCACAATAACATAAAAAAGATCATCTCCTCCTCTGTTTCTCACGGAGTAGCAGTTTACATGGACTATCCTGCCGGCTCTCTGTCCTTTTACAGCGTCTCCCCTGACACATTAATCCACTTCCACACCTTCAACACCACATTCACTGAACCTCTGTATCCTGGGCTTGGGCTCTTTTTAGGTTCCTGGTTGTCTCTGTGTTCTCTGTAGATCAGATGAAGATGGGTTTTATATTTTGAAATGTACTTTTAATCTCAATTCAAGAAACTTCTTTAACTGGGTAAAGTTCTTTATCATTTTTGTCTTTGGTTTATTTTAGCCCATTTGGTAGGAGCTGACTCTTGAAATATCTCAAGTGTATTTGTACTATTTGTATTACTTGTATTATTTGTTTTATTTGTATTGGTGGATGGCTCCTCTTTCTTCGCTGCAGGACAGAAAGATTCAGAAGATCTTTTGTACCCACAGCCATCAGACTTTACAACTCTTTTATAAATAGTAGATGACTTTTGAGACATGACAAATAAGATGGCAAACAATTTAATTTCCCTTTAGGGATCAATAAAGTTCTTCTTATTCTTATCATCCATTGATGGGTTCTTCAGTTTCCTCAGAGCAGCAGGAGCGTGTAAAAAAATGCCTGTAGCTGCTGCAAGGGGGTGAAAAAAAAAAAAAGAAAAACAGCCTTAGTTACTTTTAAAAGTCATACATTTTATTCATTTCTCTAAAATAAACAAAATAATAACAATAAAGAATAAGAAAAGAAAAGAATAACAAAAGTAAAACACAACATAACAACTCATACAAATTATTGTGCTTGAATTGATTTCTTCATGTTGAATGTTTTAATGAGTAATATTTTTGTATATTGGAAAAATATTACATTTAACTCAGTTACTTTTTTTTCTTTTTTTTTTTTACTTTAGTTTAATTTCCTCTGTATAAAACTTTCCCATCCTTCTAACAAGTGTGAGACTGTTAGCTCTGTGTGTTAACAGAACTTATTTTTTTGTACGACTTACTTTGACCACTAGATGGTGGCGTAGTCCTACAATAGTCCATAAGGTGACTATGTGACGCCTGTTGGGTCGAAAGTCAGCAGGTACACTACACCTGTCTTTTCTGCTGTTTGATCAAAGTCACTGTGGTCTTCCCCAACCTTTTACCCTCTGTAGAGGAAAACACAAATGTCAGTTTTTTATCATTACACTTTTTCAAGTACAAAATGTGAAGCAGTAGCTTTCCGGCCTGAATCCAGTAGTGATGTCTACTAACCAGCACAATGACAGGTCTCACAAAGGAGAGGTGTTCATTTTCGTGACAAGGAGGTAACATTTGACAGCTATCATCTATCATAAGATATATTTAGATATAAAATAAATGTCCACTCTCCAGCTGCATCAAGCCTCACACCCTGTCTTGTTAAAAATTCTCTCAAAGTTGTGTAGATGAAGGAGCAGACAAGGACAGGTGCTCTCTTGACTAGTGGAGACCACAGCAACAACAACAACAAAATAATAAATTTACATACTTGTTCAAAATAAGACAATTTCAGTTCAAAAACTACATACAATGGACTTCTACATGCTCACTATCAGAAGGGAAAATACCCTTGACTGCATGAGTAAACCACATGTAGGCCTATAG